ATAGGTTGTATATGGTAACAAGGAATTGTGGAATATGGAACTATGGAAGAATGCAGCTGAATTTTTAACTTGTGTGTATAGTTACATTTGCTCTCTCCCTCGAGTATAAAGTATTAATTGGCCGGTTGATGGGCGTAAAGAAAAGGCGCGATTAAAAGCAAGAATGCTTTATATTGACACTGATTAAAATTCAAAAATAGTAATTGTCATTTGTCAACGATAAAACCTGTCATGTAAAGTTCCAACCAAAAAAAAAAAAAAAAAACACACGTAATGTGTAGCTTTGGTCATAATCGTTTTATTTTGTCTGATTAAAATATAGTCGAATTGGAAACCATAACGACGAAATTCTACGAGGATCGTCGAGAGACATATCTGTATTTCACGAGCTATATATATACGTATGGATTGTTTTAGACAAAATTATTTTAAAATGTGTCCGCGTTTTAACAAGAAAAATTTAAAATTTTAATCAAATATTTTTTGCCCACGTTTGGGGTTTATGCTTACAATTATTAAGAAGATCGAATGGAATGGTACTAGCGATCACATATAGGGTTCAAATATGCGGGGAAAAGCCCAAGAAATGAGTTAACAAAGAACTGTACTGTCTCCAGCATCTAGCCCAGTAGGTAGCAGGCACATGAGAGATGGAAATCACTCCCAAGCCCCAATATTATCATAAATCTTTATATTATTAATTAGAAGTACATTCTAATGTTTGGATACAAGAATAAGAGAAACATCTATTTGGATAGAAGAATAAATGGAAAGAAAAAGTTGTTTGGATACAAGAATAAGAGAAAAATCTATTTGGATAGAAGAATAAATGGAAAAAATTGTTTGGATACAAGAATAATAACTTAAAACAAACCGATGGTTTAGAAAACTTCCGTTTTCAGCTCTTAAAAAATCTGCAAAAAAGAAAAATTAACATAATCTATCGATAATACCAAATCAATAGAATATGATCGAATGATATTTGCAAAATTTCCAATAGTAAATAGAAATACATCTAATTTAAATCAAATTGTGGATTTCTGTTCGGTTTTTGAAAATTTATGTTCGGTTTGGGTTCGAGTTTTTTTGGGTTAGTTCAGAGTTTTCCAGATTTTTTGGATTTCGGGTTTTCGGGTTTAGGCATATTAAAAAAAATTGTGTATTTTAAAATTTTTATTAGGATTTTTTGGGTCGGGTTCGGGTTTTTGGGTGAAAAAGTTTTGAGTTTATTTTTATTCGGTTCAGAGTTATCGGGATTTTTTAGATTTCGGATTTTTGGATTTAGACATATTAAAAAGGTTTGGGTTTTAAAATTTTTGATTAGGGTTTTTGGGTCGGATTCAGTTTTAGGATTTAGATTTTCTTCATAAAATTGCAACGTCACACCGCGCGTTTGCGCAGATCTTTTCTACTAGTTATGATAATTAATCAGGCAGCATTTTGATTATGTATGAGTATGACTATATATACCTATGTGAACCACAACGTGTTCATACTTGTCACGATTAATCAAAATAAATACTACAAACAAATATATCATAGACATTGATAAAGATTCGAACTCTCCATCTTTCCTTACATGATGACATGCACGATCAACTAATTAAACTACAAGATATTTTCCAAAATATGGCCGATAATATAATTATTGTAAATATGGCCGAAAATCCAAGAGGTAAGTTTGATTTTTTTAGTTCCAATTTTGTTGAGTCAACTATAACTTGAAAATTTAATTTGAACAAGTGATAGTTGGAGAATAAATCTGCCAATTGCAATGAGGACTTAAACGAGCAACTTTTTTTCCAATATTGACTCATAACCAGTTTTAGCAATTATAAGAGGACGTCAACCAAATCCAAATCAAAACAGAATTTGGTTTCCGATTTAGATAATCTTCTAGGTAAAATTAAATCAAATCATTGATGCTAGGAAAGACATCCAAATATGATGAGATTTCGATTCTTAAAAATAAGTTATAACAAAAAATAACATTAATTATGAGGTTGAGCTTTTCACTCAAATGTTTCGATCTGTTTATAAACCTTTAACCAAAAGCAAACAAAAATATAGGAGCCAACTTTAACGTAGGCTCCAATTTGACAAATTGCTTTCTTCTTATGGGATACCATTTGTCTCTACAATTCCTTTTTCATGGACCCGCTTTTCTATCACAACTTGATTTGTGTAAATTGTACCAACCTCTTTTAGTTTTAACGATTGTACCTTAATCTTATGGTGGATTAACATTTTGAGTCAACTCCAACTTATCTTAATCCTACAAAACGGTACTTTATTTAGTAATCAACTAAGAAAGAAATGAAACGTATTATTGTTCCTATCCCATGCTTTAAAAGTTTAAGACGATACCATTTTTATCCCAAGCTCTAGAGTGAGTATATGAATTTCAACAATATCTATGTTTTTTTTGTTAATCAGTTATCTATTGAAATGCATAGAAATCAAATACTGTGAAGCTTTTAAAGCCATTGGCGGTGCTTTGTCGTTTCCTGGCGACAATTTGTTTGACAAGATAGATCAACTGTGAGTGGAAAGTTGACTCGCAAACCACGCTTGAAGAAGATTTGAAGCTAGTTTTAGTTGATCCCCTCAAATAATGTTTCGAATGGTTACATATCTATTTGTTTCAAGAGAGAGAGAGATAGAGAGACTGCAGGTTTGGAGATGTAAATGTAATCTAATGGTTGCCTTTGGTCAAAAAATGTAATCTAATGGTAATACCTAGTTCCCATCCATATTGAGGAGATTGAAGCTTTGCCGATAGTTATAACTTTCTAATAGGTCAACTGTATAGATGTCATATTTAGTATACTTTGAGTAAAAGTATAATCAAGAAAAATAAGCAATAACATATCTAGAATTATTTCTCTTTTTTTTTTTTTTTTTTTCTTTTTCTAAATCAACTAAGAAAAAACAACACGAGGGCACAAAAGGAGAACAGGCAGTGACGCATAGCTTCGAGAACAATTGCAAAACACAAATATCCAAATTACAGTTTTACTTGACTAGGAGAACGGTAACCTCATCCCGAAATCTACTTTTTACATGCAATGAATTAGAATATCTTTTGTTTTGGCATGGTTTTTATTGCGGAACCGCAATTAACTGCAAGCATGTAAAAAGAAAAAGTCATACTGTAGAATTTATTACAGAAAATAATAAAATGAGAGAGAGAGAGGAGTGTCTTTAATCGTATGATACAGACACTTGTGACTTTAATAAAGTCATTGGCGTTGCTTTGTCGTTTTCTCGCGACAATTTTTTTGACACGACCTCTCCTAATTATCCACCTCTGTCTTTTTCCTTTTTATATTTTTCTCTTCCAAAACATAAAGTTTTTTTTTTCACTTTGTTCATATTAATCATAATTTTGTGGCACCAAAAATATCTATTTTAGTAATTAGAAAAATTACGCTTTTCGTGTTTTTTTTGTTGTTGTTAAAGTTACGCTTTTCGTGTTATGTTAAACATCCATAATTATGGGTGGGAATGGTGTTAAATTAGCGAATTTAATAAATGAAGTGAAAACAAATAAAAGTTTTGTTTATATATTAGTTAGCGGACGGTGTGTAGCCTGTACCATAAAAGCAATATGATTAACAATTTGATTATGTTGTTTTTCCTTAAACTACGCATCTAACATTTTGCAAGAACTTAACACTTAGATACTATGTGTACGTGCTTGGAACCAGAATCGTTCTAGTCTTCTAGTATATTAGAACATCCCACCGATAAAATCAATATCGTAGAAGGACACAATTTTTATTGTAAAATTATATTGTAAGTTGTAACGATATGTTTTTTTTGTTTGTCAACTACTATAACGATATGTATGGTTTGCTAACAAGAAACGTAAAAGATATTGTTAACCAAATTAAAAATTAGAAATTTATTTTAGAATTTTCTAAAATCTTTGAAGTTCTACATTGGAATTCATATGGGAATGGGACTAAAATAATATACTTCCTTATAAAATAAGATATTTTCTATAAAGATATGTTTCACCTTGTTGATTTTTTTTTTCATTTTCTGTACAAAGAAAGAAATCTTTTTTTTTGTAATTATGGCATTTTGCTATATATTTCTTATGAGTTGGAATGAAATGGATGCATCAAACTAATTATATTTTGTTTATATTGTAATATCGACATTGTTGGTAACAAATATTATTTTTGTTAGGAAAGAAACATGAAAAAGATATGATGCATTCTTTCTTCTTCTTTTCAGTAATTAAAAGATATTCTTTGACTAGAAAGTGATGATCAACAGACAAAAGAATATGGTAATCGTATCACTAAGACTAAGAGGTTACACGTTTCGAGTTGTGGTGTAATATTAGAATAAATAAGATATATTTCTAATCAGAGATGAATAGTAATATATATTTCTAATCAGAGTTGAATAGTAATTAACTACTAAAGAAAAAGTGATAATATTAAGCTAATTATAGAAGGTGCTTGTTGCCAATAATTTTTTTAAAGATTTTTTTTTCTAAAAAATATGGGACCCAAAAGGCAGCAAATATCAAGGGCGGTATTGTTAGTTGTTGGGACTCAGTCACTCAGAATTCAGAAGAAGAGACTCATTCTTTTCAACCTCTCCCATCCCATCATCCTTTTTGTTTTTATTTTATTTTTTTTCTTTTTCTCGTCTATGAAGAGTTTTAAATTGGTAAATAACTAAAGAAAATAATCTTTGAGTAGTATTACAGTTATACACTTTTACTAAACAAATTTGAAGATATTTACATAATAAAAAAATGCATGATCATTTACAAAAGAGAATAAGCAAAAGTAAATCCAAAATGGCTTTAAGAAATTTTTAATTTTTAAAAAATAACCAATACTATAATATTCTCAAATTATTTAAGATGATCTCCTCCTAAATGTAATCCAATACTATATTTATGTTGACAATGAGTCCATCACTACTGTATTGAAAATCCTCATGCCGGGTTGAAATAAAACTAACAAGACGTCGTAATGACGAGCGAGGGCAAAACTAGAGTTTTGGGAGAGGCGACCGAGGACGCGACTATGACGGACGTTGGAGACCGGACGCGGCCTCCGAGAGATCCACCAGATGGGACAGGAACGTGGGCGATGAAGGTGCGGGGAACGAACGCAGGAGGGATGCCAACGCCGGAGAGTCTCATAGATGATATGCTCATATCGGAGAGGTTGAATGTGGAGTTCCCCGAGGGAGAAGATGGTGAACCGGTGATTACGATCGGGAGGGAAGTGATTGAAGCAATGAACGGCATGTGGAAGAGGTGCATGATTGTGAAAGTACTAGGGAGGCATATTAGTATGCCAATCTTGAGTAGGAAGTTGCGGGAGATGTGGAAACCTAAGGGGGATATGCATGTGATTGATCTGCCCCGGCAGTTCTTTATTGTTCGGTTCGAGTTGGAGGAGGAGTATTTGGAGGCTTTGACTGGAGGGCCATGGAAGGCGTTTGGAAGCTATCTTATGGTTCAAGCATGGTCCCCTGACTTTGACCCACTTCGACACGAGATTACGACCACCCCGGTGTGGGTGCGACTGACCAACATCCCCGTCACTTTCTATCATAGGGCTATTCTTATGGGGATTGCTAAGGGACTTGGGAAACCAGTTAAGGTAGACCTTACGACCTTAAACTTTGAGAGAGCTCGATTTGCAAGAGTTTGTGTGGAGGTTAATCTTGCAAAGCCATTAAAGGGGACAATATTGATCAATGAGGATCGATATTTTGTATCGTATGAAGGCCTAGCGACTATTTGCTCGGGATGTGGTTTGTATGGTCACTTGATTCATGCGTGCCCTAAGGCAATCGAGGACGGAGCAAGGACACAAGGAAGCCAAAGGAGAGTGGAGGAGCCGGCAATGCCAACAATGACGGGAAACCCGACACCAAGGGGAACCGAGACGGGTTTCACAGTGGTCCATAATACACGCCGGAGGGCTGGGAATCCGCCGTCGCAAGTGGTGGCCAATGGGACGACGGAGGGTAGACAGACGGTACAACAACGGAATGCCCTAGAGAATATTCCCCAGGATCAAATTCGTATCTCGAACAGATTTGGAGAGTTGGGATTGGATACAGATTTAGTGGAATCGGGGAATATAGATATTCCGAGGGAGGTGGATAAGGAAAATATTAACAACCAAAATATTCAGGGAGAAGGGGGACGTGTGGAGCAAGAGGGACGTGTGGAACAAGTAACTTTTGGGAGCCAACGAGGGAAACTTGATAAAAGGAAAGCCGTGAAGAAAGTTAGGCCGAAGGAACGATGGGCCGGGAAGTCACAGGTTGGTGTGGCCCAGAAGCAGAACACGCAGAAGGGGACGACCTGACCCACGCGAGGCTTAATTTTTGGCCCGACCCGAGGCGAAGTTGAGAGATCGGAATCAGGCAAGAGACTTCGTGTCGAACAGAGGAGCGAAGGGAGATCAAGTGGAGTGTTTATCGCGGGGGCAGTAGGAGTGATTGCCGGCGATGGAACACCGACGAGCACCCCGACGGGACAACGTGAATCTCCGGAGAGTATGGTGGAGGGAGAAGCGTCGGAAGAGATGACAGGAAGTGAGATTTGGCCGGGTGTGGGGGCGGATCTGACGAAGTGTTAACATGGAGCCCCGGTGTTCCTGTCGACTATTAACGATATAGTGATGATGAATTGTTTATTGTGGAATTGCCGTGGGGCCAACAAACCCAATTTCCGAAGATCGATTCGATATATACTGAAGAAGTGGAAGACTGATATTTTGGCTCTGTTTGAGACGCATGCGGGAGGCGACAGAGCAAGTAGGATTTGCCAGGGGTTGGGTTTTGAGGAATCATTCAGGGTTGACGCAATCGGACAAAGCGGAGGCTTATGGTTGCTGTGGAGAACGGAATTGGGGAATGTCACGGTGGTGAGTTCCGGGGATCAATATATTCACGCAGAGATTGCAAAGGAGGGTGCGAGGGTCCAATTAATCGTGGTCTACGCGGCGCCAACGGTGAGTAGACGAAGTGGATTATGGGGACAACTGAAGAATGTGCTACAAAGTCTTGATGGTCCAGTGATTATAGGCGGTGATTTTAACACCATCATCCGTCTAGATGAGAGAACGGGAGGAAATAGACAACTCTCGCCAGATTGAATGAGCAGGCCTTAACTGATATGGGTTTCACTGAACCAAGGTACACCTGGAAGAGAGGTAGAGAGGAAAGATTTTTTGTTGCGAAAAGACTGGATAGAGTCTTTTGTAATGCTCATGCCAGATTACGATGGCAGGAAGCTACATTGAGACACTTGCCGTTTCTATCCTCCGATCACGCGCCATTGTATGTTCAACTGGAACCACAAACCGTTGGAGATCCGAGACGACGACCCTTCCACTTTGAAGCAGCCTGGCTGAAGCATGCTGGCTTTAAGGAGTTATTGGCAAGCTCTTGGGACGGCTCGTTAACCACCCCAATGGCCTTGGAGAAGCTGAGGGTTCGGCTCAGGAAATGGAACAAGGAGCTGTTCGGAGACATACGCATACGAAAGGAGAAGCTACTCCAGGAAATACAGACAGTCCAAGGTCGATTGGAGGTGATGCAGACGGATGATCTTCTACTTCAAGAATCGGGACTACTGCAGGAGTTGGATATGATTCTTGAACAAGAAGAGGTACTCTGGTTCCAAAAATCTCGTGAGAAGTGGGTTTCTCTCGGAGACAGAAACACGAGGTACTATCATACCACGACGGTCGTTAGAATACGGAGAAATCGGATTGAGACACTGAGAGATGATGAAGGAGCGTGGATCACGCAGCCGAGAGATTTGGAGAGACTAGCAGCGGAGTACTACAGACGCTTGTATTCCCTTGATGATGTTGATCCTATTGTGCCTCGTCTCAATCCCCTTGGTTTCACTCAGTTGACAGGGGAAGAACTACGCGGATTGAATAAACCTTTCTTGCAGGAGGAAGTGGAGACAGCAATACGAAGTATGGGAAAGTATAAGGCGCCGGGACCAGATGGTTTCCAACCAATATTCTACCACGAGAGCTGGGATGTCGTGGGAGACTCAGTGTCCCGGTTTGTGCTTGACTTCTTCAGAACATGGAGCTTCCCAGCTGGTACAAATGATGCGATTGTTGTGCTTATTGCCAAGGTACTGAAACCAGAGAAGATCACACACTTTAGACCAATAAGCTTGTGTAATGTCTTGTTCAAGACTATCACCAAGACAATGGTGATGAGACTTAAGCGAGTCATGCCAAATCTCATTGGTCCAGCTCAAGCGAGCTTTATCCCGGGGAGATTGAGCACGAACAACATTGTTTTAGTACAAGAGGCGGTACACTCCATGCGGCGGAAGAAAGGAAGGAAGGGTTGGATGTTACTTAAGCTAGACTTGGAGAAGGCGTATGATCGCATCCGATGGGACTTCTTGGAGGATACGCTTCAGGCAGCACGGCTCCCAGCGAGTTGGATACAATGGATAATGCAGTGCGTCTCAGGCCCTGACATGACTATCTTGTGGAATGGTGAGAAAACAGAGGCATTTACACCAAAGAGAGGCTTAAGACAAGGTGACCCTCTATCCCCGTATCTGTTTGTCCTATGTCTCGAACGTCTGTGTCACCTAGTGGAAGAGGCTATTGCTGCAAAGAGATGGAAACCCATCCGATTATCTCGTGGGGGTCCAGAGCTGTCTCATGTTTGTTTTGCAGACGATTTGATACTATTCGCGGAAGCTTCAGTGGCACAAGTACGAGTCATCCGTGGTGTCCTTGAAAAGTTTTAAATAGCTTCAGGTTAGAAGGTGAGCTTGGAGAAATCCAAGATATTTTTCTCTGATAATGTGAGTAGAGAAATGGGGAAGCTTATTAGCGATGAGAGTGGGATTGAAGCTACACGAGACCTTAGGAAATATCTTGGCATGCCGGTCCTTCAAAAGAGAATTAATAAGGATACCTTCCGAGAGGTCTTGGAGAAAGTGTCATCGCGATTGGCAGGTGGGAAGAGCCAGATATTAAGCTTTGCAGGGAGGATTACTTTGAAGAAAGCTGTACTCTCATCCATCCCGGTACATACGATGAGTTCGATAATGCTTCCGCAGTCAACGCTGGCGAGTTTAGACAAGACATCTCGAGCTTTCCTGTGGGGAGACACAAATGAGAAACGGAGACAACACCTTTTAGCATGGGATAATGTCTGTCTACCGAAAGAGAATGGTGGCCTAGGAATCCGCAAGGCGCAAAATATGAATATCGCTCTCATTGCAAAACTCAGTTGGCGAGTAATACATGAAGAGAAGGCACTTTGGGCAAGAGTGATGCGAAGTAAGTACAAGGTGAAGGAAATCAGGGATGATGCTTGGTTAAAAACAAAGGGGAACTGGTCCTCGACATGGCGCAGCGTTCTAAAAGGGATGAGAAATATAGTGATTCCGGGGTTGAGTTGGGTGGTTGGCAGTGGCAGGAGTGTTCGTTTCTGGAAAGACAAGTGGTTGATGGGCACTCCGCTGATTGATTTGAGGATAGCGGATATACCAGATGACCTATCAGAAGCAAAAGTTAGCGATTTGTGGCAGAATGGTGTGGGATGGATGATGCACCAAATCGCTCCATATATCTCAGACTCGATTAGACTAAGACTTGGGGCAATTGTAGTGGATGAGATCACTGGTGCGAAAGATAGAATGGCCTGGGGGCATACACAAAATGGAGAATTTTCAGCAAAATCAGCCCATAGCTTCTTTACCTAGGACAGTAGACCAAGACAAAATATGAAGGCGATGTTCGACCGTGTGTGGCATGTTGTGGCGCCGGAGAGGACTAGGGTGTTCCTTTGGTTAGTCGTGCACCAGGCTATCATGACCAACATGGAGAGGCAGAGACGGCATCTCAGTGATACTGGCGTTTGTCAAGTCTGCCGAGGCGGAGAGGAGTCTATCCTCCATGTTTTGCGTGATTGTCCGGCGATGGATGGGATTTGGAGACGAATTGTGCCAGCACGGAGGCGACAAAGCTTTTTTGAAGCCCCACTGCTAAGTTGGGTGTATGAGAACCTGGGTAAGGATGACGAGATGGGAGGGTACAGTTGGGCTACGGTCTTTGCAATGTCGCTCTGGTGGGGTTGGAAGTGGAGATGTTGGAATGTTTTTGGCAAGCAGGGGACCTGTAGAGATCGCGTACAATTTCTCAAAGATCGCGCTCGAGAAGCTTCTACTGCGCATGAGAAGGTACGTATCCAGGGCCGTAGGGGAGAGAGAGTAGAGAGACAGATAGCGTGGGTTCCACCGGAAAGTGGATGGTGGAAGATGAACACTGATGGAGCATCCAGAGGGAATCCCGGCCTAGCGACAGCAGGAGGTGTTCTCAGAGGAGCGAACGGAGAATGGATATGCGGTTTCGCTCTCAATATTGGGATTTGCTCTGCTCCTTTAGCAGAGTTATGGGGCGTATACTATGGCCTCCTAATGGCATGGGAGAGGCGGGTCCAGAGGTTAGTTTTGGAGGTTGACTCAGAGATTGTGGTTGGGTTTTTGAATGCAGGGATTAATGATTCTCATCCCCTGTCCTTCATAGTACGACTGTGCTATGGCTTCTTATCTAGGGACTGGCTAGTCCGGGTTACAGATGTCTATCGAGAGGCAAATCGCGTGGCAGTTGAGCTAGCGAATCATGCTTTTTCTTTGCCCTTAGGTTTTTTTTCTTATTCTTCGCCTCCTGCTGAGATTTCAGTTGTGTTGACGGATGATGCTTTAGGCTCTTCACGAGCACGTTTTGTAAGACGTTGAAAGTTTTTTATTTTCTAATAATATTTTCTCCTCCTGCATACAAAAAAAAAAAAAAAAAATACTATATTCTTTAGACTTAAACTGTAGTGTTTATCCAGTTGAATTATGATTGTTGGTATATTATATCGTTATTTCTTTTAAGATACTATGGTCGAATAAATCACTCAAAAAAAAACTTATATATCAATTATAGGTTCTTCCAAAAATAAACAATAGTATATCAGTAGAATTTACTGAATGACTCGGTATATTTATAAACTTTTTTCTTTTCGAAGAACAATATAATACCTTAGTTTGTCAATAACAAAATGCTGATTTTCATATTATTTGCCTCAGAAAAAAGAGAGGAAAGCGCTTTTGTTACAAAAACTGAAAGGAGCCTACTCTTCTGTCTTTAGCTGGTTGGTTGGCTCTTAACAAAGCAATCAAAAGAAAGAAATTCCAAAAGCTGATTAATTTTTCGAATAAAAAACCAAAACATATAATACATAGCATATAAAAAAACAAAGAAAGATTCCAAAGTGAGACTGTTTCCTTTGTAAGAGTATGCAAAGAAAAAGCTACATCAGTGTAATGTTTTTTATTCCTGAGAAGTTACGAAAACTAAGTTGTGTAACATTAACAACAAGAAAAGTTTAGTGATTTCTTAAATACCAGAGTCTAATCGATGCATAATATCCTTTGAAGTTTTTGCTAGTTCACTTATCGTCCTCTCTTAGTAGCATTTGAGTGATAATTGTGTTCTGAAATCAACTAAAACATTGGAATATACAAAGAAAACTGAAATCAACTAAAAAAACTGGAAATAATTAGCAAAAAATGTAAACTCTTTTGTGTGAACGTGTGTCTATTAATATAAGTATAGATCTTTTTTTCTTTTATCTGTTTATATGTGAATATATAATTCTTTATTGGGAAACAAAAAAAAAAGGGAGGAAGAAGGCGAAAGAGAGTGTAGGTGTGGGTTCTGTTCTGTCTTGGCTTTGTCTCCCCCGCTTATCTCTCTCTCTCTCTCTCTCTCCACCAAATTGGCTTTTATTTCACTTTTTTGCTATTTTACTCTAATAATATATCTTTCCCATCTGCAATTTATCTATGTCTGTTCCTTCTGCTCCCTCTTCTCAGTACCTGCAAATGGAGGAAGAAGAATCCTACTTTGAAACCCTTGTTCTCATTTGATACCTTTTCCCCTCTCTCTCACTTTCTCTCTATCTCTAATTCTTGTTTCCACCCTCTTATCACTCTTCTTTCCCATCAATAGCAAATATTCAATTTGGTTCTTGCTTGTGAAGTTTTATCTATACAGGAGAGGGATTATGTCACCTAAAGCACGAATCTTTCGAACTTTCCGTTGATGGGTTTTGCTTGTCCAAGTGTAATTTGGTTAAAATAAGCAACTTTTAGTTTTATTTTAGTTTTGTCTCCTTGCTTGAAGTAGCTCTTCCATGGAATTTGACTTGAATACTGAATTCGCGGAGGTGGAGGAGGAGGAGAACGATGATGTAGGAGCTGAAAGAGGAGCAAGGATTGAAAAGGGTAGGCTTGGAATTTCCCCATCATCTTCTTCTTCTTGCTCTTCTGGTTCATCATCATCGTCTTCTACAGCTTCTGCATCTTCCATATACTCCGAGCTATGGCATGCCTGTGCTGGTCCTCTCACTTCTCTTCCCAACAAAGGCAATGTAGTTGTGTATTTCCCCCAAGGTCATCTGGAGCAAGACGCTATGGCTTCGTACTCGTCTCCTCTTGAAATCCCCAAATTTGACATTAACCCTCAAATCCTTTGCAGGGTGGTTAATGTCCAGTTGCTTGTAAGTCTGTCTGTATCATTTACCTAAAAAACATTCCTTTTGTGTTCTATGTACTATTATTGAACAAGTCCTGTTTCTTCTTCTTCTTCTAATTGTGGCTGTTGTTTTGCAAATTTTGGTTCCTTTTTTTGTGGGGAACAAAAGGCTAATAAGGAAACTGATGAAGTCTACACTCAAGTCTCTCTGCTTCCACTTCAAGAGGTATTCTTTTAACTTAACTGTTGGTTCTTTGACAATTTAATTGATGTTTATAGGTGAGATTCCAGATTCATTAGTCCAATTCCAGAGTCTAGGTGATATTTTTAGTTGCTACGGTAGAGGAGTTAGTGAATAGTTTTGTTTGTTCTCTTGGTGACTCAACTTTATCAGTTTCTTTGAAAGGAACATAGAGAACTAAAGCATTGATATATTTGGTTTTATAGTTTTCGATGCTAAATGTGGAGGGGAAAGAGGTGAGGGAGTTGGGAGGGGACGAAGAGAGGAACGGAAGCTCATCGGTGAAACGAACACCTCATATGTTCTGCAAAACCTTAACAGCTTCTGACACAAGCACCCATGGAGGCTTCTCTGTACCTAGAAGAGCCGCTGAAGATTGTTTCCCTCCTCTTGTATGCTTCTCTACCTTTTCATTTTCTTCACTTTTTTCCGGAGGAGAGGTTTGAGTTTCTTGTTATATGCCTTATTTGGGAATTTTTTTTCACGGATGTTATTAGGACTATAAACAACAGAGGCCATCTCAAGAGCTCATTGCAAAAGACCTCCATGGAGTAGAGTGGAAGTTTCGACATATTTATCGAGGTTGAGTTTGTTAACTATTGTTGATTTCTTTTCTTTTTTTGTCAATGAAACCAAAACGTTTAGTTCTGTCTCTTCTGTAATATAGGTCAACCAAGGAGACATCTGCTCACCACTGGATGGAGTATCTTTGTCAGTCACAAGAATCTCGTCTCTGGTGATGCGGTTCTCTTTCTTAGGTAAGCGTTGGATTTAACTTTATCTCTGCTTTTGGTTGGTTTGAAAGCTCTTGATCCAAAAAATGTTACATTCGTTACTAACATTGTGTTTCTAGAGACGAAGAGGGAGAGCTGAGGTTAGGGATCAGAAGATCTGCACGGCCAAGAAACGGACTTCCTGACTCCATCATTGAGAAGAATTCATGTTCCAACATTCTGTCGCTTGTGGCTAATGCTGTCTCTACAAAAAGCATGTTTCATGTCTTCTACAGTCCACGGTAAAATAAACTGAAAAACTGCCATTAGTAATGATTCTTAATCTGCCTTAAAAGGGGAAAAAAGAAGAACTATAATGCTGATTCATGGTTTCATTCATATATAGTGCGACACACGCAGAGTTTGTGATCCCTTATGAGAAATATATCACAAGCATCAGGAACCCCATTTGCATAGGCACAAGATTCAGAATGCGATTTGAAAGGGACGACTCTCCTGAGAGAAGGTACTAATCGTTGCTTTCTTGCTTCTTACTCTGTCTTGTCTCCAACTAATTTTCTTGGAAGAGAATTTTCTAAATTCGCATTTTCTTGCAGATGCGCTGGTGTAGTGACTGGAGTCTGCGACATGGACCCTTATAGGTGGCCAAACTCTAAGTGGAGGTGCTTGTTGGTGAGTCCTCCCTCATCTATGAATCTTTCTATTAATGTGTTGAACATGTTTCATTTTGCAAGAATCATGTAGTTAAAATCTTTCACATTTGTTTGGTAGGTGCGATGGGATGAGTCTTTTGTGAGTGATCACCAAGAAAGAGTCTCCCCTTGGGAGATTGATCCTTCGGTTTCTCTCCCACCTTTAAGCATTCAGTCATCTCCAAGGCCTAAAAGGCCATGGGCAGGTCTACTGGATGCTACTCCACCCGGAAACCCCATAACCGGTAAACTAAACACACATCTAAACATGCTTTTGCATATATAGCTCTCAACTTTCTGATGCTGATGATTGATTCACTCTTCTTGGTTTGCAGCAGAAAGGGGTGGTTTTTTAGACTTTGAGGAGTCAGTTAGACCCTCTAAGGTCTTGCAAGGTCAAGAAAATATAGGTTCTGCATCACCCTTCCAAGGGTTTGATGTTATGAACCGCAGGATACTGGATTTCGCAATGCAGAATCCAGTTCTTTTACCGAGTAGAGCCAAGGATCGGTTTGGTGAGTTTGTAGATGCAGCCACGTCGTCCCTGGACCCAGCCTGTTCAGGGGTGATGGACCTGGACAGGTTTCCAAGGGTCTTGCAAGGTCAAGAAATCTGCTCGCTTAGATCATTCCCTCACATTGCTGCTTTCAGTCCAGCTGCTGCTTCAGGGAATCCTAATCTTGGATACACTGATCCCTTTGCTTATCAAGCCAACAAGTCAAGTTTCTATCCGCTAGCGTCACAAGGGATTAGGAGCACTCAGCTTTCATATCAGAATCAGTACAATGCTGGAGATAAATCCTTGAGCAACCCTTCTCATGCAGTAAACTTTGGTGGAGAGAGTAGAAAGTTTGATTCACAAAATGAAGGTGGCTTGCCAAAGAATGTTACTGCTGATTTACCATTCAAGATTGATATGGTGGGAAAGCAGAAACGTGGAGACTTTAACATGAATGCTTCATCAGGATGTAAACTTTTCGGATTCTCCTTACCCGTTGAGACACCTCCTGCATCTAACACGCAAAGCTCCAGCAAAAGAATCTGCACAAAGGTTTAAAACTTTTTCTTTATCATCATTCTCTTCGGCTTGTTTTGGAGTTGCATTTCTTGATGTCTCTTCTTGTGTTGAAAAGGTTCACAAGCAAGGAAGCCTTGTGGGGAGAGCTATTGATTTATCCAGGCTAAACGGGTACAATGATCTCCTAACCGAGCTTGAACGGTTGTTCAACATGGAAGGGCTTCTCAGGGATCCTGAAAAAGGATGGAGGATCTTGTACACGGATAGTGAGAACGATATGATGGTCGTTGGCGATGATCCATGGCAGTACGTTTCTCGTTCCATATCTTCTAAAGCTCAGTCACAACTTCTTTCTTGGTTGCTAACTTGAAAGAATTGGCTTTTTTTGTTGTGGACAGTGATTTCTGCAATGTGGTGTGGAAGATACACTTGTACACGAAAGAGGAAGTGGAGAATGCGAATGACGATAACAAGAGCTGTTTAGAGCAAGCAGCTCTCATGATGGAAGCATCTAAGTCATCTTCTGTGAGCCAGCCTGATTCTTCCCCAACTGTCACTAGGGTTTGATGTAAAACAAACCAGAAATAAGAAGTTTCTTTTCCCTTTGTGGTTTTTAAGTGTGTTTTGGTTACCAAAAGACATAAAAGACTTCTACTTGATCTTTGTCTTTGGATCTATCTCTGTTTGTTGTTCTTCTAGTCTCCATGGATTTACTCGAAAGACTTCAGATTTGTGAGTCAAATGGGATGTGTAGAGTTTGGATTGAGGTTTTCAGTAAAATGACAATGTAAGGTTTTGAAGGTTTTTAATACATACATACAATGTTTAAAAAGCACAGACCGTTTATATTGAGATCTATGTCTTAGATTTCTTGATTTTTTTTGTATACCGTTATATTTCATTACCATAATTATATTTAGTTTAGGTTTTTCTTACTTGCATAAAAGTTATTGTCTATATTATTGCTTCTACATCAACAAGTTTGTGTTTCACTTACTGAAAGGCAAAATTTATAAGGAATTTTCTAAATCAGTGCAAAGTAGAGTTGTTCATGGTTAATCCACATAGTGTCAAACCTCCGTAAAGTAATAATGTTGGACTTTGAAAATTTATTATCTTATAGAGTATTACTTTATGAATAAATTCAATATTTAGAATTTTTTAAAATTTATAATCTTCGAAAATTATTCTCGATATGATAATATATTAAGAATTTAAAATAATTAATATGACTTACATAAACTTGAAATTACGATCAAATCTTTTGGATATCGTAATAAAATATATATTATTAGCTTCTATAAATATTTATTTATATAAAATTTTATACATAATAATAATGAAGTTAAAAATAATGTGTTTAGAATATGTTTAACAGTTTTACATGTGTTTAAAAATTGCATTATGAGTTTTTATATAATAAAAAGTTAGAGATAAACTTAAATTCATAGTTTAATAATTTTTTAGGTATATATAATGTATAGTTATATATATTTATTACTTTAACTTATAATTGGGACCATATTTTTACATAGAAGTTTCAAAAATATTATTATCTTATCATCTTATCGCATTTTGCTTATTTTTACATTGGCCCGAATTGGGACCGGAGAAATTTATTATCTTATAGTGATTATTACTTTATAGAGGTTCTACTGTATATATGGATTTTATAAAGTAGTTAAATTTTTCATTAACAAATTATCCTTTTAATTTTTTAATTTCAAGAGTTATAAAATTAAAAACCCAAGTAAACCTTTCATACGTCTTCGGTTTCTTTTCCCGATAACTTTTTCTTTTTATATGTTGTTATATTTCTTTAAAATAAGTTTTCAATGTAAAAGATATTGTCTATATGAACTTAATAAAGAGAACTTTTGTACTGTTTCTCCTCCTGTTTTCCTTTTTTTTATATCATTTCACTTTCTTTTCTTAGATATATTAAGTTTATAGATTTATATAAAATTATCTATGTGAATAAATATTATACATCTTCAGTTTCTTGACATCAATTGTTTCACCATTTTACAAATCTTGTATAAAAATACTGATAGAAATCTGGAGAAGAAGAATTGTTTTGTATCATTGTGAGCAATCATATACCATTATAAAAATTTAAAAAAAAAGATATTTATCACTTCATGAATATTTAATAAAATCATATGAAATTAATGAAATATTATTTATTGTTATCATTCCACTCGTTACAATGTACCAAAGTTCATGTGATATATGTATTTGTAGTTGACAAAATGGTATACATATAATTTTTCACGAGGCTTTTTTTTCCACATTGATTTAAAAACAGATACATAGATTTTTTTATGTTTATGTTTATGTTTACATTACATTTTAATATAAAATATAACAACAACATAATTCCTTAGAAGAAAACATAACATAATAAGCAGAAATGGGGAAAAATATAACAACAACATAATTCTAAATAGAAAAAAAAAACACAACATAGAAAGAAGAGATGAGGAAAAATATAACAACAACATAATTCTGAAGAGAAAAAAAAAACACAACATAGAAAGAAGAAATGAGGAAAACCATAAAGACTTCAAATGAAACACATGACAAATGATTAACAATAATCAGATCTGGAGCCAGGAGGAGGATGGCCATCATGATGATCATCATTCTCAGAGATGTTTTCCTTCTTAAAACTCAGGTTTTGGTTTTGGTGATACTCCCGCATGTAGTTCATATTGTACTCTTGAACAAATCTCTCAGAAATATTACCATGACTACTATTTCCAAACGGTAATGCATGATTAGGGAGAACAGAGTTCGGATTATGAAGCACACTCATATCCACCATTCTTCTTTGATTAAATTGGTCCAGATCAGGGTTAAAATTACCACCATCAACCCTAAAAGGAGCATTACTAGAACTTCCGACATAGAAGTTTTGATGAGGCATAGTGCTTTGGAAATATTTGGAGGCTTCAAATGTAACCACTTTCTTCAAATTTTCAAGATTACCTTTAAACTCCTTGGCATGAGCTAAGTCAAATCCTTCAATGGGGTCTTCCCACCAATTCTTAGGCGCTTTTGAATTCTCTCTTATTTTTTTGAGCTCTTCATTCTTCTTTTTCTCCAATTCTAGGTGGCCCATCAGCTGTAGAAATAATTATTTCAATTTTAAAGTTTTGTTAGTAAGATCCCATAAAATCTCAAATTAATTCATCAGAAAATAATAGATACATATGTATATATACATAATATTGGAAACACAATATAATATCAATGAAAATAGAAAAGGAGATCACCTCGGTAAGATGATCGTTTAGACCTCGAATCATGGAGTTTTGATGAACTTCACTAACTTCCATGGTGTTATGCTGGTGAGGAGGTGGAGTGTTGTTGTTTAAGAATCGATCGATTACAGTGTCAACATTTGGATGACCAAAAGAAAAGACTTTTCGACCAGGAGAGAACACGATAATGGCGATTTCTGCACCACAAAGTGTACAAAGTTCACTAGCCTTCTTGAAAAGTCCAGATCTTCTTTTCGAAAAAGTAACTTGAAGGTTACTTTCATTTTTCATTTTGACCATCTCTATCTTTTGGCGACCTTTGCTTTTTTTCACCATTTTTGTTTTTTTTTTTTGTTTCAGAAAGAAAATAGAGATAGTTGTTTGCAATGAAATATTATGTGTATTTATACACAAAATCTATATACCAACATTTAATATTGTGAGTTTCCTAAGAGTAATTTCAACTTTAATTTATTTTATATTTTATTTGAATTTTAGTTTTACTAATTTTGGAACATTTCAGTATCTTCAAATCTTATCAAAAAAGGTATGAAATTCTTATTTGATTTGACTAAAATTTTTATCATTTCATTTGGTACATGTATCATAATCTGCTACCTTTAAATTATTTTTGAAATTATCATATTTATTTAATGAAATCACTTATACTATGCATTTTCTTGAAATTAAGATCAAAATAAAATCATTTAATAAGACAATATCAATAAAAATAAATTGAGATAGCAACGTAAAATACATCACTAAAAATGCGTAATATTTTCAACATATTAGAGACATAATTGATAGGGAATAGTCATACCAAATGTTTGTGAATTTTTTTTATAAATATTATATTACGCTATTACTTTAAGAGAAAATGTTCCGTTACATTTATATGTGACTATATTCATTGTTACTTCCGAAAATATACTATATTTTCTATCGTTGACAACGATTAATTTGTTATTAACAGTGAAAAATATTCATAATGAAATTGCTATATAACTCAACCATGCGTTGCAATGGATTTGATATATATATATCAAATCTATAAATGCATGACTCAGAAAATATGGTGAATTATTGTTTTACGTTTTGTACATAAATTCTTTTCTCATTATTGACATATATACGATGAATTATTTTATTACGTTATGTACACATTTTCTTCATTCATTATTAACATACTTATAGAACTTTGCAGAACTAATTATCATCATAATAGTAAATTTTGTCTCGAAAAAGTAAAATTAAAACGACTAAATTCAACAAAAGTTACTTTATCGATAAATTACTTATAAGGTTAATTGAGTTCATAAATTTTGGCAAAATGGTATTCTATTATTAAGATAATAAATTTAGCTATCCAGAAACACAAAAATAAACCAATATCCTAAATAATTCGGAATACCATAAAAAAAACTGTGTTATTTTTTTTTTGAATTGTGCGTTATGGAAAGAGAATTGATTCATAAATTCAGTTCCCAATAATTTTTTTTAAATAATTTTGTAAATTACAAAATAAAGAATTTTCAAGAATGATGTTAAAATAATTTAAAGTGCATGTCGGTAATAAAAATAGCTAAATCACATTTCTAAAGTTATATGATATGATGTAGGGTACAACATAAAAACTATACAGTTATCAGAATATGTTTTTTTATTTAGTAAACTAAAGCATTTGGACTATAAACGTAGGCTGTTACGTTAAAATATTTAGAAAAACAAAAATAGAAGTTTAAAATACATAAAGTGTGATTAGATAATAATTAACTTTTCTTAATAATTTAAAAAGTTTAATATATTTCAAATAACTACTGTAAGTGATAAATCTTATAAAATTTAAATATCGGTTAAAATATTAGTTTTATTATATGATATAGTTTTATTGATTTCTATTGTTAATAGTGGATTTCTATCTTTTCAAAATTATTTTTTGTAAGTTTCTGGTAAATATATTTATATCACAATAATAGATATGTATAATGTTTTTGGAACCAGATGTCTTAGTTTTGAAGTAATCGTTACAATATAAAAATGTATATATAATGAGACATTTTCCTCTGAATGTAATTTTTAAAGTGAATTTGACATTTTTATAATCTTCTGAAATCATTTAGTTTTATAGATAAATACATATTTATCTAGTAAATAAACAGTTAAAAGGTGATGCGGGAACATGACTAGATCACACGTCCTAAAAAAATATTATCTGAGGACAGCTCTTTTTTAGTTATATCAAAGATATAAAAAATTTAATGTTAAGGTATTTTTTAAAAAATAATGTATTTCTATATTTTGAGATTATGAAGTTTATGGTAAATAAATTGAAAATAAATGATGTGGAAAGATATGACTGAATTAAAATCATGAACATATATCTCATGGTATATATTTATAAAATAAGTAAGAGAATATATCTTGACCCCCAAAAAGTAATTAAATACTACCGACTAAGTATTGAACTTCTTCTTTTGTACAATTTTCTTATAAATGCATTTTTGAAAAAAGTTTGAATCTTTTGAAATTATCAGATTTCCATATAAAAAATGTTGACTAATAGAGTAAGCACACATCTTAAAGCCAATATAGAAATATGTGATTTAAATCTGACCAAAATGAAATGTGACTAGACCAAATCTATTAACATTATCTCTTATGTTATTTCTCTTATTGGTATTAAATTTTGTTTACACAAAATGAAAATGTATCATTTTGGAAAATATTTCCTAAGTGGCTTAATGGTAGGTGATTCAAATTACATTGAACCACTTTTAGACCGAAGATTGCATATGACGTATGAAAGGCTCTTTAACGAAAAGATTGGGCCCTTCATAAGACAATTTCACGTTGGATTTAACCCACAACGTATTTCGCAGAGTGTCGTCCAAACGTTGCGTATCAGTGACAGTGACAAAATGTTTCCAACCGTGGCCATAACCAGGAACTCAGAACTCTCAAGTCTCAATGCACTTAACAGAAATGAAGAAGAAGAAGAAGAAGAAGAGCTGATTTTTATAATAAATAAATAAAAATTGGAGCCCATAATTTACAATGCTACAACCCTCTATGGCTCATGGCTTCCGAGTAATTTTTGTAATCGTCCACAGAAGAAAAAAAAGAAAGAAAAAAACCTAGTCGAGTATACAAAGTTACCATTTTAAAAAAGGAACCACCAGTGCCCACTTTACTGCCTATTGAGTAACTAAATCAGCCTCTGCTTTGCTTTGCAAAATACATGCCTGCATCGTAGCAGAGACAAAGGGCCAAGATTCTGAACCGATATTGACGAGAGAGAGAGTCAACAACATCGTAAAAAAGCAAAAGAAGAATCAATACCGGTTCGTTTCTTGCCCTGCACAGAGAATCAATGCAAATCTTGGTAAACTCCTGTATGCTGTCTGGCTCTAATGATCCTGATGATTGTTCTGTGCATAGCGTTAAGAATCAAAAGGAACACCGAATCATCCCGAGGGAGAGAGAGAGACAGAACAAAACATGGAAGAAATTATCACTCAGAATCCGAGTCAATGGAGAGGAACATCCGAGGTCTTACAGAACGCTTCTGGCGAGGGAATGAAAAGGGATTATCTGATCTTTGCTTCTTTGCCTTGTCTCGTCTACTGTCATTCATACCCATAAGCAACGAAGCTGCAAATACGCAGTTACAGTCAGTAAGTGAACCACATTGGACTATCAAAATATAAAGAAGCATCGTCAAAGATAACTTATTAGCTAAAATTTAAAAAGTGAAACAGATCTTTCTCCTTCAGTTGTTTACAAGACCCAGAAGCTAATAAAGTGAAGAAAAATGTAATGCAACATCACGAGCAGGAACCACATTTATAATCTGTCTCAGTCAGGGGAACGAACCAGTGTCTGTCGTATTGTCCAAAGAGCCTTCCCTTGAAGACATCTGCTGGCTCGAGTTAAGCCCGTTTGCAGTTGCAGGCTCACCATTATTCCCACAGGCGCTATCGCCTAGCCTAAGCGAGATCCAGTCATCACTGCGGATACCATTTGACATATCAGCTTGGTTTTTATAACCCAACTGAGCTGAAGCATCTGGTTTTGTTGCCAAAAATATTTGAAGTGAGGGATCGTCTCTACCAAATGCAAGAGGATTGTCAACTAGGCCATCGTTTGCAACTGCTTCAGATGTTCCAGCCGAGCAAGGAACCACAGGAACAGATGCCATTGATGTCTCAGGAGCCGTGGTGTAACCTCCATTCATTTCAGGAGCACAGTTTAGTGAACCATGATGATGCAAACCAACTAAAACTTCTGAAACGTCTGCATCAGATGCAAATAGTTGGAACCCAGGGGCTTCTGGAGTTTCAGAAGGAAACGACCAAAGAGGCGTATCAAATTCATCATCCTCATTGAAAAGACCTAGGCGTGAAGTTCCCCCAGCTGTGGTGTGTGGGTCCTCATTATATGAGTTGATTATTCCAGGAGAGTTCAGCGGAAAATTTACCCCACCATCGGTTCGACAACCACTGTATGCAGGTCCTGGAGTGATTACTACATCATCTTCGTCATCAGAATCACTAAGAACGATGACTTCATTATCCATACCATCTCCAGTTTGGTTTCCATCAGCAAAGTCATAACCTGAATCAACATTCATGGAAATGGAATCGAGTTCAATGCCGTTGGTTCCAAAGTCAAAGGCTCCGATAGCGTCCTGGTTTACGCTTACATCATCACCATCCCTACCACTCCCAGTAGCACTGCTATTCATTGGTATAACATTCTTCTCATGATGCCCATTTTTCTCTCTATTACTGGAAGATAATCCATTCGTATTAGGTTTGCTAACTTCCCAAATGCCATTGCGATTCTTCCTTATGCCAAGTTTCAGAGGGGTTGGGCCATCAGAGAAACCTTCTTGTTTGACCGGAATTAACATTTCCATCTTCCGTTTAATCTCTTCAGCAGACGGGCAAAGACTACCATCAGGTGCGTGCCACTTTGAGAGTTCCCCCAATTCCCTACGCTCACTCTCTTTTTTGAACTTTACACGCCAAGAACCATCAGGTTTCACTTCAATCTCAGTCACCTCTTCATCACAATGCTTCATCTGTCGTTCAGGAAGACAAGAAATGAATAAATGCATAGATACAAAGATTCAAGAATTCTAGCTTATCCATAAGCATACCTTAGACGTGATACGGTTAAAATAAGGATCCACGATTACATGCTCCACTGAGTAGTTCTTCAGACAGATAGGGCACTGCCACTGCATGTAAAACAAACCACATAACAAATAAAGTCAGAAAACAAGAGGAATCAACCCAATATATAGACAAGGATAGGATGCCTGCCTTTCTGGAACGTTGATTCAACTCCACAAACACCTCCAGGTCAAAACAGCCCATGTGCACACACGGTAAAAATCTCCCAGCAACTTTTATTCTAGAACCGCTCATCTAATGACACAAGCAGAGAAGAAAGGTAAAAATTCAGTCATCAGTGAAATATACACGTGCACAGCATCAGATAGCCCTGAGAAAATGATAAGCATCAAACTCGTGACTGCAATAAGTATGGAAGCAGTAACTTACAGGACACCGGAGACCGACACCGAAGAAATCAGCAACAACTTCAATGTCACTGTCACTGTCGGCATTATCATCTCCACCTCCACCTCCAATGCATCGGCGTACGCGTGCAAGAGCATCCTCAAACATCTCGCCTTTAGACTCCTCCGGAATCAAATTTAATACCTAGATGCGAGAATGAGTAAAGATTAAGGCAACTTGGAGATCACTAACACACAACAGCTGAATTCCTAGAGGAAATAAAGGGAAAAAAAAATGTTGCAGCACGAGGACAGACTACACTTAAGTTACAACTGCAATGCTACGAAGCTTCTCAGGCATTATTTGTGACCAGTACCTGCTGTAGAGTCCTGCGCTTCACAAGTCTAACTCCAAAACAAAAACTCCGATTGTCACCTCCACTCACGGATATTCTGTTAATTCCATCCCTAACACAAGGTGTGATCTGCCAAAACAGTAAAATGAGATGGAAACGAATTACACCACTGACTGCAAGACACTCAATTTATAAGAGATCGACTCCTATATTTAAGTCAAAAGGATTACTACTGAAGAGGGATGAAAAACACACAATAGGCCCATCGTCGCGGCCGTTGGCCCCCAAAAGCTGTGACCCAGGACGGTTAGTTGCACGTACAGGCAGACCTACAAAATGATAGGTATATATCAGAAAACATACAGCAGTCTTATTGAGTAAGAATAACAGGAAAACTAAATGTGTATATGACTGCAATCCGCCCACGAGAATTTATGACTATGCAAGAAAATTCATTCCCCCTTTTCAAAGGAACTTGCTCATATCAGACTACAACTCTGGAAGATGTAACTGTCATACCATTGATCTGCAGATCAGCATACTGAGGCCACTGCATCCTAAAGACAACTTTGTCATTCAAGAGCATACACCATGCCTGAACAAAATTAATTTCAGTTAGAAACGCTTAAGTAGATACAGTGTTACATATTTAAAGTACTTTATAAAACCCAACCTGAATATCGTACTCTTGTTTGGCCAACAAGTCCTTATCTGCCCTTGTAATTTGAAATGTTCTCTCAACACTTTGCATTGTGCTTGTACTGGAAATATTTGGATCGGAGTATTAGAACAAAGAAAAGCCAGTAACAGTATTTCTTCGCAAGTAATGTGCTTCTATCTTGGAAAATGGGAAACAATTGTGATTCTTGTTCTCTAGATGCTAGAATGAATGTCTTAATTCAACCGACAAGGAGGACAGTGATTTGAGACTCAAGCGAATACTATCACTCCTTCCCAAAGGAAGGAAACGAAAAACGAAATATAAAGTACTAATTCACACAATGTAGATGATTCTTTATGGAGCGCTTTATTTAAAGCAGGGTGGTCTATGACAGCCCACTGAGTACTTCCGTTTTCTGAAGTTAAATTTCTCATAACTGTAACTTAGAAGAATGCAATAAAAGTACACAAGTTCAAAAAGAATGCGGAGAAATATGAAGGTTCTTACCCATCAATTGGGATGCTCGTTGCATTCAACCTCACTGGAGAAAGTGGATGTGCCACTGTAACCCAAAACCTGCACAAGGAAGATCGTGTAGGATAACCGTAAAAAACAATACTAATGGATAACCAAAATTGTAAATGTAAAGATAACAGCGACATTTCACAACAACATTCTAACTACTATGAAAGCAGTGCTAGGGAAGAGCAACAATCAAAAGCAAGGAGATATAGCAACTAGAATGAAAAGCATATCAAATGTAAAGCAGGTCTGTCTATTCAGATCTAACAGGGGAGGAACTCAGATGGAAATTTGATCAAAACTCAAACTCAGACAAGCAAAGTAAAATCATTGAGAAACTTACGGGTCAGCTCGAGTAAGACGGCAGATTTCACAATAAAATGATTCAGGAAGTGGTGGATTTCCATCCATAGGCTTCTCCGGGATGATAACACAGCCAACATGTTCCCAAACATGGCATCTCGGATCCTCACACTTAGATTGAAAAGAAAGCAAAAAGAAAAACTGATTAGAACCAGAAAGTATTATCGAACTTCACAAATGGAATCAGAAATGAATACACAAGGTCATCCGCCATAACACAACGAGAGATGCTCTACAGCAAGCTTAAACAGGAATAGACACACAGAGTTTGTCTCAGATTACCTGTATCATTGAGTCCGTCTCTAGTGAACTTCCACAGACACACCGGACTTTCATTTCTGGATGAAAGAGATCTTCAGGCTCCCCTTTGACTTTCAGATTACTGGTATCTGAACTCACTTGTCCTTTTGATGCTAAATCACTTGCACCAGATACTTGCATTTTCCTATGGAACACAAAAAAAAAAAAAGACATTTCGGTAACAATTAATCACACAGAAAAAGCATAGCCTTTTCGTAAGAAATCCATGACAAGAAAAAATCACTCACCTATATGTATCGTCCACTAGTTTAGCAACTTCTTCCTTTGCCACCGTGTTCTTTTTAGACCACAACCTAGCAGCTGTCAGTAGGAAATGAAGACGGAAGATTATCAGAAGATGGCAGAGCTAACAGTGACTTTTATAAGACCAAAAGAGAAGCGCTCAAATAAACCTTGTCCATCAGAAAGAAGAATCAAGATCCGGTCAACAAGTTCCTGTATAGTAAGAAATTAAAAAAAGAGAGAATAAGAATAAGAACATATATATTCCACAATGGCAATAATCGAAGATGGTAACCTAACTATTTACCAGTACCATGAAGCTTATCTGATACCTACGCTATAAATGCCCATAGACAAAACATATCTACCCAAAACAAAATGGAGAAAATAAATCCCAACAGATAACACTCTTTCTACGGTACGTCTTAGATTCATATTAGCAATGCTAAATACATAATCACAAAACACGGGAAAGGTCCAATTATGACCATCTGAAACATCATCTTCTGTGCGAGCATCATTTGAAACAACCACAACCATGATTATATAACAAAAGAAAGATTAGCAGAAAGATTTTAACCTGCTTCTTTCCCTGTTTCGAAAGTCCGAGCTGAGTGAGCACATCCTTGAGCTCTTTTATCCGAAAAGTTGAAAGCTTCTCCTGCAAACACAACAAAAAAAACGAAATTTTGAGCCTAACTAAAGCAACCATAAAAATCCACTAACAGCAATCATGCGCCATGAATCCAAAACCCTTTTGAAATAGGGAATCAAACAGTGTTTTTAAAAAGCAAAGCTCTTTGAAAAATGAGCTCTAACAAGTGCAAATCAACACAGATAACAAAGCACACGCTTCCTAATAATTTGATAGACAAAAGGTAGAGATCTTCTCCAGCCAATATGATACCTTGCAGCTATCCTCCAAATCCATGTCTTTAACCCAAACAGCAACAAGAAGCAAGCGCAGCTCAAAATTGGCGAAAGTTAACTCCAACAATTAGTCCCAAAGCCGTGAAATTGACACAGCACACAGTCTCCATACAGCAGCCGATCTAAACAAGATGGAAACCAAAGCAAATTACTCAAAACATAACGAAAACAAACCCCTTCAACTTCAAAGGAGAAATATCGAAAAGGAAAATTCAGAAATTGAACGGAAACACAAACCAAGGGATCGGATACTTCATCAAAAACGTATGGAAACTGGAAAAAAAATTGAGGAGAGATTGGAAACTAGGGTTTTCTGCAGCTCGATAAGATTTTGCCAAGGGATAGAAGGAAGAAAAAAGAGACACCAAAGCAGACGGGGAAAAAAAATCGATCTTCGGAGACGAAAACAAAAAGAAGGGTAGCCGGACGAGTCGCCGATAATCAAATCCGGTTTAATGACGGGCAATACGTCCGGGTTTAGTTCCTGTGCGGTCACGTGCACGGTCCAAAATCGAAATCCCTCCTCCCACCAAAATTGACGTGTTTTTGACTTTCGGTTCAGTTCACCCACTCCTATCTTTAGATGGTAGTAACCCAAACGGCGTTTCGCTTCTTTGTTTTCTTCCGGGCCGGTTTGTTTTGCTAATTTGCCGGTTTACATACTTCAAAGCAATTTGGAAGTATCAGCTAGGGTTGTGCATCATCATATAAATGAATGTCCAAATAAATAGGTTTTGCTAGATGAAAATATGTATTCTATTCATCAATCCTTTTCTTTTTTTTGCTTAAGGATTCAATCCATTATCTGAATCTAGATTATGATAATCAGTTTAAACTAGTATTCAGTTTCAAATAAAAACATGAGTTGTGTATGTCACTATGTTCAGAGATGGTTTGATTTGCTTGACAACTACATTTCTCTTCTGGCATATGTAGTAGATATTGTATTATGTGATTCTTATTTTTCTAGGTAAGACTTTGGAAACATATTTTAATTTTAAGTCTTTCTTTTTGTTATTTATTCAAGTTTGGCTATCATCTTTCCATCATATAGTTAACTTATTTGTTTGTTTTGTAAAAGAAATGTTACATTGGTAAGGTAGTCTAAGTTCTTTGATTCATTGAGTTCATGAGTTTGATGATTTTGTGAGGAGGAGTTCCAACAAATACTTCTGCATAAAAAAGGACTTGGTTAAGGGAGTATCGTGTTTAACAAATTAACATGTACTCACAAGTCTAACCACAAGGGAAGAAATGATGGTGTAAATCCGAGAGATTAAAAAGAGTTTTAGTAGAGCTAGATTTACATTGATCTGCTTGCTTAGTGAAGTCTTTGGGCTTGTTTATTTTCAGTGACTGCTTACCGAAGATTCTTGAGTCTTTTGGGCTGATCTCATTTAGTTGAGATTTTTTTTTGCTTCTGGTGGAATCTATTTGACACTAAGCCCTCTTGCGTTCATGATGTTGATAGGATAAAAGTTTTCATTGATTTGTCAACCTTTTCGTCTAACCTTTTTTATAATAGGCCCCTTTTCCAAAGGAAAACAAACAAAACAAAAACTGTAAAGAAAAGTCACACTTCTCTTGTGAGTGAGAATCAAACCAAATTTCTGTGCGTTACTTGTAATTGATTCACGTTTCTTGAAACTTTCAAACTGAAGATGTGCTAATAGTTGAGCTTCTCGATGAGAAAACTTCACAACGACCAAAACATATTTGAGCAAAAAGCAAGAACTTGTCTTAGAACAAATTATGGTCACAGGATAACATGAAGAAGATCAAACCAAAGTCCTCCAATAATGAACAGTCTCGTGCTTCAGTTGGCTTGCAGTGAAAAATCAAAGAGAATAGTTTATGGAGGGATCTAATAGTTGAAGAACCAAAGTTACAATGGCTTGAAATGATTTGCATCAATTGTTAAATGGAAAGGATCGGAAATAACAAAATAACCGACGTACCTTCAAAGTTCGAGCTGCAATATCGACTCTCATGCAAATATAAGTATTGCTGCATAGAAGAGATAGCGTCACCATCACTCAAAAACTATGTAGAAGAAGCTAAGAGATGATGGCGCTATCGCTCCTGCGAAGCAAATCTTTATTTGCAGCTTTGAAACCACAGAAGAAGCAAGAACACTCATTTTATGATTATGTATGTGTGTAACCACACAACATTAGATTCATCTCATATAAATAGATACTACCACAAGGGTCTAAAAAAAAAGAGTGGACTTAATTTATGCATTCACTATCATTGCTCGTTGTTGTCATTTAGTATGCCGCTTTCTTTGTGGCTACAATCAGATGATTTTTTCAGGATTATTATCCCAAGTGAGGTCATCGTTTTTAACGTCATCTCTAATGATCTGTCGTAATTACCTTTCATATCCAAGATGTTACACTGGTTTGTTATTTTTCTTTTCATCTTTGTGTGTATGTTCTTCACTTGATTCGAGATCTGGATTTTGCATTTATTCTCAAATGTTACATATGTACAAGTTCATTGACAGTAGCGAGAATTTTGTGAGCGACATCAAGGTCCCATTGTAAGTCTCAAAACCAATAAAATTTATCCTTAACTAGTCCTTGCACAGTGTTGGTACTATACATACTATGAGCACAGTTTGAGCTATTGGATTCTTGTGACAACAATTATCCATACCAACTAAGATCTATATATACATTACGCATAATCTCAGCAAAAACACATAACATATTAATTGCTGGTTTTTAGTCGTTTAGCAACAAGATTTTGTTATTAAGACCTCTCTGTATGAGCTCTCTAACTATATAATCTAGTGATAAATTTTGGATCAAAAAGTATATATCAATTTAGTTGTTTTTTTTCATTTTGGCAAATTGCAAAGAGATTGGTTCCAATCATCAATTCTATATTAAATGCCCTTGTCTGATTATGCTTGGTACGTCTTTCTGCGTGATAAATGGTGACAGTGATGTTAAATCTAACAGTACTGTTTTAAGACTTTGCTTGAACCAGAAGCTTAGCCTGGAATTACTTTATTATGTAGTTGAAAACTTTGATGATTTAACATGTGAGACTGCGCATTTGTTCTCACAGAAAAAGTAAAACTAACTGCAAAAGAAGAAAAACAAAAACAGAGAGAAGAAGAATCCAAGCTAGAGTTGTCATGTCACGCGTAAGAAAAAAAAGTTAAGGTAAACCGATATTATAAATCTACTATATTATGGCTCTGAATGGTAACAGTGGATTGAATGGTACGGGATAAAAAAAGAAACGGGACGGTATGATTTTTGTAAGAAAAACGCAGTATGCGGAACAAGTGTGATTTATGTAAAACAAGCGGTACGGGATAATATTTGAATGGTAAAAACTATAGTATGTAATGCGGGATAATATTTTAGATAAATATTTTTTAAATTGGAAAAATGTTGATATTAGTGTAATTATAAATGATTTCTCAATTCTTTTTTAGAAATACCATGCATAATTTAAAAATAATTTAACTTGTAACAATAATTCAACCACACCATTTTACACACTTTTCATTTGAGGTGCGTTACTTCATAAAATCTATCCCACACATGTTATTCATTTTTTTATTATTAAATTTTTATTCCAAAAACTAATGCAAAAAGTAACGTGAATGGTGACTAATTTATGAAACACACCTTTTCCCGCTTGACCCGTACTTAACATTCAAAGCCTATGAATTTGGATGATTATGGCTTTGAATGTTAAGCACGGATCCAGCGGGAGAAGGTGCGTTTCACAAATTGGTCATCATTCAGATTACTTTTTGTATCAGTTTTTGGAATAAAAGTTAATAATAAAAGAAAAAGAAAAATAGGTGTGGGACAAATTTTATGAAGTAACGCATGTCAAAATGAAATGTCCCTAAAATGGTGTGGTTGGGTTACTGTTACAAGTTAAATTGTTTTATTAATTATACATTATATTTCTATAAAAAGATTGAGAAATCATTTACATTTACACTAATATTAATATTTTTCCAGTTTTAAAATATTTATCTAAAATATTATCCCGCAATGTATACTATATTTTTTACCATTCAAATATTATCCCGTACCAGCTTATTTTACACAAACCACACTTGTTCCGTATACTACGTTTTTCTTATATAAATCGTCCTTCTTTTTTTCTTATCCCGTACCACTTAATCTGTTGTCACCATTCAGAACCTATATCCTTTCAGTTTCACTCACTGAAGTCACAGACACACATTACTTTCCCTTTTGTTTCCTTTATTTTGTGTTGCTTTCTTGAAAGTGAAAAATGGATTTTAATGGGAGAAGAAGAAACCATACCTACTACTCTCGCCACATATCAATTGTACACACCACAGGACAAAAAATATTTTCTCTCACATTTTATATTAGCAAAGTGGATATTAACTACATAGTACCACTATATAACCTATATCCTCCTTAATCCTTTGCCAATTCAAGATCTTGTCTGTTTCCTCTCTCTTTAGATTTCTGAAAACAAGATCCCATTTTCTGAATTGACGAAGAAAGAAATGCTGTCATCAACTCTTAGTGGCAACTATGGCTTCCCTCTCTGCATCTCTGGGATCGCTCACCAATCATCTCTCTTCAAAGAGTAAATAATCTCTCTGTTACATTTTTTCTCTCTCTTGAGATCTCTCTGTTTAGTTGACTTCACTGTTTCTCTGTCTCTCTGTGTTGAAGAATGGCAGATCATGACAAGAGAAGGAAGGGGCTGAAGAAGAGAAGGAGATCAGAGGGTAAAGACGAGTGCAGGAGATCAGGAGGTGAAGAAGAGATGACTGTGGAGAGATTGGATGAGCTATGGGTTCAAGAGATGAGAGAGAGTCAAGATGTTAGAGATCTTGTTGCTTTGTTCCAAGATCTAGGCTCGTGGAACTTTTCTTCTAACACCGCTAAAGCTGCTTAGTTTTAAAAAGAATTCTAAAAACTCTTTTAGATCTCAATTGAGTTATGTTTCTTGTAAAACTGCAGATCAGAATCTTTAGCTGAAAAATCTTAAAATATTCCTCAATGTTTTTATTACTGTTGTTGACACGTTTATTTGTCGTTGGTGTGATGCTCTCTGCCTCCTTTGGCCTTATCCTCTTTGTTTTTGGTCTTTAGCTTCTTTGTTGGATAATTTCTCTATTCTTAGCTCTAATCTTTGGATTAAACTTAATCGACTGATTGTAGTGTTCCCTTGTGATGCATCGAAATTCTATGAATGTTTAGAGGTATGCAAATCACAGTAAAGTCTAACTAATTGGTAGAATAGAGTAACAAAGATCCAGAACTATTCTTGAAATATGCTCAAACGAAAATCAACACAAACTCAGAAAAATTCAGAACGACAACTTAAAACCAATTATGACTGTGACTAATCATCGCTAGACAGTGCACAAGCAATGTAATGGAAATTGAAGAACAAAGACAATTAAATTGCCGCGCAACAATACACTAAAAAGTAATCGACTGATTGTAGTGTAATCATCTGATTTCTATGAATGTTTAGAATTATGCAAATCACAGTGAAGTCTATAACTAAATGACAGGAGAGTAACAAACATCTAGAACACGGAATCAACTAAAACTCGGAAAACTCGGAGTAACAGGATCTTGATCTATGCTCAAACGAGAATCAACTAAAACTCGGAAAATTTTCAGAAGGACAAATTAAAACGAATTATGACTGACTAAGCAAGTAAGCATCGCTAGACAGTGAACAAGCAATGTAATGGAAATTGAAAGAACATAGACGATTAAATTGTCGCACAACAAAACACTAAAAGGATTTCAAGACAAAATTATCCAGAAACTGCATAATTGCAAACCGTAATAAAAGTCACCGATATCCAAAAAGGAGGTAGAGAGAGAAGTGAGTCGCAGGGAAATAAGAAAGAAAAACCAGGCTCAAACGCCATCAAAGTTTTTCAAAGCAAAGAGAGAGAGAGAAGTCTCATCATTTGGCTCCCTTCTTGACTGCGGCCTTGGTCACCTTAGCTCCGGTTGGGTCCTTCTTGTCGACACTCTTAATGACACCAACGGCGACGGTCTGCCTCATGTCCCTGACAGCGAACCTACCCAAAGGAGGGTACTCAGAGAACGTCTCGACGACCATGGGCTTGGTAGGAGTCATCTTAACCATACCAGCGTCACCGTTCTTCAAGAACTTGGGCTCCTTCTCGAGCTCCTTACCAGAACGTCTGTCAATCTTGGTCAAGATCTCAGAGAACTTGACTGCAATGTGAGACGTGTGGCAATCGAGCACTGGAGCGTATCCGTTACCGATCTGACCAGGGTGGTTCATGATGATGACCTGGGATGTGAAGTTAGCAGCTCCCTTGGCAGGGTCATCCTTGGAGTTTGAGGCAACGTAACCACGCTTGAGATCCTTGACAGCAACATTCTTGACATTGAATCCGACATTGTCACCGGGAAGCGCCTCCAAGAGAGACTCGTGGTGCATCTCAACGACTTAACCTCAGTGGTCAAACCGGAAGGAGCAAAGGTCACAACCATACCGGGCTTGATCATACCGGTCTCAACACGTCCTACTGGCACCGTTCCAATACCACCGATCTTGTAGACATCCTGAAGTGGGAGACGGAGGGGCTTGTCTGATGGCCTCTTGGGCTCGTTGATCTGGTCAAGAGCCTCAAGGAGAGTTGGTCCCTTGTACCAGTCGAGGTTGGTGGACCTCTCAATCATGTTGTCACCCTCGAAACCAGAGATGGGCACGAATGGGATTTTGTCAGGGTTGTATCCAACCTTCTTCAGGTATGAAGACACCTCCTTCACGATTTCATCGTACCTTCCCTTTGAGTACTTGGGGGTAGTAGCGTCCATCTGAGAAACAAGGAAACAGGTAATAAGAGACATTATTAGTAAACAGTAACCAATATAGAGTATGGTATCACAAAAGCAATCATAAAGAATTGCGGTAAGTTACTTCACCTTGTTACAGCAGCAAATCATCTGCTTGACACCAAGGGTGAAGGCAAGAAGAGCGTGCTCACGGGTCTGACCATCCTTGGAGATACCAGCTTCGAAACCACCAGTGGTGGAGTCGATGATGAGGACGGCACAATCAGCCTGAGAGGTACCAGTAATCATGTTCTTGATGAAATCACGATGTCCAGGAGCATCAATGACTGTGCAGTAGTACTTGGTGGTCTCGAACTTCCAGAGAGCAATGTCAATGGTGATACCACGCTCACGCTCAGCCTTAAGTTTGTCCAACACCCATGCGTACTTGAAGGACCTCTTGTTCATCTCAGCGGCTTCCTTCTCGAACCTCTCGATCACACGCTTGTCAATACCTCCGAGCTTGTAGATCAAGTGACCAGTCGTGGTCGATTTCCCAGAGTCGACATGGCCAATGACCACAATGTTGATGTGAAACTTCTCTTTACCCATAGCTGAGAGTCAAAACAAAGAGATAGAATCATTAGAATCAAATACCATCTCTTACTGTTCATGAACACAACTACAATACAGATCCATTGACAGAAAACATTATATCGTCGACGAAACGACTTCAATTGCATATCCAGGTACAATACACTAAATCTACTTAAAACAAAGAGCATCATCAGCGAAACGGATCAAAAAAGCTGCAACCATATCAAAAATCGAAACAGAATGAAAAAACGAGCTCTGAGGATACAGAACAACACGATTACTAGATCATAACATCATACAATGCTACTCACATATCGGATTGCGAAGAATCGAGCTAAACAAAAGGAGAAACGGTAATCACAAACTGTAAACAAGAGGATTTCTCCAATATGAGTCCGTCGTGCTAAAACTAAGCAATTCGATTGGCGAATAAACAGATCTCAAGCTCGAGAATCAATACAGTATAAAAGCAGAGAGTAAGCGATAATCACAGTGAAGATACAGCTAGTAATTAGAATCTATACTACGAAGATATAATCAAGGATGCATAATTAGCATCAGGAATCACAAGAATATGAAGAACATAAACCTAGAGAGAGAATTTTGCTCACCTGCAGGTAAGAATCTGTGAGGAGTCTTGCGGCTATGAAACTGAACGGGAGAGGTAAAGTGAGAGCGCACAATAAAAGAGGAACAAATAAGAGTATTTATAGCTGTGAGTTCTAGGGTTTCGCATTTTCAGTCGGTTCGGAATTTGACTAATTTGCCCTTACGTGTTTTTAGCCTTTCTTAGTTTTCATTTACAGTTTCTTCTCTATTTGTAAATTGTACATTTTTTTGCAATTGTAAAATGTCGTAGTTCTATGTGGTTAGCTGAAGAAAATGTAAAAGGTGTCAAAAACAAAAATAAACAAAAAGTAAAATAAGACATTTTAAAGTCTTTTAAGAAAAATTCAAATACAACAGTTTTCTTTATGAAGATGGAACAAGAAATCCAAAAACTCTTAATGATTCTACTAGTAATGAATTGGCTTTGACAAATCTATGGAATTAGAAGTGATTTTTCAGTTTGTTCATTTCTACATCAGAAGCTAGTGTTTAGTTATATTTATAACAGCTAAATTTATCAAACATAAAACATTTACTAATTAAATGTGTTCATAGATTGGGATTTGTTGATTAAAGTTAGTAGCTACTATAAGCTAGACTAACAAGATCAATAGATTACTAGAAAAATACTGTTAATCGTCGTATAATTTTATTCAGTATGGATTTAATCTAAAATAAGTTGGTTATTATTAAAGAGAATTTTAGTTTATTCCGTCAACTACTAGTAAGAGTTTATGAGAGATGACTACAAATAAAATTTATCCAAAATGTTGAATCACGATCATGTTATGTAGCCATATGTCATCATTCGTCTTGTTCTCTTATTTTTTCAGTTATGACTTATGTGTGAGATATAAAATAGCTAACTACAGTTTAGGTTTGAACTTCTTTATGTTGTGAATGAATTCACTAAATATTTCAAATTTTGGTTAAATTTTGTCTGTTTTTAATCAAACCTTCTCTTTTAAGTTGGCGACAAGCATACAACTTTGAACACATTGAGTAATTAGTTATTCAACAAATTATATGATTAATTAGATTCCTCAATTAAATCAGAACAATTAAACTTTATAACAAATTTATTAAGAGCCTGATCTCAAGTCAACTAAAGTTAAGACAAAGTATATAAAGAATTGACTAGTCTTATTCAATATTTTATAATTAATATGTGAATAAATGGTACTGTTAAGTTACCATACAAATTGCCAACAATGATACATACTCTATGTACAAATACAATCGAACAATAAAAATGATAAATACATACAGTTCGTTTAAATATTGGAAATATACCAGAATCAAATGCAGTACAGATCAATCTTGAAATGTGAAACTTACCCTGACCGAACCACTATGAAACTAGCTAACCACTATGCAAAATCCAAAGATTATTAAACAAGAGCATTGATATGATGTTTTGTATGTGTACTCACTTTATTAGATTCATCTCATTGAATTGTCATTTAATTCAAACAGTCACACTATTATTGCTGATTGCTCTTAATTGTCATTTAGTTTGCCAAAATGTTTTACGGAATTATTATCTCAAAGGAGGTAATCGTGTCAACGTCATCACCAATGATTTGGCACTACCTTCATCTCCAAGATGTCAACCTGATTTGTTATTTTTCTTTTCGTCTTTGTAGGTACGCACTTGTTCTTCCATCTATTCTCAAATGTTAAAACAACTTTTTGTTCGGCTTCACGCATTTCGGATTCTGGATGGGAAGGCGCGATCTCAAGAAGAATTAACATATCCATAACTTGTTACTTAAGTCTTAAGCAGTCCTTGTATATAATGTCTTTACTGTTGGAAGTTGGTTGTGTATACTAATCGAGAGATTGTATTATTGTATGACACTTGTCAAACTACAATCTAACTATACGGATAATCTCAACCAAAATACAAAACGTACAGATTGCTGGTTTTAGTAGTTTAGCAACAAAATTTCATGAAGAAGATAAGTGTGTATAGATTTAGTAAATAATGTTCACCAATCTCTGTTGATCAGAGCATAAGATAAGGGTTTTTTTTGCATAACGATTGCAAGATCAGTTCCAATCACCAGTTCTCATAAATGCTAAAAGTTTAAAGCAAAACTTAACCGGAACTGAGTTAACTACAAACCAGAACAAAAAGTCTCAGAGATATCCAAAAAGGAGAGGGAGAGAGAGAGTAGCAGAAAAATGAGAAAAAAGCTCAAACGCCATTGAAGTGTTTTAAAGCAAAAGAAAACCATGATTAGAGACAAGTCTCATCATTTGGCTCCCTTCTTGACTGCGGCCTTGGTCACCTTAGCTCCGGTTGGGTCCTTCTTGTCGACACTCTTGATGACACCAACAGCAACGGTCTGCCTCATGTCTCTGACGGCGAACCTACCCAATGGAGGGTACTCCGAGAAGGTCTCGACCACCATTGGCTTGGTGGGAGTCATCTTAACCATACCAGCGTCACCGTTCTTCAAGAACTTGGGCTCCTTCTCGAGCTCCTTACCAGAACGTCTGTCAATCTTGGTCAAGATCTCAGAGAACTTGACTGCAATGTGAGATGTGTGGCAATCGAGCACTGGAGCGTATCCGTTACCGATCTGACCAGGGTGGTTCATGATGATGACCTGGGATGTGAAGTTAGCAGCTCCCTTGGCAGGGTCATCTTTGGAGTTTGAGGCAACGTAACCACGCTTGAGATCCTTGACGGCAACATTCTTGACATTGAATCCGACATTGTCACCGGGAAGCGCCTCCAAGAGAGACTCGTGGTGCATCTCAACGGACTTAACCTCAGTGGTCAAACCGGAAGGAGCAAAGGTCACAACCATACCGGGCTTGATCATACCGGTCTCAACACGTCCTACTGGCACCGTTCCAATACCACCGATCTTGTAGACATCCTGAAGTGGGAGACGGAGGGGCTTGTCTGATGGCCTCTTGGGCTCGTTGATCTGGTCAAGAGCCTCAAGGAGAGTTGGTCCCTTGTACCAGTCGAGGTTGGTGGACCTCTCAATCATGTTGTCACCCTCGAAACCAGAGATGGGCACGAATGGGATTTTGTCAGGGTTGTATCCAACCTTCTTCAAGTAAGAAGACACCTCCTTCACGATTTCATCGTACCTTCCCTTTGAGTACTTGGGGGTAGTAGCGTCCATCTGAGAAACAAGGAAACAGGTAATAAGAGACATTATTAGTAAACAGTAACCAATATAGAGTATGGTATCACAAAAGCAATCATAAAGAATTGCGGTAAGTTACTTCACCTTGTTACAGCAGCAAATCATCTGCTTGACACCAAGGGTGAAGGCAAGAAGAGCGTGCTCACGGGTCTGACCATCCTTGGAGATACCAGCTTCGAAACCACCAGTGGTGGAGTCGATGATGAGGACGGCACAATCAGCCTGAGAGGTACCAGTAATCATGTTCTTGATGAAATCACGATGTCCAGGAGCATCAATGACTGTGCAGTAGTATTTGGTGGTCTCGAACTTCCAGAGAGCAATGTCAATGGTGATACCACGCTCACGCTCAGCCTTAAGTTTGTCCAACACCCATGCGTACTTGAAGGACCTCTTGTTCATCTCAGCGGCTTCCTTCTCGAACCTCTCGATCACACGCTTGTCAATACCACCGAGCTTGTAGATCAAGTGACCAGTCGTGGTCGATTTTCCAGAGTCGACATGGCCGATGACCACAATGTTGATATGAAACTTCTCTTTACCCATAGCTGAGAGTCAAAACAAAGAGATCCAACCATCAGAATACAAGTCAAATACATAAATCATCTCTAGCTATACAGATCCGTTGACACAAAACTTTACTTCGTCATAGAAACTACTCTATATGCATTGGTAGCTAAGATCCAACCTCAAAACACTAAATCTACTGAACATAAGGAGCATCATCAGCAAAACGGATAAAAAAAGCTGCAACGACATCAAAAATCGATACAATTCGTTTATACGAGCTCCGAGAATACAGATCAACACGATTATAAGTCAAAACAATATTCAAGTCCACTCACAAATCAGATTGCGAAGAATCGAGATAAACGATAGGAGAAAAGGTAATCGCAAATTGTAAACAAGAGGATTTCTCCAAAATAAACTCAAAATAAGCAAATAGATTCATGGATAATCAGATCATGAGCTCGAGAATCAAAACAGTATAAAAGCAGAATGTAAGCGGTAATCCCAGTGAAGATACAGATTGTAACGAGAATCTAGGCAACGATGACAGAATCAACGATACGGAAATAGCATCAGGAATCATAAGAATATGAAGAACATAAACCTAGAGAGAGAATTTTGCTGACCTGCAAGTAAGAATCTGTGAGTAGTCTTGCGGCTATGAAACCGAACGAGAGAGGAAAAATGAGAGGAACGAATCAGGATCTTTATAGCTGTGAGTTTTAGGGTTTTCGCATTTTCTGTGGGTTCGGCAATTGACTAATTTGCCCTTACGCGTTCCTTCCATTGTCTCATTTTTTTTTACAATTGTAAAATATCTTATTCTATGAGAAATTTTAAATGGTGGAAAAAATAAATTAAACAAAATGTTCAATTAGACATTAAGAAAAATTCAAACGCAAGCGAGAACTTGCTTCTGTTGATATTTTTAGGTTAGAATGGAGGGTTACGGGAACATGAAGGCGGCGCCTGAGTTAGTGGATTCGAAGACGTCGATGTGGTGGGACATGGACACCTGTCCGGTTCCCGATGGGTATGATGCTCGTCGGATCCGTCCAAGTATAGAATCGGCGTTGAAGGATTTAGGGTACTTGGGTCCTGTAACCATCTCCGCCATGGGCAACCTAGAAAAGACCCCAGCTCACGTCCTGCAAGGCCTCTCTTCCACTGGAGTCGATGTTACACACACCGTTTCCAGTACGGTGGGTCCATACATTTTATATGGTTATATGGAATTCAAACGCCTTAATCCACCTCCGGCAACAATAATGATCATATCCGATAAAGTGGATGATGAATTGGCTCCCGTTCTTTGTCGGGCTCAACAAATAACGGGTGGATATAACCTTGTTGTGGCACATACATGTACTATGCGGAAATGGACGCAAGCCCTGTACACTACTGCAGAGTGGTTCTGGAAAATCATACTGGGGGATGATCAACAGCTTCAGAATTTCAGTGAATCTGGTGAATCTACCAAGTTTTTATGCCAATCATGCCAATTTACTGCCCCAGCCGTTACAAATTTCACCTCGCATCTCTCCACTGATATACATAAACAGAAGGAGTTGAATATTATCGAGTCTAGGTCATGATGACGAGAATGAGCAACCAGAATGAAAGGCAAGTTTTAATATCTCACTCAAGTTACTTATAATGATTTGGATTATGCCTGTTTATCTTGGCTTTGTTTGGTATTGAACAATTTCTCACTAATTAAGCTCTCTTTATTAATTATAATTGACAAATCTATGGAATAAAAGTGAGTTTGCAGTTTATTCATTTGAACCTAACCTTAATGGAAACACTGTGAAACTACTTTAACCACTACGCGAGAATGAAGAACAATAAAGGAAGTAAAATTCAAAGGCTAATAAACAAGAACAGTAATATGATGTTTCTGTATGTGTGTACTCACTCTATTTAGATTCATCTCATTGAATTGTCATTTAATTTAAACAGTCACTATCAATATCATTGCTCTTAATTGTCAATTAGTTTACCGTTTTCTTTGTGGCCGCCACAGTCAGATGATTCACAGAATTATTATTTCAAGGGAGGTCATCGTGTTAACGTCATCACCAATGATTTGGCACTACCTTTCATCTCTACGATGCTAATTGATTTGTTAATTTTCTTTTCGTCTTTGTATATACGCTCTTGAATTTCCATCTGTTCTCAAATGTTATGTATGTACAACTTTTTGTTCGGCTTCATGCTGGGATTCTGGATGGGAATGCGCGACTTCATAGTCCCATTGTCAATCTCAAGAAGCATTAACTTATGCTTTAGCAGTCCTTGTATATAGTGTCGACTGTTGATATTGTATACTATAAGCTCCTCGATTGTCAGTCTAACACAAATTAAGATATTGTATTCGACACTTTGTCACCCTGTATCTCAACAAACATTACATAAAATACTGTTTGCTGGATTTTAGTAGTTTACCAACCAGATGTCATAAATTCACTATGTATTAATTTGCTTGATGTTCTTCACCTAGAACTTAGCTGATCAGAGTATAAAATAGTAAGGTTTTTTTAAGGAAAATCATTGCAAAAAGGTTCCAATCGACATTTCTCATAAATGCTAAAAGTTTTAAGCAAAATTAACCGGAACTGAGTTAACTACAAACCAGAACAAAAAGTCTCAGAGATATCCAAAAAGGAGAGGGAGAGAGAGTAGCAGAAAAATGAGAAAAAAGCTCAAACGCCATTGAAGTGTTTTAAAGCAAAAGAAAACCATGATTAGAGACAAGTCTCATCATTTGGCTCCCTTCTTGACTGCGGCCTTGGTCACCTTAGCTCCGGTTGGGTCCTTCTTGTCGACACTCTTGATGACACCAACAGCAACGGTCTGCCTCATGTCTCTGACGGCGAACCTACCCAATGGAGGGTACTCCGAGAAGGTCTCGACCACCATTGGCTTGGTGGGAGTCATCTTAACCATACCAGCGTCACCGTTCTTCAAGAACTTGGGCTCCTTCTCGAGCTCCTTACCAGAACGTCTGTCAATCTTGGTCAAGATCTCAGAGAACTTGACTGCAATGTGAGATGTGTGGCAATCGAGCACTGGAGCGTATCCGTTACCGATCTGACCAGGGTGGTTCATGATGATGACCTGGGATGTGAAGTTAGCAGCTCCCTTGGCAGGGTCATCCTTGGAGTTTGAAGCAACGTACCCACGCTTGAGATCCTTGACAGCAACATTCTTGACATTGAATCCAACATTGTCACCGGGAAGTGCCTCCAAAAGAGACTCGTGATGCATCTCAACAGACTTGACCTCAGTGGTCAGTCCAGAGGGAGCAAAGGTCACAACCATACCGGGCTTGATCATACCGGTCTCAACACGTCCCACTGGCACCGTTCCAATACCACCGATCTTGTAGACATCCTGAAGTGGGAGACGGAGGGGCTTGTCTGATGGCCTCTTGGGCTCGTTGATCTGGTCAAGAGCCTCAAGGAGAGTTGGTCCCTTGTACCAGTCGAGGTTGGTGGACCTCTCAATCATGTTGTCACCCTCGAAACCAGAGATGGGCACAAACGGGATTTTGTCAGGGTTGTATCCAACCTTCTTCAGGTATGAAGACACCTCCTTCACGATTTCATCGTACCTTCCCTTTGAGTACTTGGGGGTAGTAGCATCCATCTGTGAATCAAGGAAACAGGTAATAAGAGACATTATTAGTAAACAGTAACCAATATAGAGTATGGTATCACAAAGCAATCAAATTGTAAGTACGTTGCATTACCTTGTTACAGCAGCAAATCATCTGCTTGACACCAAGGGTGAAGGCAAGAAGAGCGTGCTCACGGGTCTGACCATCCTTGGAGATACCAGCTTCGAAACCACCAGTGGTGGAGTCAATGATGAGGACGGCACAATCAGCCTGGGAGGTACCAGTAATCATGTTCTTGATGAAATCACGATGTCCAGGAGCATCAATGACTGTGCAGTAGTATTTGGTGGTCTCGAACTTCCAGAGAGCAATGTCAATGGTGATACCACGCTCACGCTCGGCCTTAAGTTTGTCCAACACCCATGCGTACTTGAAGGACCTCTTGTTCATCTCAGCGGCTTCCTTCTCGAACCTCTCGATCACACGCTTGTCAATACCTCCGAGCTTGTAGATCAAGTGACCAGTCGTGGTCGATTTTCCAGAGTCGACATGGCCAATGACCACAATGTTGATGTGAAACTTCTCTTTACCCATAGCTGCGATTCAAAACAAAGAGATCAAACAATCAGAATACAAGTCAAATACATGAATCATCTCTAGCTATACATGACTATAACCAGCTCATCATCAGTAAGATCAAACTTCAAACAGCGAATTCAAGCTAAATACAATACAGATCCATTGACAGAAAAACCGTAACTCGTCATCGATTGCTAAGATCTAACCACAATACACTAAATCTACTTTAAACAAAGAACATCATCAACCAAACGAATCAAAAAGCTGCAACCATATCAAAAATCGAATCAATCTGACAAAACGAGCTATGAGCATACAGATCAAAACGATAACAAGCTTTAACTATATGCAATGGTACAAGTGGATTTCTCAGAAAAGGATCCGTCGGATTCAAAGTGATCTAATAGATCGAATAATCAGATCTTAAACTTGAGAACAAATACAGTATAACAGCAGATACTAAGCGATAATCACAGTGATGATATGGTTTCTAACGAGAATCTAAGTAACGAAGAACTTAATCAACAAAACAGAAACAGCATGACGAATAGTAAGAAGGTGACGATTATAAACCCTAAAGAGAGAATTTTCGCACCTGCAAGTACGAATCTGAGAGGTGTATTGCGGCTATGAAATGAGTGAGAGAGATAAATAAAGACCGAAACGAGTCGTATTTGTAGCTGTGAGTTCTAGGGCTTTCGCATTTTCTTTGATTTGACTAATTTACCCATACGTGTTTTGGCCTTTGCTTTATTTTATTTTAGAGAAAAAAAAAATTATAAAATTCATTTCTCTAATTATAGATTGTGCTTTTTTTCTTCCATTTTTGAATTCTAAAATATCTTACTTTTATGTGATTATTTAAGTAAATTCCCAGTGTAAAGTTTTCTTTCTTGTGCATATAGAGATCCAAGATTTATTATTGACTGTCAAATGTTTAAGGAGTTTGTTTTTTTTTACCAACGTTAAAGGAGTTAAGGAGAGTTTATAAAAGATCACTGCAGAATTTTCCAAAACGTTGAATCACCATGACACCATCATGTATCCATATGTCATCATTCTTCTTATATTTTTAGGTATGTATTGAGATATGTGGGTACAACTTTAACAAACTGGAAATTAGGCTTGGGCACAACGTTTCAAAATATGAACAAACTGATTCACCAATTAAATCAGAATAATTAATTTTCATAACGAATTTATTCAGGACATGTTATCATACAGTAGACAACAAAAGTTAAGATGACTAATCTTATTAAATACTTTATAATCAATATACGAATAAATTGTATAGTGAATTACTGCATTGCCAACAATGATACATACAAGGTGTTTGTACAACATAATAACATTTCCTTTAAATATTGGAAACCATACACCAGAACCAAATGTGGTAAACCGGCAGAAATCAATCTTGGTATGCCAAACCAACCAATCAGTGTGGTAAATTTTGCTTCGTTTTTTCTGTTAAGCAAAATTTACACTTAGCATCATTGTAACGGAAGCATCAAACTATCTTTTTCTCTCTAGTTTGCTAAAGGAGGAGTTTCTCTGGGTGGTGAGCTCGACGCAAGAGATTCCAGACTCGGGTTTCCAAGGCAAGACTTAGCAAATTGGCAATATCGGCATTTCCAACGTTCTTCTTCTGGAGTGTACTCAGCTTCTCGTTCACTCCTCCAGAATTCAGTGAGCTCTGTATATTTTTTCATCATCCATTCATGATCATGTTGGAACCTAATCTCAGCTATTATCGATTGGTCCTTTTGAAACTCGTACCTGAGTCAAACTCTCCCAATCAATATTCAAATTTGCTATAACCATTGCCTTTCAGATATATCAATGTGTTTTTTAAAACAATGTTCTTCTTACCGTATTAGTAATTGATCGTTTGCTAGCGGAAGCATCTTGAAAGTGTTCTCATAGTACCTAACTATCTCTTCAAGTGTCTGCATCACAGAGTGAAAAAAATGTTCAAGGATATCAATAAAACCATCTCCAAGTGAGGACTATTGAAATAATCTTGCTTCAAGTAAGACATTAGTACATACCTGTGCTGGGATACCTGCATTAGCAATGTTATCTCTTACATCTTTCGATAGAACGTAGTGCCGATCCAAAGAGAAGTAATCGAAAAAGCGTTTTGTCTGGAACTTTTCTTTCACAACACTGTCCCATAGCATCTTGTAAAGCATCAACTGAAATCTATACAACGAAATTAATTTAAAATATAGTTAGCATTGAACTCATTAAGATAAATGAAAACAAAAAATGTACAAGCACTTACCTTCCATTCCTTCTTTGTGGCTCAGCAGGGAGTGTGTCACGGACTCGAGTCTTTGTATCTATCAACAACGGTCCAATTTCAGAAGACTCTTCTGCTGTTGCGTTTCGAACCTCATCAATAATTCCTATAATCCATTGACCTCCAACGAATCCTAAGCTGATGATATACACAATGAAAACTATGAGTGTACATGGGCATAAACAGAATCAAAACTAGTGGTGAAGAAGGAACTCACACTAATAATTCACGGGTTCGTCCTTCAAACAAGTATTGATTAACACCTGCGATTGAACTTAACAGCTTCAGTGCCCATTTATCTTCATTTGATTCCACTTTTACTTTGACCTTTGTAACTACCTGCACATTATTAGGTAAACGGAGATTAGTAGATGATTTTAGGCAAATTGTTCACAAAACTATACTATATAAGTCACCACCAAGTTAGAAAATATGATCCGTCACATTTCATACCTCTTCTTCAAGCTCTAAATGACGAGCCTGACCAAGTTTCATGGCTTTGTTGACTTTCCTCCTTCCAAAACAAAGAAGATTCTCCATTTGTTTCTCACACCATTCCTGTGACAGAGACCAACAAAAAGAGAATCAATTTCGGTATAATTCCGGAAATTTTGAAGCAAAATTGATGATATGTTAAACGGGAACGATCAACGTACTGTGCCGGTGAGATCCGTGACACTCAGAGCTTGGTTTCTTCTGAACCGATGCAAGTAAGAGTCTTCGATATCCGAACAAGCGGAGAGTTTTCTTTTCGAGAATATGGTCATCGAGCGGATGGCCTTTGGGCTTCGTGAAGGAGAAGAAGCGGAGCGGATCGCGGAAGGGAGGATGGAGCGCGTGGCTGCGAGCATTGCGTCGAGGATAGCCATTTCTTCTTCGCTGACGATCTCGATTGGGATCTCGGGGAAGGAGGAGGAGGAGGAGGCATGGTGAGATTGTGGGGTTGAAATAGCGACAGTGGCGGATTGAGCGGGCGTTGAGGACGTGGTGGTGGGTGAGTCGGAGGTTGACTCGGAGTGTGACTCGGCCATGTTTTTTTAAATCGGAAGCAACGTGTGGTGTCGTTGCCCTTTCGTGGCGTGTTAAAATTTTAAAACAAAAGGGTTAACTAAAAAATAAATTGTACTGTAACTAAACACTTGAGTTAACCGAGGCGACTGTAAATACTAAAAAAATAAAAAAAGTTATATGCTTTTTGTTAATGGATGTCACAATATAAAGTTTGCGTGACAGATTTTAGAGTGACTTTATTATGAAAAACAATTAACAAAGTAAAAGTTGGATGAGATCCAAGTGACCACTGTAGAATGGAGATGAGATCCATGTGACCACTATAGATACGGTCAGAGAATTCTTCAAAATGAAGTATTCTGTTCTGAGATGAGATGCATGTGATCACTAAAGATCCCGTTATTAGTATTAATCTAAAATTAGTTAAGAAGAGTAATTACAAGAACACTAATAGACAATAGTATTGATGTTAATTCATATGTCGAAGAACGTTGATGAAAGTAAAATTCATAACTTTGTAAGTTTGTATGTCATCTGACTTGGGGGATCAATAGCAAAGCTATTAAGGTCTAAATCAAAATGAGTTCTTAAATTTAACATGCATATAATATAATTTTATCGTCTACAGTTTTCGCATTATTTTGTTATTTTGTACATATAAACAGAGCTTATGGTACAACAAGCGTAGTAAACATTATCCTGTATCGACTCCCATGTCCTAATTTTCAAGTATGTAATGTCTTAATCCAATAGATATTCGAACATATTGGTAACTGAATCATAAACCATCGACCAACCACATTCTCAGATCATCTCTAGGCCACAACCGGGTACGATGCACATGTCGCAACACCTGCAATTCAACAACGAATCACCAAAAGTTAGAGACAGACCAAATGTGAACATATAAAAGAAATGATAACGGTATTATGAAATTTCATAGTTTAACGATGGTTAAAGATCTTCCTACCACACATGTTCTTCCCCATCTCCATCTTGAAGTAACCTTTGTCTCCCCAACTCGCTCCCCACGAGTTCTTTATAAGCCAATATGGAACACCCTTTTCAATTCCATATCCAACCGCCAACACCGCGTGGTTCACGTCCTGATGCCAACATAAAAAAACGAGTTCAACACTAACATAAGCTAAAGATGCTTCTAGTTGCAACAGAGTGAGAGATTTTAAAGAATAAAGTCTCACCATTGGAGTTTTTCCACAGTCAGTATCAGTGTAAACACCGCTCGTGTAAAGCCGGAAAGATTTTACAACCTCGAATGCGACGCTTACCGGCCGCACCAGTCCAACCGCATGCTTCAGTTCATCTTCAGCACCCTGTTGTTGTTGTTGTTGTTGTTTTTGTTTCAGTCACCATTATTACACAGAGTGTATATTGTGAAATTCATAATCCTTACCAGAGTAATGTTGACTGAGTCGAGGACTTGTACACCGATGTTTTCCGATGAAAATTTGCAGGTTTGGTCTTTACCGGTGTAAGGATAAGCTTCCTCTGTGTCAAGGCCACCGTTGGATTTGATGTACTCAAAGGCTTGGGAAGGAAGACCACCATTGCAGCCGTAGTTGTTGAAAGCTCCAGCACAGTCCACTAACTGTTGCTCGGAGAGAGAGATTCCTTTTCCAAATGCTTGATGGTACGCTGCCTCAAGAGCTCCAGTTGTGCTGCAGTACGAAAATCGGATCATATGACATAAAATTCTACATCAAAGGAGATATTAGTATCCTAGTCATTGGTTATACCTGAATGTCCAGCAAGATCCGCATCCTCCCTGGTCTTTGACCGGACTAACAATACCATCTTCTCTCCAGTCTTTCTGCAGTTACACAATTTGAGGACTCAATTAACCAAATTTTGAAAAAGGGTCTGGAGCTAAACGTTTTCTTGAAACTGAAGAGCAGGAAGCAAGATAGAGTCATGGACCTACACTTTCTGGAAGAGCTGCTTCTGTGAGTTTGTGGCTGCCCTTTAAAGTGGCAGAGCAGTTTTGAGCAGCACCAAGCTTAGTCCTTTGAAACTCTTGCCATGTCAGATCAGCAAATTCTGTATGGATTCATCAGACAGTTAGCAATCTTTATCCATCAAATCAGGACAGCTAATTCTTAAAGAAGCAGAACGATAAATTTTTATGCTAAAGTTTTACGCAAACTAGTTTAGACCAATCATAACAATCTTGAATCACGTGAATCAAAGCAACAGCTAAAATCAAAATACAAAATAATAATCCACGTAGAAGATCCCAAGACAGAAAAAGTTAGTTTCCACGTTTACCACAAGGTTTATATATACACATCTCAGTTTGTTTTGACCTGTTTTCACTTAGAGACACTGTCGGAATCACAGTTTCCGGAGAAGAAGGACAAAACTTACGATTGACACCGAGTTTGTAAGACAAGCCTTTCTTGTTAGTGGATCTGATTAAATCAAGATTCTCCTTGAAAATCGAGAATCGGAGCTTTATCTCCTCCGCGTTCTGGTACCTTTTCCCATACCTTCATCAACAGAACGGAGAAACTACGTTTAATCAAAGACAAGCAAACAAAACATGATTAAAAGTCAACGGAGATGAAGGATTGGACTTACCGGTGAGTGAAGCGAGCGAAGGAGAGAACGTGACGGGACTGTCCTAAGATCTGGACAACGGACTCCTCAATCTCCCGGAGACCGTCGGCGACCATTCGGATCGGATTGGACTCATCGAATCCGATATCCGCCGCCGCCGCCGATGCGGCGATGAGAATCAGTAGAATCACCAGTGACATGATTGTTTTCACAGACATGGCTTTCTCTCTCTCTCTTTCTTACTTACTTTATTTTATTTTCTCAACTAACGTTTCTGCTTCAGTGTTTACTGTTTAAGCTCGAGGGAATGTGAGTGAGAAGAAGAAGACTAGAAGACGGAAGAGAGATACAGCCGGAAACGTTATCGGGACACGTGGTGGTTTCTAAATGGACAGTCGTTGTCCTATATACTTGGAATGTTGACGTGTATGGTGATGTCATAGTATACCACCAAGAAAATCAATCATACTTGCATGATTTTTAGACGGGAAATTGCAAGAAAGCCCCTAGATAATTAACTAATTCAGTCGACAACCCTTTAAAACTCTATTTATTTTATTTCTCTATCATTAATCTTGTACAAACCAAGAAGAACAGAGTATGCATTTGTACAACGTTTGTGTACAAGGAATGGATATGCGGGCATATGCCATATATAAATGTATAATTGTTTGTAGCCTTGGTGTACTTTGAATCTTTGATCAAAGAAATGACTATTACTACAAGTTTATCAAATGTGTTTATGCTTTGTCACCAAGAGAAAGAGAGGGAGACTTGTAATGAGATATGTTGTACAAAATGCGTAAACGGTGACGACTTCATCATTGCTGCTAATATTTTCTTTGGTCAATTGTATTCATTCCACTGACTTTCTCAATTCTCATCCATCGGTCTTCATCGATAGAAGAATAAAAGTTGGATAATGGGTAGCCTAATGGGTAATGAAGAGACTTAAGGCCCATTTAGAGTTTGTCTCTCTCCTTTTGCTTTGTAAAAAGTAAAAACCCTAAACGCCTCTGCTCTCCCTTCTTCTTCTGCTCTGTCTCTCTCTTGCTCGTATCTCTTCACTTCCAATCTTCAGCTTAATTGTATTTTGGGTAATAGAAGAAGAGATCATGGCGGGAGGTAAGAAACAGACACCGCGCGTAAGGCCGAACGTACTGATTACAGGGACTCCTGGTACCGGTAAATCGACGACGGCTGCTGCTCTGGCCGAGGCGACTAATTTCCGGCATATCTGCGTCGGAGATCTGGTCAAAGAGAAAAACTTGCACGATGGCTGGGACGATAAATTCGATGCTTACATCATCAACGAAGACTTGGTCAGCTTCCTCTACTCGATCCAATTCCCCTAAATTCTAATTTTTCCTTTTTCCTCAATTCCTGGCTACTTCTTCATCACATTCTCAGCTTCTTTGGATGGATTTATCATGATTAAAGCTTAACTCTTTAGTGAGACAAATAGGTTAATTCAATTGGAATTTGTGGCTTAACTCTCAATTTATTAATGTAACTTTGGAATCTTAGCTATTGTGCTTGAAATTGCAAGGTTTTGGTTATACATTCAAATCAAGAGAGGCCTTCTAAGACTTTTTTTATTTGACTTGATTCAGGTGTGTGATGAGCTTGAGGATGTAATGGTAGCTGGAGGGAACATAGTGGACTACCATGGCTGTGACTTCTTTCCGGAGAGATGGTTCGATCGTGTTGTGGTGCTTCAAACTGAGAACACTGCCTTGTTTGACCGTTTAACTAAGAGGTCAGAATCATAATCAGAATCAAATCCATTGTTTACTTCATCATCAAGACTAGTTTAGTTGTTTAATGTTGCTTTTGAACGGAAAACAGGGGTTACTCGGGAACCAAGCTTAGCAACAACATTGAATGCGAAATCTTCCAAGTCATTCTCGAAGAAGCACAAGACAGTTACAAAATGGAAATTGTCTCCGCGCTACAAAGCAACACACTCGAAGATATCTCCAGCAATGTCGCGAGTCTAACGGATTGGATTAGAACATGGCAGCCCTGAGGATCATCAGTTTCTGGAAGCTGATGAGGATGCATCTTTTATAGTGATATATATGATTCAGTTTGTGCTAGTGTTTCTTTTTTATGGTTTCTGAATCTATCTTAAAAGTTGCAATTTGTAGCACTTGATATTCTGAAACACAATCAGCTTTTATTATGTATGCTCCTTTTTATATTTTATTAAATGAAAAAGTTTTCATCTTTCTCATTGGTTCTTAACTATGATAAATCATGATTTAAAAACATAGATCATACTCGGTTCTTCATTCTTAATCAAGTCAATGTGGTATAATATGTCATTAGTGCGTGATTAGTTTTAAACACATGCAGAGCTCAAAAGTCGAATAAACTGCGAGACAAGGTACGATAAAAACTTGAAGAAGAAAAGTCTGTGTCTTTACTTATTTGACGAGGTTGGTTTTTTCCTCGTCATCTTATCTGAGAATTTTGCTTATAAGATTAGCATCTGATCCTTGTATGTTGTTAACAATTGAGTAATAATTTGGCAAAAAGCTAGTATCTTTGTATTTCAACTGTGTGCTTATAAGCTGTTCGACGAAATGACTCAGTGAGGACAAAGTTGCCACTAAAGAAGGGTTTTTGTTTGGTTGTTCAGGTGAAGCAATGTTGGCGAAGACGACACATCGCCTTGTTTCGAGGTGTTTTTCGTCAGTTTCTTCGAAGACGCTTAAAGTTGGAGATGCATTAAGAGAAACAAGAGTGTTCTCAAGTGAAGATGTTGAGGCCTATGCTGAAGTGAGCCGTGACTGGAACCCTCTTCATTTTGATCCTGAATCTGCTCGTAAAGCCGGTTTTGAGAATCGTCTTGTCCATGGAATGCTTGTTTCTTCCATGTTTCCCCGTATTATCTCTGCCCATTTCGTAAGTCCTACATGTCCTAGTGCTTTGATTATACAATACAGATTTGCAGAAAACATGATTGAATGTGTTTTGGTCTTGTTGCAGCCTGGAGCAGTGTATGTTTCTCAAAGTCTGCATTTTCGATCACCAGTTCACGTAGGAGATGAGATTCTTGGGTTGGTACAAGCCACTGCTCTAAGAGAAACCAAGAATAAGTTCATGTAAGCTAAAATAACCCAAAGTTTGTTTTTCTTATTCTCTATCATAATAAAATCTCCATTTTTACATTTTTTTCAGTGTGAAATTCTCAACCAAATGCTTCAAGAACCAAAGTGAACTTGTTGTTCTTGATGGTGAAGCTACTGCAATCTTACCAAACCTAGAAATGCTGAAGCCAAGTCCTTCGGAATGATAGGAAACAGATCTGACATCTGTAAGAAAATAATTAACCTTTTTCATAATTGTTATCAACATTTCAGTGATATTGTTTTGATTTTTCAAATTTTGTTTATATTCAAAATTTTAAACTTATACAGACATTTAGAAAGAAAAATCTAAATTAAATTATTTAACTCTGAGATAAAATCTAAACTACTTACTGTAATTCCTCTAACAACATCTTAACAATCTTTTAAACTTCAAACGTTTCACAACTTTTTTTGCTGAATGAGAGAAGAAAGAAAACGAGAGAGCAAAAAATGGAATCCAAAAGAGGCTTCTCTTTCAGATCAATCCTCTTCCACTCTCTGTGGACAACTCTCACAGGAATCCTCTTATTCACTCTCTCCACCACCAAAAGACACAACTTCGGTTACATCAAATTCTTTTCCATATGTGGAACATTGCTCATTACCTTACCTTGGATCATCCAACTTCTGGTCACTTCTGCTGTCATTATACTGCATAGGACCAGAGGTTACAACCTCATGTGGATTGTTCAGCCACCAAAACCCAAAGAGAATCATCTCAACAACAATGTCGTCACTATCTCTTCTTCTTCATCTCCTCTTCCCTCTCGCCAGGTTGTGAAGAATGGCGACACCGATGGGCTCGAGATTAGGATTGTCATTGCAAGTCCAAAGGATGGATCCCCTGCAACTCTTTTGGAGATTGAAGGAAGAAGAAACACCAAACTTCTCACAAATGGATCACCTGTTGCTTAACTTGTTAAGTCTGTTCTTGTTCTGTTTTTTTTTTTCTTGTTCTTTTCTTTGTTCTGTTGTTTTTGAAGACTTATGGTCTGAAACTTGTAGTGCTTACAAGTTTTGTGATATTTCCATTGTATGTTTCATTAGTAATGACTTTCATTACTTTTATATAAAATTCTGTACTATTTCAATAACAGATTCGTATTCAAATCTATATAAACAAATCCAGAATGTAACATTTTCTTTGTCTGAAACCATATGAGGTCGAATAACCAAGAAAGTTCTTAGATTTTCACCTTCCATCTCCGTATGTGATCGTGTGAGTAACAAACATGGAGTTATGAGGCGAAGCTAGAGAGCTTCTTGAAGTGAAGGCTGTTTCCAGCAAAACCGGAGTATAAACCCCAATTCCTGGAGAATCCGGTGAGAAGTTTGGCAATGGGAGGTTATTGTTTATGTACTGCACCACTTGTTCCATGGAAGGTCTTGATTCCGCAACAACGTTTGTGCAGAGCAATCCGAGTTTCATAACCATCTCGACTTCTTCTTCTGAGTATTCACCTCCCAGCTTTGCATCTATAGCATCAAACAGAGAATCACTTCTCCAGCAATCACAAACCCATTTGACCAAATGCCGTTTCTCAGCTGGAATCTTGGGATCTAAAGGTCTCCTTCCACAGACTACTTCAAGAATGAAAGCACCAAATCCATAAACATCTGTTCTTGTAGAAGTTCCCATTGTCGTTAGCTCTGGTGCCATGTAACCCATTGTTCCTACAGCTGCCGTCACAGGCACGCTATCTCCACAATCTTCAAACCTCGCCATGCCAAAATCTCCTAACCTTCCATTGAATTCAGAATCCAACATGACATTAGAAGCTTTTATATCTCTGTGTAACACAACCTGACTAGCTCCTGTGTGAAGATAATTCAGAGCAGAGGCAATATCTTTCAAAACCGCTAGCCTTTTCGACCATGGAAGAGGCGGTTTTTCTCTATGAAACAAGTACCGATCAAGACTGCCATTAGACATATACTCAGAGACAAGAAGAAGCTCTCCTTTCCTCCTGCAGTATCCAAGAAGAGGAACCAAGTTCTTGTGCTTTATGCTTCCCATTGTCACTACTTCAGCCACAAACTGTTTCATGCCTTGCTTTGCATCGTGGCAAACTCTCTTCACCGCTATATCTCCAATTCGTGGTAAGTTTCCTTTGTAGACTTCTCCAAAACCTCCTTTCCCTAAGCGACCATCTCTGTCAAAACCTTTTGTTGCCCTGTAAAGAGATTTATAACAAAACCTGTGTGGACCGTAGTCTTTTTCCCATGCTTCTCTGACTTCTGCGTACTTCTTTCTCCTGTATAAGTAAACACCTCCGAGACCAGCCAATACCATGACTGCTAGTAACACAAATAGAGTGATAAGCAGCAGAGAAGTCTGCTCCCTTTTAGCTCTTGGATGAGGAATGTGAGGAAGTTTTGACAAGTCCAGTCTCTGCAACAACACTTTGCTTCTGCTGAAACTCCATCCTAAGATGTATTGGTAACTAACCAATGACCCTGTTGCTGCAGAGAATCCGAAGAACAGTTTTTGATCCGGGAAGATCTCAGTAAGATTGATGGATCTTGACAAGAGAGGATGGTTTGGTTTCTTGATTCTTAGAGGAGCTACTGTGACATTGAGTAAAGTTCCTTCATAATCCACCCACACCTGTAGAGGCTCTCCATTTAAGAGGTTTATGCTTTGATTCTTCCCTTTGGTGTCTGAGTAGTAAGAAGCTGAAGCAGACTCTATAGACTTGAGGCTGTTGATGTCTATACCGACATGATCCTTGTCGATATCATCAAACTCTGCGCTTTGGACAGTATCAAGCTCAACAGCAAGAATCTGAGCAGATGGAGATCCGTTTGTTGAGATGTTGAAAAGTCCCAAGTACTGAGTTGGATCTGCTTGTGTGAAATCCATGGAGGAAGACACAACAAATGCAATTCCGTGGCCACCATCAACTCCTGGTTTAGGTACAAGCGCGCACACAAAATGAGTTGAGAAAGAGAGTTTCTTCTCAGATGAATCAAATTGGAATGGCTTCTTGAAGAAAGCATGTCCCATTTGCTGCATCGAGGCGTTGGTTAGCTGCAACAATCCATCTGGTAAGAGGATTTTTGCATCTCCATCTAGATGAAGATCAGCTTGAGCTTGGTCAAAGCCATTGTAGATGAAACCGTCTCCTTCTTGTTGACTTAACAAGAAAATGAGATGATTAAAGAAGATTAATAAGATCAGATGCATTCCTTGAGAAGCCATTGCTGATGATGAAACAGAGAAGTCTGGTTTGGTTTATGGGTTTCTATTCAAGATTTAAAAACTTCTTCAAAACATGTATTCAAGGCCATTTTTTAACATTACTAGTTGAATTCTCATTAGGAAATGTGCGCATCTCCCAAGTTGAATTAACTAAAATGAAATGGATTTTAAATGTCGCAATGACGGTTACCTTAAACCTTTATTTTATGTAGTGGTTGTTGATACAATAATTATATGGTTTGTTGTCTGGTTCTAACAATGACATTATACACACATGGCTTGGAGAATAAAGCCAATCTATCATATTTAAAGTAAAATATCAATGCATAAATCAAAGAAAAATGGTATGAAGAATTTAAATATCACATCCTTGTTTGAGTCTCCACCTCTTTCATGTTTTCTTGGTTTTGTATTTGCTTTGATTTTAAAAGATAGGATGGCAAAAACATAAATCACAAATATTGATTATATTATATATCACACTTGTCTACATTTGCTGGATGATATTAATGTCTTCTTTCGCATGATACTCTGTTCTAACTAAAAAACTAATAAATTCACGTAGTTGTAATAATAATAGCTTCAAAATAGTATTGTAAATGGATGTTGACCAAAGAAGAAACATATATAATATAGGTTTGCATTTTGATCACCATGTGTATCAGTCACGTCTATTGAACTAATGGGTGAATAGTTAAGTTCAAGTCAATGATTGCAAAAAGATTAAACTATGTTTTGTGAGATCTGGAAATATTTTCACAACCCTTTTCTCTAACAGAGTTGCAGATTTTACAAGCATGTAGCTTAACTTAACATAAGAAGATAGCCATTATGAGATTAAACGGATGGTTAGATACAGAGAATGGTCTGTTAAACACTTAAGGGAGATCAAAGAGATACAAACCTGAATGGTTATACTATCAGAGATAAGACTACACGCTACTTTCTGAATGGTTGTACAATCTTGGAACCTAGAAATTTTTTCTTTCTGCATTATAATGTACATTTGGCATTTACCTCTGACTACTAGATGAAGAAAGTTCTTAGATTCCAATGTGTCACATCATAGCTGTACCATAGTAAGGTGAGTTGTTAGGCGAGGAAGAACAAGAGATCGATGAAGCTGACCAGCTCCTTGAAGCTACAAGCGAAGCTGCATCGATCAGAACCGAAGAATGACTGCTAAACCCCACACTATATGGTGAAACATCTGGCAAAGGTAAGCTCCTGTTTAAGTATAGAACCACTTGTTCCATCGTAGGCCTAGACTCCGGCACAATATTTGAACATAGCAAACCGAGTTTCATAACCATCTCCACTTCCTCCGGTAAGACTTCATCTCCTCCCAGTCTCGGGTCAACAGCATCAAGCAGAGAATCCCTTTTCCAGCACTCACAAACCCATTTGATCAAAAGCCGTTTTTCACATTGCAACTGTGGCTCCACAGGTCTCCTCCCACATGTTACTTCAAGCATGAAAACACCAAACGCATACACATCAGTTCCAGTGGAGGCCACCATATCAATAACTTCCGGCGCCATATAACCTATAGTTCCAACAACTCCTGTTGGGTACGCATAGCCTCCATGTTCATGAAACCTCGCCATACCAAAATCCCCTAGCCTCCCGTTAAACTCAGCGTCCAACATAACGTTTGAAGCTTTAATATCTCTGTGAAGAACAACTCTATCAGCACCTGTATGCAAGTAACAAAGAGCAGAAGCTATTCCCTTAACGATAACAAGTCTCTGACTCCAAGAAAGTAACGGTTTCTTGTCATAAAACAAATGCTCGTCGAGACTTCCGTTAGGCATGTACTCGGAGACAAGAAGAAGCTCATGTTTTCTCCTACAATACCCTAAAAGTGGAACAAGATTCCTGTGTTTTAGACATCTCATGCTCACCACTTCAGAGACAAACTGCTTCACACCTTCATCACCATCATGAGACATTCTCTTCACAGCTATTACTCTGCTTAAAGGGAGATTCCCTCTGTAGACTTCTCCGAAACCTCCTTTCCCAAGAAACTCATCTTTGTTGAAACCTTTTGTTGCTTTGTATAAAGATTTGTAAGAGAATCTGTGTGCACCATACTCTTTTTCCCATGATTCAGTCACTTCTCCATACTTTCTCCACCTGATAAAGTACACTCCTGTAACAACACCTGATCCCATGACAGCCACAAAACCAAGCAGGACAATAACCATCGGAGATAGTATCATCTTCTTATGCTCAGCTCGAGGATGAGGAACTTGAGGGAGTCTTGAGATGTCAAGTCTCTGTAATGATCCTTTGTTTGTGCAAAAACTCCAAGAAAGAAGATATTGATAGCTGATAGCTGTCCCTGTTGCTGCAGAGAAACCAACGAACAGTCTTGATCTGTTCGGAAAAATCTCTGAAAAGTTGATGGATTGTGACAACAGAGGAAGACTTGGTTTCTTGATTTCAAGAGGAGCCATTGAGACATTGAGCATAGTGCCTTCATAATCAACCCAAACCTGTATTGGCTTTCCACTCAAAAGGTTTATGCTTTCGTTCTTCTTTGTTACATCGGAGAAGTAAGACGCTGAAGCTATTCCTACAGAGAGAGGACTGTGAACATCAATCCCGACATGATTGCTATTGATATCTTCAAAATCTGGATTCCAAATAGTGTCAAGCTCAACAGCAAGAACATCAGAGGAAGGAGATCCGTTTTTGGATACGTTGAAAATCCCCAAGTATCTTGTTGACTCCGCGTGTGAGAAATCTGTTGAAGGAGATATTACAAAGGCCATGCCATGGCCGCCTTCAGCTCCTGGATGAGGCACAAGAGCGCAAACGAAGTGTGTTGAGAAGGAGAGTGGTTTATAGGAAGTGAGCTTGATTGGTTCCTTGTAGAAAACATGAGCCATTTGATGATTTGAAGCGTTTGTAAGCTGTAGTAATCCATTGGGAAGTACAGTTGCAGATCCATCAAGATAAAGGTTTTCTTGGCTGAGGAAGTTTTTATATACAAACCTTGTCTCTTGCTGACTTGATAGAGAAATGAGATGGAAACAAGAGATCATTAGGATATGAAGCAAGCCATAAGTCATTTCTGATGATGAATCAGTGAGTATGGATCTGTTGTGCAGATCATATAGCCAAGAAACAAAGAAGGATGTGTGAGCTTGTGTTTCAGTGATGCAAGTCTAAAGTATTGTTTGTTATAGTCACCGTTTTTTTCCTTTACAAACTGGACTCCATTGATTTTTGCATCTCCATCTAAATAAAATAACAATAAAAAGCTTCATTTGAGACAGTATTATAACATAAGTAACCCCAAGTTCAACCCAATGAAACTACGCAATGCTTGCATGTGGTGTACCCAAAAACGGTAATAACGGGTCAAACACAATACAATAAAACACTAACTTATGTCTTGACTAAATGTCACATTAACTTTCATTAGATTTTATTAACTAATTTTATTTCTTCAACTTGAAGCTAGAGCTTATACGTTGACCCCAAAAGGATCTCTAATATATATGTGTACTTGAAAGACCAGTACTTTAAGTATTCCGTTGGCCAGCTAATGTGAGACTTCAGATGAAAAGGAACAAAGGCTAAGAAAGCCTGGCAAAGTCATGACAGGTAATGTTCTCTAAATGATGAATGTAGTTTTAACGTTTGTGTCTTACATATTAACCTAAACCCTTCATGGCTAAGCAATAAAGCAGATGCAGCATCTTCTTCATCGTATGGTTTCGGTTTCGAGTTTTAACCAAATGTGAAATAGTTTTGTTTATTGGTGTTGGATCGGATCAGTTTGGTTTTTCTGAACTATACAACTACTGTAGTTTGATCTAACCCATATTCTGCGAGTTGTAAATCAACGACTGACATAAATACAGCATTAAAAATCCTGCGAGTCACATGTATGTCAGGCACTGTTACATTTGTCGTCTCTCGTAGGTGTGCCTGGTGATCCAATAGTCCACATGTCGCTTAACTTATTATTCTCAAACACACACACAAATTCTCTAACCGCTTAAATTCTCTTTGCAATAAATCATAAAGATATGTATTCATCGAAATCATAACCAGAACACACAGTTACAGCTTAAAAATCGACCAGGTTTCTAAACAGAGATCCAGTTAGTATCTGACTAAATCAAGATACCAAAATCATATACAAAGAGCATATTAAGAAGCAAGTATTTGGTATTTGGTAACAGAGAGACAAGTTGAATAAGTTTCTTTAAAGGGACAAACTGATTTTGTTGGACAGATCAAAGAAAACAACTGAAAGAAGATCTGTTTCCTGATATTATACATCAGGAGTTACCTCTGATTGCTGATGTTGGAAAGATTGGACTCAAGAGCTTCTGCAGGCAATGTGGCCGCTTTGACAGCAGGTGTGAAAGTCTGCGTTTTAGGCTTCTCTGGCTCTGCAACAAAGTGAAGAGAGTTCTTAGTATCCAATGTCTGTCCCCATGGCTGATCCTCTGTTGTTGTCTGATAAGCATAAGGCGAGTAGTTGGATGAAGAAGTTAGCGATGGACCTGACAACCTCCATGAAGCGGATGAGACTACAAGCGAGGCTGCGTCCACCAGAACCGGAGCAAAAGTGCCAATCCCCAAAGTATACGGCGTGAAATCTGGCAGAGGCAAGTTATTGTTTAGGTATAGGACCACTTGTTCCATCGTAGGCCTAGATTCCGGGACGATATTCGAACAGAGCAAACCCAGTTTCATAACCATCTCCACTTCCTCCGGTGAATATTCTTCTCCCAATCTTGGATCGGTAGCATCAAGCAAAGCATCCTTTTTCCAGCACTCGCAAACCCATTTGATCATGTGTCGTTTCTCAACTTGCAACTGTGGTTCCACAGGTCTCCTCCCACAGGTTACTTCAAGCATGAAAACACCAAAGGCGTAAACGTCAGTTCCAGTGGAAGCTCCCATTGTGATTAGCTCTGGTGCCATGTACCCTACAGTCCCCACGGCTGCTGTCGTAGCTGCATTGCCTCCGTGCTCATGAAACCTCGCCATGCCAAAATCCCCTAGCCTTCCATTGAACTCGGCGTCCAACATAATGTTGGAAGCTTTGACATCTCGGTGCAGAACAACTTGGTCAGCACCTGTATGGAGGTACCACAGAGCAGAGGCTATTCCCTTAACAACCACAAGTCTTTGTGGCCAAGAAAGAGCTGATTTCTGGTCATCAAACAAATGCTCGTCAAGACTACCGTTGGGCATGTATTCGGAGACTAGAAGAAGTTCCCGTTTTCTCCTGCAATACCCAAAAAGTGGAACCAGATTCCTGTGTTTCAGACATCTCATGCTCACGACCTCAGCCACGAATTGCTTCACACCTTCATCACCATTATGAGACACTCTCTTCACTGCTATCTCTCTGCCTTGTGGGAGATCTCCTCTATAAACCTCTCCGAAACCTCCTTTTCCGAGAAACTCATCCTTGCTAAACCCCTTTGTTGCTTTGTACAAGGACCTGTAAGAGAACCGATGAGCGTCAAACTCCTTTTCCCATGTTTCCGATACTTCTGAATACTTTTTCCTCCTCCGGAAAAACACTCCTACAAGGAAAGCCAACACCACAATAACAAGACAGACGAACAAGACTATAACCGCCGGAGAGAGCTTCTTATGTGGAGCTTTAGGAGGTGGAGGTGGAGCTTGAGGAGCTGGAGCTTGAGGACGAGGAACTTCAGGAAGTTTTGAGATGTCAAGTCGCTGCAGTGATCCTCTGCCAGTACTAAAACTCCACCAGAGAATATACTGACCACTGATCGCATCCCCTGTTGCTGCAGAGAACCCAACAAACAGTTTTGATCTATTCGGAAAAACTTCTGAGAGATTGATACGATGTGACAAAAGAGGCCGACTTGGCTTCTGGACTTCAATAGGAGCAATAGAGACATTGAGCAGAGTGCCTTCATAATCCACCCAGACCTGTATAGGGTTTCCGCTCAAGAGTTTTATGCTTTCGTTTTTCCCCTTCTTGTCGGAATAGTAAGATGCCGAAGCCAAATCTAGAGATATTGGACTGTGCACATCAATCCCAACGTGATTAGCGTCGATATCATTGAACTCTGGGTTCCAAATAGTGTCAAGCTCAACAGCAAAAACGTCATTTGTTGATGCGTTGAAAGCCCCAAAGTATCTTCTTCCTTGTGCCGTCGGGTTCTCCATAGAAGGAGATACTAAAAAGGCAATACCATGGCCGCCTTCAACACCTGGCTTAGGCATCAGAGCACACACAAAATGTGTTGAGAAGGAGAGTGGTCCAGAGGAACTTAACTGAATTGGTTTCTTGTAGAAAGCCCGACCCATTTGATTATTTGAAGCGTCTGTCAGCTGCAGTAATCCACTGGGAAGTACAGTTGCATTTACATCAAGATAAAGATTTTCTTGGGCGCTGAAGTTTTCGTAGACAAACCTTGTCTCTTGTTGACTTGATGGAGAAATCAAATGAAGAGAAGAGATAATCAGGATCTGAAGCAGCCAACGAGCCATTGCTGATGGTGAATCAGAGAGACTGGATCTGACTTGCAGATCTTCTCTCAACTCAAAACGATGCATCTCATAACCTCGCAAGCTGAAAAAATGAGCAAAAGAAGGATGTGAGCTTCTGCTTTAGTGATCCAAAGCCTGTCAAGCTTTCTAATATTGTTTGTTTAACCAAAGACACCTTTGTATTTGGCTTTACAAACTGGACACCATTGAAACGATAATATTAAATAAATTGTAAAAAGAGCTTCACGTTGTTCTCAAAATATTCCATTCGGTAAAACCAAGAAAAATATAAGTATAATTTTTCCCACTTGGGACAATATTTTAACTTATATGATTTCCAACTTCAGTCCAAATAGACAACGCAACTGCTACATGGGGGTTACCTGAAACACTAATATAATGCGTGTAACAAACATTTATGCATTAATTAAAATGTGTCATGTCTAGATCGTGGACCAACTCTCATTGGATTCTTCTACTACGTCTAATTGAAGCCATCTTATAAAGAAGCAAACAAAATAAACTATTTTTTTAAAAAGCCATACTTAAAACATGCCCTTGACCTTTCAGACGCAGAATACAAAAAGCCCATGTTTTTTTGTAATAATATTTCAACACAATTATGAGCCAGACGAAAAGGAATAATAAGCCTAGGAAAGCTGGCATGATCATGACAACAACCGAGTGTTTTTTAAAATGATGAATATGACGAATGATAGAAACTAGAGAATACATCCTTCCATGGACAACAATCAAATTACTGAAGCTATGATTGGAGAGAAAGGAATAGACAACCACTATATACATACTCTCTTCTGCTACTCAGAATCCACAAATTACAGCGGGAACTGCATAAAAGCATCTTCTTTCATTGTTTGATTATGCCACAGTATTAGCCACACCAAATGCAGTACAAGATCAGACTTAAGACGGTTCAATACTTGTGAGCTTAATTACTAGCTACCTACATAAGCAGCGTTTATCTGTGGCAGCAGGAAATTGTATCTTAGAGAAAATCAGCTAATGCAAAGTATATACACTAGTTAAGAGACTTGAGAGATTGGTGGTCAAAAGTTACCTGCAGCTGTGTAGCTTTGAACATTTTATGATATCTGTCAACGAACGAAGATTCCAACAACCAGCAGAGAATAGAACATGAACCCAGCAAGAAATGAAGCAACTTCAAGATTATCGCACCACTTCTTCAACTGAGGCTCTCAGCAGCTCTGAAACACCATTTGTGCACAGCAATGAGACATCTCGACTTCCTCAGCTGAGAATTCAATTCACAAACTCGGATCCAAACCATTATTCCAACATTTCTTAAACCGCCTGTTGACTGTTCAAGCACAATGACACCAGAAGCATACACGTCGGTTGCTTAACAAGGTCCCATTGTTGCAAGCTCTGAAGTGATGTGGCCTGAAGTTCCCACAGAAGTTACTAACTTTCCCCTTTTACCTCAGCATCTAACATAACAATCAGAAGCTTTGATATCTCGATGTATAGCAGTTGGTAACCTCCTGAGAGCCGAAGCAATATCATTAAAAATCACGTCTTTACCACAAGGAGAACCTCCTCTCGTGCCTCTGTTATTCCTACATTTTTCCTTTTCCTGTAGAGATAAGCGACTCCAAGAAGCATGATCACTGTGATTGCCAGTAAAAATGAGCAGAGTAAGAAGCACTGTGCTGAAATTTTAAGAAGCAACAGATAAAACCAAGGCAATCAAAAGGCTTCGTGATGTTAGCAGAGAGCCTAGTTATTGTGAAGCTATACCATTTTGAAAATTCCAGAATTCATGTTTGATCATCAAATTCCAATCAGATAAAAGAAACTCACCTTGTGCAAATCCCTAATCGAGGCTTTCCTTCTTCAGAAAATCAGAATTTTACGAGTGTTTAAATGTTTTTTTCCGAACGTCTCTAGCCCGGCGAAGAATACAGCTGATGTTTGCATCCGTCTCGGACAGAGACACCGACGGCGACATTTCCGTCGAGAAGTTTTGGGAAGATGAAGAAAATTGCTCTGAAAGAGAGGTTCTCTTTTAGAAGAAACTGAAATTTAAGAAAACTTTGTAAATCGGAAAACTAATAGGGGCTGATTCACAAATTAATATATACAAATTTGTAAAACAATTTAATGAAAATTATTAATTTATAAAGAACACAACATTTGATTTCAATTTGGAGCTTCAAATTGTTAGATTTTCATCGTCCAACTCCGTATTGGATCGAGTGAGTGATAAACATAGACTCACTCGCCGGAGCAGAACTGTTAGAGATCACAGAGGAGCTATCTCCGACCATCACCGGAGTAAGAATCCCAATCCCCGGCGAATCCGGAGAGAAATCCGGCAACGGAATCAGTCGGTCCAGGTACTGCACAACTTTCTCCATGTCAGGCCTCGATTCCGGCACGAAATTCGTGCATAGCAACCCAATCTTCAGCACCAATTCAACAGACCGAGACGAAGAAGACTCACCACTCAATTTACGATCTCGAGCCCCGAGTAAATCTCTCTTCCTCCAGCAATCGCAAACCCATTTCACCAGAAACTGCTTCTCGATCGGCAGATTCGGCTCCACAGGTCTCCTCCCACAAGCCACTTCAAGCATGAACGCACCAAACGCGTATACGTCGGTTTTCGTCGAAGCTCCCATCGACGTCAGCTCAGGTGACATGTATCCTATAGTTCCCGCAGCTCCGGTTGTCGTTGGATTAGCTCCGTGATCGTGAAACCTAGCCATGCCGAAATCTCCCAGCTTTCCACTGAAATCCGAATCCAACATCACATTAGAAGCTTTAATATCTCTGTGTAGCACAACCTGTGTAGCTCCTGTGTGCAGGTAACGAATCGCCGAAGCGATTCCCTTCACAATCGCAAGCCTTTTCAGCCATGGAAGAGACGGTTCTCTGTTGTGAAACAAGAACTGGTCGAGACTTCCATTAGGCATATACTTGGAGACGAGAAGAAACTCTCCTTTTCTCCTGCAGTAGCCGAGAAGTGGAACCAAGTTTCTGTGATCTAACCGGCCCATGCTAGCGATCTCAGCGACGAATTGCTTCATCCCTCGCTCACCGTCGTGTGAGAATCTCTTCACGGCTATGTCTCCGTCACGAGGGAGAGTTCCTTTGTAGACTTCTCCGAATCCTCCTTTGCCAAGGAAGCCATCTTTGTGGAATCCTTTTGTTGCTTTGTACATTGATTTGTAAGAGTATCTGTGTGGACCGTACTCTTTCTCCCATTCCTCTCTGACTTCTGCGTACTTGTTCCTCCTGTAGAGATAAGCTCCTCCGAGAATCACAAGCAGTATGATTCCAAGAACAATCAGCAGAAGAATCAGGACGAGATCAGGTTTGCCTCTAGCTTTACGAGGACGAGGATAAGGAGGAAGCTTTGAGATGTCAAGGCTCTGTAGTGAGTCTTTGCTTCTGCTGAAACTCCAACCGAGTATGTAATGGTTATTTGCTAATTGCCCTGTAGCTGCAGAGAAGCCAACAAACATCTTTTCTTGGAGAACTTCAGAGAGATTGATGGATCTTGACAAAAGATTCCTACTTGGCTTCTGAGTTCCAGTAGGAGCCAGAGAAACGTTTAGCACAGCTCCATCATAATCCACCCACACCTGGATGGAGTCTCCATTTGTGAGATTGATGCTTTTGTTGACGCTTTGTTTGTCAAGGAAGTAAGAAGCTGGAGCTGATTCGATGGAGGTCAGGTTGTTGACGTCGATGCCAACATGATTGTTGTCAATGTCGTCGAATTCTGCGCTTTGGACTGTGTCAAGCTCAATAGCAAAGATACGAGATGAGGAGGATCTGACTGTTGTGGTGTTGAAAAGTCCCAAGTACTGTGTTGCGTCTGCGTTTGAAAGATCCATGGAAGGTGATAGAAAGAAAGCAATCCCGTTTCCTGGAGTGACTCCTGGTTTACGCACCATGGCGCATACGAAATGTGTTGAGAAGGCGAGAGATTCAGATGAATTGAAGTCAAAGGGCTGCTTGTAGAAAGCGTGACCCATTTTTTGCTCTGAAGTGTTTGTCAGCTGTAATAATCCACCGGGAAGGATTTGAGCAACCCCGTCGACATGAAGATCTCCCTGACGGAAACCGTTGAAGATAAATCCAGTTTCTTGTTGGCTTGACTGGTGAATCAGAAGAAGAAGAAGAAATGAGATCACCATCAAGATCAGATCCATTCCTTGAGCCATTGTTAATGCAAATGCAACAGTCTTTGCTATTCTGATGAAAATCTTATCTTTGAGTCAATTGGTATGGTAAATAACTTTCTTCTCCATCTGCAAAACAAGGTTAGATCGTTACTCAACAACAAGAACATTCTGCATTTTCCATTTCCAAGAGTTGACTTCAGCAATATGATAATTTCCAGAGATAGCTGTCACATTTTTGTATTCATTGTCAAAAGAATCCACAGTTTCCTTGTAGTTTAACAATATTCAAAGGCAAGCTTCTCTCTAATCGTCATACCTATTCTTAAACAATACATCAAGTTGAACTTTCCCCATCTCTGACTATTTTAAGTTTTTAACTCTTTAGAATCCCAGAGCTTATGCACATCACATGGGTGACCAGTGACAACAACTTGCTTTGCAAATATTTAGCAAAGTAACTGCAAGAATCTACACCAAAGATCAGTCCTTTTTTTGTTAATCACTCTACATTCCAAGCTTGGTGGAGAATGTCAAGAATAAAAATGTCCTTTTTTTGTTAGTCACTCTACATCACAAACTCTACATGGTGTAATCATATACGTTGTTACAAACTTTCATCTTCCATTCCCGTAGAGGACTGAGTGAGTAATAAACATAGAACTATTGGCAGAGGAAGACGACAGTGATAGTGAAGGAAGCACAAGTGGTGATGACAAAAACGCCATTGGAGTGAGAACTCCAATCCCAGGAGAATTAGGCCAAAACTCAGGCAAATTTACATTTCCATTCAAGTATTGCACCACTTGTTCCATGGTCGGTCTTGCATCCGGAGCAAGATTTGCACAGAGCAAACCAAGTTTCAGAACCTTTTCCACTTCCTGTGATGAGAACTCTACCAACCTTGGATCTCTAGCATCAACCAAAGAAGACCTTCTCCAGCATTCACTAACCCATTTGATCAGAAAACGTTTTGCAGCCGACAAGCCAGGCTCCACAGGTCTCCTCCCACAAGTCACTTCAAGCAAGAACACACCAAACGCATACACATCAGTAGCAGTGGAAGCTCCCATTGTTGTAAGCTCAGGTGCCATGTAGCCAAAAGTTCCTACAGCAGCTGTTGTTGTCGGATCAGCTCCTCTGTCATATAACCTTGACATACCAAAATCTCCCAACCTTCCATTGAACTCTGCGTCCAACATCACATTAGCAGCTTTGATATCTCTGTGTATAACAACTTGGTCAGCTTCTGTATGCAAGTAACTAAGAGCTGACGCAATATCCTTCAGGATCGCGAGCCTTCTCCACCAAGGCAGAGACACTCGTTCATGGTTAAACAAGTAATGGTCAAGACTACCATTTGGCATGTACTCAGAGACAAGTAGCAACTCGTTTTTTCTCCTGCAATATCCAAGAAGTGGAACCAAGCTCCTGTGTTTTAAGCTCCTCATGCACACGATCTCAGCCACAAATTGCTTCATACCTTCCTCACCGTTATGTGATACTCTCTTCACAGCCACTTCTTTAATATCTCTGCTCCTGGAGAGAGTTCCTTTGTAGACTTCACCGAAACCTCCTTTCCCAAGAAACTCATTCCTACTAAACCCTTTCGTTGCTTTGTATAGAGATTTGTAGGAATATCTGAGAGGACCAAACTCTTTTTCCCATTCTTCTCTTACTTCAGCGTATTTGTTTCTCCTGTACAGATAAGCTCCAACAAGAAGCCCCAAAACTAAGAAAGCTATTAAACCAAGAAGAGCATCGAGAACTAGTGAGGTAGACTTCTTTTTATTCCTAGACCGAGGAACTTTGGGAAGCTTTGAGATGTCAATGCTCTTCAGAGAGGCCATGCTTTTGCTAAAACTCCACCCGAGAATGTACTGGTAAGCAGTGATTGACCCGGTTGCGCCGGAAAAACCAACAAACATTCTTCTACTTTGCAAGATCGATGTAAGATTGATGGATGTTGATGACAAAAGAGGCCTGCTTGGTTTCTGGTTTTTAAGAGGAGCCAATGAAACGTTGAGTGTTGTGCCTTCGTAATCCACCCAAACCTGGATAGGATCTCCACTCAAGAGCTTTATCTCTTTCTTCTTTCCATCTTTGTCCGAGAAATAAGAAGCGTTTTCAGCTTTCTCAGACTTTGCGCTGTTCACATCAATCCCGACATGGTTATCACTGATGTCATTCAACTCTGGAGCTAGTGAGATGTCAAGCTCTACAGCCAGGACACGTGTGGAATCAGATCCGTTTTGGTTGAAAACTCCAAAGTAACGTGTTGGCTCTGCGTTCTTGAAATCAAGAGAATGAGAGACAACAAAGGCCATGCCATGGCCACTCTCATCACCTGAAGGGAGCAGTGCACACACGAAATGCGTCGAGAAGGAGACTGATTCAGATGGTTCGAACACAATCGGCTGCTTCAAGAAAGCATGACCAATTTGGCGATCCGTTGCGTTTGTCAGTTGCAGAACACCACCACGACTTCTTGGAATGATTCTTGCACTGCCGTCAAGGTGAAGAGTACGATCTGCTTCTGCTTGATCGAAGCGGTTGTAAACAAAGCTCGTCTCTTGTTGAAATGATGGGCAAAGACAGTAGTATATCATCCATATGACTCCCAGAAGCAAACCTCGAATCATTGGTAATGAAAAGAAACAGAACAAACAGATTTTAGAGTAATCGTTCTGCTTTTGCTTTTGTTAACTTTCTCTGCTAACAATTGCTTAACAATTATCTCTTCCTCTCTGGTTGTAGACCCATTGAATATGACTTCAAAGTCAACTCTCCAAATTACGAAGTCAAACTTTTACTACTGCTTTCGAATCTTTATGGTATATTAACTTTTCCTTTGGTAAGACTTTGGAACACCTGTCTTAGTCTAGACAGCAAAACGAATTCCATAGATAAAGAGGCTTTAATATTATTTAAGAGGAAAATGTCAAAAGACATGAACAACGAAGCTTCTTAAGAAAATTAACGGATTTTGAAGTAACTTCAAAGTCAAATCCTTAAACTGATAACACTTATTACGTCCTTTTACGGTATAGATTATGGGGCTCAAGCTACTCATTGACATTATTAAAGTAAATATAGGATCATATGAGGTTGATGAGATTATTTAATACAGTAACGTTTAAAATAAACATTATGTTAAGTCAAGGTCAACTTTATTGAAACAACGACCAATCCAATCCTACTCTTAGAAAATTCAGAATCTCATATCCTAATATTTCATAGATATTTGATTGGATTAGTTAGACATGCAAATCTACCACATATTGTGTTGCTTGCTTGTATTCGAGTTTGGCACATGAAAATATCGGTCACTTCTTGTCTTGTTCTGCAGAGGAAGCAACCAAATCTAGTAGAAAACAACTCTATGCATATTTTGAAGAAAGTGACCACACCATGTTAGTATCATCATTATCCATAATAAGGGCCACAAACTAAAAACCATCTTTGTGGAATCCTTTTGTTGCTTTGTACATTGATTTGTAAGAGTATTAGTGTGGACCATACTCTTTCTCCCATTCCTCTCTTTGTAAGGAATGGTGTAATCATATACATTGATGTTACAAAATTGAATGAAAATGGTTCCAACAACTTAAGAGGTTAAAGAAGAAGGACGTTGTTACAAACTTTCATCGCCCGCTCCCATAGAGGACTGAGTGAGTAATAAACATGGAGCTATTGGCGGAGGAAGACGTCAGTGATAGTGAAGGGAGCACGAGTGGTGATGACGAAAACGCCATCACTCCAATCCCTGGAGAGTTAGGCCAAAACACTGGCAAATCCACGCTTCCATTCAAGTATTGCACCACTTGCTCCATGCTCGGTCTTGCATCCGGAGCAAGATTTGCACAAAGCAAACCAAGTTTCAGAACCTTCTCAACTTCTTGTGATGAGAACTCTATCAGCCTTGGATCTCTAGCATCAACCAAAGAAGTTCTTCTCCAGCATTCACTAACCCATTTGATCAGAAAACGCTTTGCAGCCGAAAAGCCAGGCTCCACAGGTCTCCTCCCACAAGTTACTTCAAGCAAGAACACACCAAACGCATAAACATCAGTCCCAGTGGAAGCTCCCATTGTCGTAAGCTCAGGTGCCATGTAACCAACAGTTCCCACTGCAGCTGTTGTTGTCGGATCAGCTCCTCTGTCGTATAGCCTAGACATTCCAAAATCACCCAACCTTCCGTTATACTCTGCGTCCAACATCACATTAGCAGCTTTGATGTCTCTGTGTATAACAACTTGGTCAGCTTCTGTATGCAAGTAACTAAGAGCTGACGCAATGTCTTTGAGGATTGCAAGCCTTCTCCACCAGGGGAGAGACGAACTCTCGTGATTAAACAAGAAATGGTCAAGACTACCATTTGGCATATACTCAGAGACAAGTAGTAACTCTTTTTTTCTCCTGCAATATCCAAGAAGTGGAACCAAGCTCCTGTGTTTCAAGCTCCCCATGCACACGATCTCAGCTACAAACTGCTTCATACCTTCCTCACCGTTATGTGATACTCTCTTCACAGCAACTTCTCTCATCTCTCTGCTCCGAGAGAGAGTTCCTTTGAAGACTTCACCGAAACCTCCTTTCCCAAGAAACTCATTTCTACTGAAACCTTTGGTTGCTTTGTATAAAGATTTGTAAGAATACCTGAGAGGACCAAACTCTTTTTCCCATTCCTCTCTTACTTCAGCGTACAAGTTTCTCCTATACAAGTAAGCTCCAACAAGAAGCCCCAAGACTAAGAAACCTATTAATCCAAGAAGAGCATCAAGAACTAGATTTGTTGACATCTTATTATTGCTAGACCGAGGAACTTTGGGAAGCTTTGAGATGTCAATGCTCTGCAGAGAGGCCATGCTTTTGCTAAAACTCCACCCGAGTATGTACTGGTAGGCATTGATTGACCCGGTTGCGCCGGAAAACCCAACAAACATTCTTCTACTTTGCAAGATAGATGTAAGATTGATGGATTTTGATGACAAAAGAGGCCTGCTTGGTTTCTGGTTTTTAAGAGGAGCCAATGAAATGTTGAGTGTTGTGCCTTCGTAATCCACCCAAACCTGGATAGGATCTCCACTCAAGAGCTTTATGTCTTTCTTCTTTCCATCTTTGTCTGAGAAGTAAGAAGCGTTGGCAGATATAATAGACTCTGCGCTGTTCACATCAATCCCGACATGATTTTCACTGATGTCTTTCAACTCTGAAGCTAGAGAGATATCAAGTTCCACAGCCAACACACGTGTGGAAATAGATCCGTTTTGGTTGAAAATTCCAAAGTACCGTGTTGCCTCTGCGCCAATGAAATCAAGAGAATGAGATACAACAAAGGCCACGCCATGGCCACTCTTCTCACCTCCAGGGAGCAGTGCACACACGAAATGCGTCGAGAACGAGACTGACTCGGATGGTTCGAACTCAATCGGCCGCTTGAAGAAAGCATGACCAATTTGGCGATCCGTTGCGTTTGTCAGTTGCAGAGCACCACTTCTTGGAACGATTCTTGCACTACCGTCAAGGTGAAGAGTACGATCTGCTTCTGCTTGGTCGAAGCGGTTGTAAACAAAGCTCGTCTCTTGTTGAAATGATGGGCAAATACAGTAATATATCATCCATATGACTCCTAGAAGCAATCCTCGAATCATTGGTAACGGAAACAAACAGAGTTTAGAGTAATCGTTTTACTTTTGCTTTTTGTTTACTTTCTCTGCTTAAGAATTATCTCGTCCTCTCTGGTTGTAGACCGATTGAACATGACTTCGAAGTCAACTGTCCAAGTTCTCAAGTCAACTAAAAAACGACTGCTTTCGAATCTTCATGGTATATTACTTTTCCCGTAGTAAGACTTTCCAACACCTGACAACAAAATGAATTGGGAAAAGAAAGAGGTAAAAAGGAAAAGTCGTTTGATTGGTCTCTTTAGTCTTTACTCTTTTGTATAATTATTTAAGAACTGTCTACGTAACGGATAACACTTTCTTACGTCCTTTTACGGTATAAATTATGGGGCTCTAGCTACTCATTAACATTAAAGTAATGTATCAATGTAGGACTATATGAGGCTGATAATTCTTTTTATTACAGTAACGTATAAATAAACATAAGTCAAGGTCAACTTTATTGAAACAACGACCAATTCAATCCCACTCTTAGAAAATTCAGAATGTTATATCCACACGCTTGACGGTAATTTCCATCATCTTTTTCTAATATCTCATAGCTATTTCAAATATCCAAATGTGATTTATTAGATCCTCTTCTTCATATCCACCTTATATTATTTATAGGTTAAAACAAACCAGCAGACTGTGAAAAAGGGCCAAGCTTTTTATTGAAAAGAAGATGCATCATGCTCATGCATGCACCAATGTTTTCACATATTAGATTCTTGTAATCCCAACAATTATAAAACTTATAATCTTTCTCAAAAAAAAAAACACAACAAATTGTAGTTTCGTGGTTTTAACAGAAAACAAGATTTCACAGTTTTGGTCGAAGATACGATTTCACGCGGTTTTAGCAAAAAAAAACGCGAAATTATTTTAAGCGAAAAAATACGATTTTGGTATCAACAAAAATGTGATTTCTCGGTTTAAGCGAAAAACAGGGTTTTGTGATTTCAGCAGAAAAAATATGAATTTACGGTTTAAGCTGTGATTTTGAAGTTTTGAACGGAAAACTGTGATTTTCCCAGTTTCGAACGGAAAACGCAATTTCACGAAAATTGCGGTATCAACAAAAACGTAATTTTGCGGTTTAAGCGAAAAACCGCAATTTTGCGGTTTCGCCAGAAAAAAACGCAATTTCTAGGTTTTGGCAGATAAATGTGATTTTGCGATTTTTTGGAAAAAAATGATTTTACGATTTTAGCGGCATGCGGAAAATCGTAATTTTGGGGTTTAGACGGGAAAACACAATTCCGAGATTTCGGCGGAAAAATGTTATTTCGCGGTTTTGGTAGGAAAAGCGTTATTTTTGGTTTCGCAGGAAAATGTTATTTCGCGGTTTTGGCGGGAAAATCGTTATTTTTAATTTTGCGGAAAATGTTATTTTGCAGTTTTGACGGAAAACACACAATTTTGTGATTTCGGCAGAAAAACGTTATTTCACTGTTTTGGCGGGAAAATTGTTATTTTGCGGGTTCGACGAGAAAACACAATTTTGCGATTTCGGCGGAAAAATGTTATTTCACGGTTTTTCGGGAAAACACAATTTTGCGATTTTGGCGGGAAAATGTTAATTTCGGTTTTGGCGGGAAAATTGTTATTTTTGCTTTTGCGGAAAAATGTTATTTTGCGGTTTTGGAGGTAAATCACAATTTTGCGATTTTTGCGGAAAAAACGTTATTTTTGCTTTTGAATGGAAAACATAATTTTGCGGGTCAGACGAGAAAATATAATTTTGCGAATAATTTTGATTTCGTAGTTTTGATAAAAAAAAATGATTTTGATGTTTTGGATATATAAGAAAGAATTTTTGTTTAAATATATTTTGAAGGATATATTTGTCATTTGTATATTTGGAATGAAGATGGCTCAGCCAGATGCTTCAATTTGGATCAGCTGAATGAATCAGCTGAATATTGAAATTTTAGCCTAAAATTTTTAAATCTCAGATGATCCATCTAGATGAATCAGCTGAATGATGCTTATTTTTTGTATTAAACGAACATCATTCAACTGCTTCATCCAGATGGATCAGCAGGATGAGCAAACTAACAGGGCCTAAATATAAGATCACGCACTCAACATCAACAAATCTATTAAATTAGAATGACGTAAGAGGCTTGCTTAGTTAGTGAACATTTTCCAAACATTTTTTCTTTATTTCTCTATTGTTGAGATGTATGTGATGTCTCTCTCTATTTTTTTTTTTTTGTAGGAAGTCTACCATAATCATCTAAAAAACTTTCTTAGGGATTAAACTCTAAAAGTAAGGAACAATATCATAACTAGATCAACCTTTCTCATCACACAATAGTATAACGATTTCATTTGAGCTTTAATGAATGAATGTGAAAGAAAATTCTTTAATAAGACAATACAATAAGAAATGACGAAGCTGCCGTCGATCACGAATTAAAATTTGTATACTTGGTATCTAAAGTTGATGAAGTGGTTTTTTTTTCCTGTTCCTAATTTGCGGTGTGTTAATTCAGTTCTCTATCAAAATCTCATCAACAGAAGCAAAAAGGCCCAAAACCAATCAGGAAAAGACGAAAAATAAAGGTCAAAAGCAAAACGTCTTAGTTTAAAACTGAAGGTATCATACAAATTCCAAGATTGCCCCTTCTCCGAATCACCGAAACACAAACGGATCAAGTCTCAAAGAGAAACATGAACCTCAGAAAAAAAAGATTAAAGACAGAGATAGCATCATCATGTAGCAAAAGAGTTTGGACCTAGAAAAGCGAAAAACAAAAAGTGGAAAAGAGAGCCAAGTTTTGTGACAGGTTAAAACCAGACCTCAAAACTGAGGATAGTAGTCAGGATGGAAAGGGTTGGTGTAATCCTCGTATTCAAGGCCGTCCGAGTCGTACTGTGGAGTGTACTTTCCATACTTTCCAAAGTATGGGCAATCCTCATCTGCTGCTGCAAAAGGAAACTGAGCTGGACCAGCCGGTTCATCATCAGATTCATCATTCTCGTAAAAGCGCTGACGACTGTTGGGAGACAACATTGCTGGGGTAAACATCACACCTACACACGATTTACAGAGAATGATCTTCAGTATGAGATTCAGAGGGTTTTATAAAGAGATTCGGAAGAGCTCAATTACCATCTGGTAGGTCGAAGAAAGGATCAAAATCTGCTGGGATTTCTTTGCCAAGATCTTTCATTATTTGACGCCCAATCCGAATATGCTCATCATCTGCTGGAGGTGGAACATTAGGTGGACCCGACGGTGCATCATTTGCAGGAGGAGGAAAATTAGGTGGACCCGACGGTGCATCATTTGCAGGACGAGGAAAATGAGGTGGACCAGTCGGTGCATCATCAGAATCATCATCCGAATCATCCTCGTAAAATCGCTGACGAGACTTGGGAGATAACATGTCTGGGGTAAACAGCACACCTACACAGGATTTACAGAGAATGATTTTCAGTGTGATATGAGATTCAAGGGCTTTATAGGAGATTCGGAATGGCGCATTACCATCTGGTAGGTCGAAGAAAGGATCAAAATTCGGTGGGATTTCTAAACCAAGATTCCTCATCATTTGACGCCCAATTCGAAGATGCGAGTCATCTTCATAATCAATATCTTGGTAATCTTCGTAATCAGAATCATCAAAGTAGCTGTACTCTTCATCCTCTGGGCAGCATTTAGTACAAGTCCCCGTCTTCTCGTCCCATACGCCTCCGCAGTTGTAGCAAAACTTAAACCCACATCTAACGAAAATACCAAAGGGAATATGACATTAGCATGGTTGAACATATAATTCTTGAAACTTATCTCTAGAATTTCATGGTCGTGTTCTTAAGATTCTTAGAAGGACCAAAATGTAGATAGATAGATAGATACATACCTGCAAGTTATGTGATTGCATCCCTCTGTTAGCTCAATCATGTGTTGACAGTTGCTACACTGGCGCCACATTTTCTTACTCGCAAGAGAGTTTAGCTTCACCTCATCAGCTGGAGGATTAGGATGCGATTTCTTGTACTCGGTGCATGACTGCTTTCCATGCCACGGGACTTTACAGTCCCCGCAGAAGAGCCCACGACACTCAACACATCTCCTAACTCCAGATTCAGGGTAAACACAAAGTAAGCTACTGCTGATTTAGAAATCTTGGTTTTAGACATCAAAGCCGAGCACTTCGGGAAAGGGCAGTAAACTCTCTCTGTCACAGGTATTGCCTCCTCTTTGACCCTTTGTTTCCACATTTCAGCCAGTTTTGGAGTCAAAAGCCTGCCACATGCATCCATAGCCAACTCAGTCTTGCAGCCATCCTGAGGACATTTTGGAACCCTTCCATGAAGCAGCTTCACCTCTACATGGTTTCTCACGCACGGAGAGCAAAAGCGGTGACGGCATTTGCCGACAGAAAACATGCGTTCAGCAACAGTATCATTGTAACAGATACGACACTCCTCTTTCCGAGCTGCTCTAACTTGGCGAGGATCTCTGAGAGGGGTGACTTGAGAAACGACTGATTCCCTAGCAAGTTTATAAGCAAATTTCACTTCGCTTCCAGTCACCAGAACAGGCTGACTAGCTGTAAACTGTTGCCTGATCTGTTGCAAAGCATTGATTAGGATCGAAATCTTTTTCTGCTTAGGCACCCATCTTCCTGTGACCTACATTCAAGTAAAACACAATCTTATCAAATATAAGACATGGAAACATTGGTAAAGAACCATAGCTGCTCATTAGAATCTAGTCCATTTCGCAGAAAACACAAGCGTGGGACCTAATAACTCACAGTCTACCACAGTCTACTGTCTTATAGCTAGTGAAGGTCAGCGCAACAACTACCTTATATTGCAAACCAAAGAGAGGTATCAGCGGCTTACAAAATGGTTACAGTACAAAATGCTAGCGTATTCATTGCAATACTTTCATCACACCCAAGCAACACACAACGCACTATAGAACATTGGAATTTGGAAACTTGAACTAAGCAGCTTTCTTATAAGAATCCCAAAGAGAATATATGCATTGAAACAAATCAGATAATCTTGAAAGAATCTGAACCATGAATCCTGAGTTTTTCAAATTAGAATTCAAGCAACCGGTTCCCATATTAGTCAGTCAATACGCCTATGAAAACGTTCCAAATCCAGTAACTATTACTACATAAATCCCGAGTAAACACGAGGAACAAACAACACGGATTCAACCAAAAGAGGCAAGACGCATTGTGAGAGTGAAGCGTAACAGTGAAGAACATGAATCAGAAACTTACGTATTGGAAAATCGGATACGAATCGGAGAAAAACGCGATCTGTTTGATCCCCAACTTCAAGGCTTCGGTTAGTCCTCGTGTCAATGCCTTAGTCTCCGCTCCCTGACGACTCGCGTCGCGGTCAACCAGTGGTCCCTTCATCTCAAACAACAGGTTATCCCTCAGGTCGCAGATAGCAATCCCAAATCCAGCCACCACGTCCGTCGTCTTCCCCTTCCCAACCTCATCGCTCACCAAGCCCTTAAAGTAAAGTCTGTACAGTACGTTCCCGTTGAATTTTCCCGCGGCGGCACTGACCTTTGAACTTCCCTCGCCGACTGATTGTGCAGGACGAGCAGTTTCCTGCGACCTAGCTACCGGCGAAGGTTTCCCAGTACCGTACCCCGAAGAATTTTGGGAGTTATCGACTCCAATGTTAGGGTTTCGTTCGTCCGTACGTACACCAGTGACATTCGCGTGGGGTTTCCCATTTCCTTTGGAGTTTCCACCGCCGACGGCTCTCCTGAAATCGAAACCCCTGTTTCTGGGAGGCAGAGCCGCCGAATCACCTCTTGGCTCCAAGGCCTTCAGATCGTCTTCTTCGTATACAACCTCAAGAATACCAATGGTAGCCACAACCGGAGGCGACTGTGGCCGCTGAGAAGTACGAGATCGAGAAGAGAGAGAAGCCGCGGGAGCCTCCTTCTTCTTCCATTGGGAAGCATTATCGGAACCCGAGCCGCGAGCCGAGAATCCCATACTTGGCTAGGTTTTTTTGCTCCGGTGCGGTTACTCAGCGTTAGTTTGTTGCTTTTTTCTCACTCGTGTTAGTGACGAGAAGATTTTCTGTTACGCTTTGCGTCGGTCCCTTTTTCTTAAATGCACTAAAACTCGTCAAATCGAACAGCGCAAATCACGCACGTGTCATTACGATATTAAAACCGGGATTTTTGGGAGTGGCTTACGTGGGACGCCTCTTCGTTGATATCCTCTTCAAACAATATGGGCCGAAACAATAACTAATGGATAGGCTCAAATAAAGCCCATTAATCTAAACTTGGTTTGTATCACTTCCAGATCCGTTCCGATGGTGGAGAAGCTTCTCAGGGGCTGGTATGAACGTCGCTGGGTTTAACTTTTCCCATGGATTACCATCAAGAGACTCTCGATAATCTCCATCAAGCTATGCTCGACACCAAGGTGAGTGAATCGCTCACTTAAATATCTACATCAGTGTTCTGTATTGTCTACTGTGTCTGTTTCTGATTCCAATTTCATCTTCTTTGACCTTGATTCGACTGTGATCTGACTTTCTAGGGTTTGTTAGATTTGTGCTGTTTTCATGGGTTTCTAAAGGTTTGATCTTTAGTGCTATATGCAGCTGCATTCCACGTCACCGAGATGGAAATGGAAAGGTGCTGCAGCGAAAGCTCTTGCGGAACCTATTTCAGAATCAGTCTCAGAGCTCAAACTCTCTCTAGCCAAAACAGAGTCCTCTGGTTCCCTCTCGAGACACAACGTGCTTCTAGCGGTTGAGCCAGAGCAAGCCGAGCTATTAGACCGCTGTTGTTTCGGCAGACTCGTTGTATCCGCTGAGAAAGCCAAGAAATGGATTCAGTTATCCTTTGAAGAAGCTTTCTATTTGCACTACAACCTCAAATGCATCAGAATCCATCTTCATGGTCGTTGCTTGGAGAACGAAGCAGAGACATGGATGTACATGAGATCGAAAAGACCGAACTTTCCGGTGTTTTTCAAAGCTTATTCACATTTACGATCGAAGAACTGGGTTCTGAGATTAGGGTCGCAATACGGTGTGGATTTCGTGGCGTACCGTCACCATCCGTCGCTTGTCCACGCTGAATACTCGGTTTTGGTTCGGTCCGGTGACAGTGATGACAGGTTAAGAGTGTGGTCGGATGTCCATTGTACTGTTCGGTTAAGCGGAAGCGTTGCGAAAACGTTATTGAATCTCCATGTCAGTGGTAACTCTAATAGAGAGGACTTGAATCTACCTTCGTGCTTGGAGAACTATATTGTGGAGGAGCATGCGATAAGTAGATATAGTCCAGAACTCAGTCGTGAAGATGATACCACAAATCCAAAACCAAAACCAAATGTTACTTCTGTGAGTAATTTGAAAATCCCTTGACGAACCGTTCCTGGTTAATTGAGTACTGGTTTTGATTTTCATTTTTCCATATCAATGTAGACAATTATTTTCAGTTTTAGTCTAAGATAATGAGATGCATAACATTTTCTTTCTAAAGGAAATCTCAAATCTCCGTTGTATTGTTCACTTATAAGTCGCATGAGCAGGTATTGTTATACTCATTGCAACTCGCATAATCTACAAAACAAATACTGATCATCATTATTATCATACATTTTAAGAAGAAAAAGAAAAAACAGTAAAAGAAAAGAAGTTCAAAGTTATATCATTACAACAACATAAACCATCAGAGTAGACTGAGAGTGACTAAAACACAACTCAAAAACTTCTTTCATCTAAAAAAAACTAAACTAGAAATATCATCAAATCTGAAAATGACTAGGATGAGATTTGGTCATCCTAGCCTGACCGGCCGGTTCATCATTGTCAATCCTCTTGATATTCCGGTAAGCTGCATACGCGATCACATAGAAGATAACAAGTATGATCAAAACCACAATGTTGATCACTGACACTTTTCTCCAGCTCTGTTTTAAGCTGCCAAGAACACCAGCTTTGCAAGAGCTACACTGGTAACAGAGTAGTCTCTGGTCATTATTCCACAGCATACAGTCCGGGTTCGGTCCAACCATTTGTCCTCCTGGCACCCACACTGTCTCGTTCACGTACGTATAGCCACAATCTGTTGGCGGCTTGCAACATCCGGACTGTAGATTTAAGACAGATATAGTTCATAAACATTACAAATTTTTTTTTCAAAATTAGCAAAAATAAAAATTACATTTTCTTTTACCTCAATAGGACTAAGCCTTCTGAAGTAAAACATCTGAGGAGTTTCAGGGACGCCATTTAAATGTCTACCAATCTTCTTACAAACTCCAGAACCCCTCACACACGACGAGATTTCGCTCCAGTATCCATTATCCGTGACCCGGTCCTTGAGCCAACCGGAGTAATCACCGAGATAATAATCAAGGTACCTCCGGTTCATCACAAACCGGCCTGAGCCTTTATCAGTGACGGCGTAAGCGAAGATGATGAATCCAATGAGAGCGGCGATCACGAAGAACATGACGAAAAGGTAAAGCCACATGAGGAACTTGTTACGGTAACAAGCTCCGGCGATTCCTGCTAGTGAAACCACCATGATGGAGATTCCGATGACTATGAGCGGCCACTGGAGGAACCTGAGGCAGTCGGTGGAGTTAGCTCGGCTGCTCAGCCATATTCCACCTCCGAGGATGGGGATCGAGAGGAGGAAAGTGAGGAAGTTTACGAGACCTATAAGATCATTGCTCGTTCTCATGGCGCTTTTTGTTTTGAGTTGTGTTGCTCTGTTCTCTCTGTTGTTGTTGTGTTGTTAATGAAATAGCGGTGAGGAAGAGGTGATGCTGAAATGTGAATTACATCATCAATGTACATGCTTATGCTTTCTGATTATGACACGTGTTAGTGACGGTTATATAGTTTTTTTGTTTGGTTGTATACTTTAATTTGTTATACATGTGAATGTGACTATTGTAGAGTGTAGACTTTTTAGTAATGCTTAAATCATCGGAATAGATTGAGTGATTCAAACAATGTGTAGTGAATTCATCTTAAGCTACAAAGTTAAAAAACTAAAGACGAGCTAGTTTTACTTTTTAGTAACCGTAAAAACATCGGTACTATTTTATATTTACTCGGACCCACAGTGTCCTAAAACGCACTTAACGATAAAAAAAATTGATTCTTTAGCTTTTTAGGAGTTTGCTCAACCTTTAAAAAAGTTTTCTCCGACCGACCATGCTATCAAGTCACCTCAATCCTACCCCTTGTAAATTTCCGAACATGCACGCCTTCGATTGAAAATATATTACTTTTTGTTTTTGCTTAAGAGAGCTTTATCATTTAATAATGTTCAGATCTCCATATTAATGAGTGGGCTTGGCGAGGAAGATGAGTGGGTAACTTAGGGCCCATTTTACTATAATGTAATGGTCCATTCAAGCAAGATTTGGTGATTTGCGTTTCACTCTAACAAGAAAAGACTGAAAAGTAGATTTAGATAAATAACAATGTGGACATTTGACACTGACAGAACAAAGAAAAAAAATATATATGAATATATGTACATTACCGGGAAGACTAATTTGCTTAGGATATGTTCAGATTAGATTTTTCTTTGCTTTGATTTACATTTGACATTGTTTCTTAAGAAAATGATTACATTTTTAGCTGCAGCCGGAGAGGGAAAATAAAGCGGTCAATAACCAAATTGTTGACAAATGAGAGAATAAGAAGCGATTAAATTAAATTAAATAACCAAAAGTCTATAGCTAGCTAATAACAAAGTAGAACAAATAAGATTCCGGGGTTTGGAATTGGACTTTGGGAATTGTCTAAAACCGGAAATGAAAATTCAAAAATCAAAAACAATGCTCAAAACGACAAAGGAGTACGCTTTGTCTTGCTGCGTTTTGGAATAACCTTTTGTTCCCTTCTCTCCTCTTTTCTTTTCTCAGACTCACTGCCCAAAGCCACAACACACTACCCACTTCTCCTTCTTCTCTCACATCTCACACTGTTTTACTCTTGGATTCCACAAAGCTCTTCAGAAAAAAGGAAAACTTAGGTTTTGCTTCCCCCAAATCTCACTAGTCACTACCATTTGATTTTCACATTTTCTTTCACAGAAGCTGAATCTTGTTCTTCAAGCACGAACCCTCCTCACAGCGTAAGGAGCTCCTTTTGTTCCTCTGTATTTGCTTTTAATGATGTGAAACTTATGATACTCTGTCTTTTCCTGGAAAATGTAGTTTCTTTTTCGAGTTAAAGTTGTGATTTTTCTCCCTTTTTCCATTTCCCCTTTCTCATTTTAGCTTTAATCAGAAGTAAATTTTCTAATTTTGTTTCATCTAGGAACTTTGGAGTGAACTAAATATAGGGTTTGAGCTTCTTGGAGCTCGAATCATCAAAATGTCTCCTTTTCCTGATTTCTTCTAATTTTTGTGTTAATCTTATTTAAGATTTTACTTTTACTTTTGAAGCAGGATGTTGGTATAGTTAAATATTTGCACTACAGTAGTTGTTCGTATCTGGTCTCATTAAAAAAAGGAACTCCTTTTTTTCTTTATTTTTAGTAAATTTTAAGGATAAATGTTAAAGCTTTTTCAGTGCCGCACTGTGATTGTTTGCTCATGCTTACTTTAAATTAACATGATGATTGCATGATTCACTCAAGTGGATTTACAAATTAGATTCTCCTTTTTCATGAAAAAGTTTATCCAAGAAACCAAATAGATTTCAGGTTGCCTTTGTCTTTTGAGTGGGTATTAAATCTGTTTAAGTTATGTTAATTTTATATAGATACAAAATGTTTAAACTCATCATGATCCATGATAGTAGTAGTTCTTCAACGTCCAAGTCCCCTCCTTACGCGGCAATAATAGAGGAGAGAATATAACTTGATCTAGAAGATGACAGTTTAACCCTCTTGTGTCCCTATTTAGGAGGGTGAATCTGGTAGGGACATTAAAGTAAATCGGCCACCTTATGCTGCTTGTGTAGTTGTGTAGTAGGACCCTTGGTACCAGCCTTCATGATGATAGGTTGTGAACATTATATAGTCAAGATCGCCACAAAAGAAGATGCCTTTTATGGTGACTTTACAGTCAAAACAACTTGTTTAGTTAGCATCAATTGTTTTGTTACAGTGTCAAGATATGAGTTGGTCATTGTTCTTTTTTCTTGGTTTATTTGAATAGATCCAGAACTAAAAGTCAGCTGTGCAGTCTTTTGAAATCATCTTTTGGCAATATGCTTCTTGTTTACCTGAGATTTTGACTCTGATTGTGCTGATTGTATCTGTCTTATTCTAAGATATTGACTAAGGTGTTAATAGTAAAGACCAAGTCTATTATGGTGTTCTAGTCTTCTAGAGCTATGAGTTGGTCTTAAGTAAAAAAAGGAACCGTACTTTTGTTGTGAAACCGTGTGTCTGATCAAGAGTCATGAACATGAGGGTGTGCACTGAATCTTAATGTGGTTGTACAGTAGGTAATACACAATCCAACGAATCTGTATGTCTGACATTAAGACATTAGTAAGAAGTTCAATATAAGATTTTGTTTGTTCTTTAAGATGTTCATTTTCTAGTAATGGGTTTGATTTACAGAGGTAAAATAATCTTTTATATTGCTTATCCTGTTTGTAATAAATCCTTTCATGATTTCTCTGCCATATGATTCTTAAATACGTCTCCATGTTCATGCATTAAATATTCCTGAGCCCTGTACAATTCTTGGTGGGTCAGGCTACATTGAAGAAGCAAAGAAAGAGCTGGAGTAGGGAAATATCTTTTCTATAAACAAGGTTTTTATTCGTCCTGTGCATTGGAGGAATAATATTACAAGTATGCAGACCCAAAAGGCAAGGTAAATCTTGGTTTTTTGTCTTTCTATTGTTTCTTTCGCATTTATGGCTGGTTCTTCTCCCCTTTTGTGGTTTCCTTGTGGGAGTTGTCTTTCAACACTGAATCTTAAAGTTTGCATTCTTGTGGTCCTCAAATACTTATTGTTTCCATTTAATCAATTCCTATCAGAATTTCTCTCTAACCTCTTTTGAAATAAGAAGATCCAACAAATTATGACCTTTAATGATCTGTTACTATTAGTAAGAAGTTTTTTTTTTCTTTCTATGCCACATTTTGCTTGCAACTGTGCACTGTAAATATCTTCTTGGATTTCAGTTTTTTAATTTTTGTGTGTATTGGGGCAGAAATGGATCTCCAGATGTTCCTAAGAAGGTGTCTCCTCGAGCTGCTCGGCCACTGAAGATACCTGCGTTAGAGCCTGACTCTTCTTCATCTCCTGTCTCAGCTAATAACAGAACACCAAAGGATAAAAGTCCAAAGGTTCTGGATCGTAGGTCTCCAAGAAGTCCTGTCTCTGAGGTTTGAATCTCTTGGGCTAACCTGGTTTTGGATTCAATCTAAGGATCTTGAAAAAGATATCCTTTTTTATTGGTTTGTTCTATGTTGAGGTATCTATATTTCATAAATTCTTTTATTTGCATGATCCATGATAAGGCTTTCCATCATAACATGTTTCTGTATTGACTTTGATGAGGAAAATTTTAGCGTACATTTAATTTTGGGGCCTATGTGATATTGAATTAGGTGGAACATTTAATCTTATGGTAGTTAAGAGATGATAATGTAACTATTTTTTCACCCAATTGTCTGCCTTTCCTCTCCTTGAGAATGCTGTGTAACGCCTCTGTGTTTCTTTGCTTACAGAAGAAGAGGCCAAGTAGAATAACAGAGCTAGAGTCGCTAGTCACTCAGCTTCAGGAAGAGCTGAAGAAGGCGAAAGATCAAGCCTTAGTGTCTGAGACATCAAAGAAGCAAGCAGAGAAAGAAGCAGAGGAGTCCAAGAAACAGCTGCAGGAAGTTTCCTCTAAGGTTAACGAGACGCATAATCAGGTTTTGGAAGTTTCAGCCTTGGAAGAAGAAACTGATAAAACCGTTGCTCCTGATCAAGGAGGTGTATCTCAGGAGTGTGATTTGGAGTTTAGTGCTACTGCTGATGAGAGGGCAGGATTGGCTGTTGTTGTTCGTGAGATCCGACAACTCAAGCTTCAGATTGAGATGGTAGCTTCTTCCGAATCTGGTCATTTGAAGCAAGCCGAGCTGCGTAACTCGGAGATTCACCTTTTGAGAGGGAACTTAATGGACACTCTTTTCCTCGTCGAGAATTTTAGGAACCAAGTTAAGGACTGTGAGGTAACAGACGCTGAAACGGAGGCTTTAGCCACCGAGACTCTTAGGCAGTTGGAGAACGCTAAAAAGGCAGTGGAGGAGTTAAAATCAGATGGCACAAAAGCAGTTGAGAGTTACAAGAAGATGGCGTTGGAGCTTGAGCAGTCAAAAACGAGGATGATATGGCTTGAAACTCTTGTGGATAAACTTCAGACGAATCCAGGAGATTTGGCTAGTCAAGAAAGCCTGCTTAAAGACTATGAGAGTTTGAAACTTGCCGAATCAAATGAGATGAAGGAAGAAGTATCTTCCTTGAAATGTGAAGTAGAGCGACTTAGAGCGGCGTTAGAAGCTTCTGAGAAAAAAGACCAAGAAGTGAATGTTGAGGCTTCTTCTCGGTTAAGGATACAAGCTGAGCTCCAGTCTGAGTTAAAGATAGCTAAATCAGAGATAGACGAGCTAAAGGCGAGGTTGATGGAGAAAGAAACAGAATTGCAGTTTGTTTCAGAGGAGAAAGATAACTTGTACCATCAGCTGATGAAGAACCAGAAAGAGACTGATGTTGAGGCTGAGCTTAAGCAACTAAAGGAAGGTATTGAGAATTTAAAGGCTGATCTGATGGATAAAGAGACGGAACTACAGATTGTTTCAGACGAGAACGAGACATTGAAGACAGATATCCACAAGAGGGAGACAGATGTACAAGACGCGTTCATGAAGCTTGGAATTGCGATGGAAGAAGCTGACAAAAGTAGCAAGAGAGCGGTTAGAGTCACGGAGCAGCTAGATGCTACTCAGGCTTCAAACACGGAGATGGAAACGGAACTCAGGAAGCTCAAAGTTCAGTCAAACCAGTGGAGAAAAGCTGCTGAGGCAGCTACTGCTATGCTCTCTGCTGGAAATAATGGGAAGTTCGGTGAGAACTATAATCAGACCAACTCTCCTTTCTCTGAGGATATTGATGATGAGATGATAAAGAAGAAAAACGGGAATGTGCTCAAGAAGATTGGTGTTTTGTGGAAGAAGCCTCAGAAATAGCTGGAGAATGACTAATATAATAAGAAGAACTAGGTAAAGTTCATATCTTTTCGATCAATTGTGTCTCTGAAGTATCTAAAGGAACTGAGTTTCTCTTTGCTCATCTCGTGTTCTGCTTTCTCAGGTACTGTTGTTTTGGAGTTGGATTATAAGAGCAACTCATGTGACTCTGGTATTGATGTGAATTAGTAGTTTGAGGAACTATGTTCTGAAAAAATACATATTCGAAGGATTTGAGTTGTGGTAATTTTAAGTTTGAGTATTCAGGAGGGAACGAAGCTGTTAATGAATTAATTTATTCTGTCGTTGTGAAAACCACATGTTGCTTGAATTTATCAAAGGCAGAAAGTCTCTGGCTCGTATAGCAGGTTTGAAATTTTCACTGGGCCTAAGGTAAGGCCCAATGAGTTCTTTAGAATAAGGCTTCTCGTTAACGAGATAGATATCTTCAGGCTTGTATGTCTTCGCCCTACGGGTCACATTTTGATTCCTTCACACAGATATCTTCAGTACTTTACCAAACATCTCCATGTTTAATTGGCACACTTGATTTATTCACACGTATGCATGTTTTGTATATACATAAAACAAGTGTTCCTGTATGTAAAGCAATTACCAACCAACATTTTTTTTTTTTTTAAATTTAAAACATTCTCCTAAGTGTATATTATTCCGATGTAAGCAAACTTAGGTTAGGTGAGGTTTTTTCTTAGTCATCATTTCTGGTCTTACATTTTCACCCGCAAATAAACCAATTCACACATTTTTAAACTATTCAAAGCGCAATTCCATGTGTACTCGATGTTTTTTTCTTGTAAAAAATTCTCCTTTGAAATGATTAGAGATCTAATATAGTAGTATTATCTAGTCCACTCGGTTGTTTTGTTAAGGAATTAGTCCACATTATTCCATTATAGATTTGAAATTCTACAATAACATTACCAAGATTGATCCTTTACGTCACCAAATCAATAAGTAGGTTGACAAAAAGAAAAATTCAGTTAAGTAGAAATATCAACGTCATCGACCGCGCCATTACATTAAAAAACCTCTAGACGTCAAAATATTTTAAGAAGAAATTTCATTATGATTAAATTGGGGGAAATTAGGGTTTAAGGCTAAACACACAATTCTATTCGTTGTGTAAATGATACTATCTCCATTTGTTGTTTTACCAAAAACTCTTTGAATTTCACTAACTTTAATTTACCAAAGTAACTAGTATTTTAAAAATTAGAAAAACAAAGGAAATTTTTCATTTAAAACATAATGAACGAACACACAACAGAAGAAACTCAACAATTTAGAACAGAGACAGAAGAACAAAAAAAACCACCCCAACCCCATTTTCCAAGTTTAAAACTCTTCGAAAATCCCCTAATATATCTATATTTCCTTAACCATTTCATAAAATAGCTAGCCCCCATCTGTCCTCCCAATAAAGATATGAAATTTAAACCCTAAATAAAAACCCAAATAAAATTGAGGTTTTAATTTGAACTACATCAAAGCACCAGAATTAATATAGTTCATATTGGTCCAAATCCCTTTCCCTGAATCAATATGATCTACATGACCACTTCCTCCTCCTGTGTTCATCATCCCAAAGCTCTCTCCATTCATCTGCCATGGAAATCCCCACAAGACCTTGGTTGGATCACCCATGGCGATATCCAGACCGTTGCTCCCGTTTCCAAACGCAAAACAAGCGTTATCCTTATGCTGGTTTGTCCCAAACACACTCTCCATGTCAGACTGATGAGAGCTACTGAATTCTGAATGAAACCCTAGATTTGAAGAACTCCCCGGAGGTTGCTTGTTCAGTAAGGCAAATGCTAAGCTGAGATCGATTTGTTCATTGTTGTTGTACCCATTAAAACTCGCCGTCGAGAACGTTTTCCCGTCGTTAGACGCCGGTTCTGGCGTAGTTCTGAGGCTTCTTGTTGCGGAAGATGTGGAACGTTTGTTTTTCCGGCAGCCTCCTCCGACGGGTATGTTCCTTAGGGTTCCGCCTTTGGTCCAGTATCTCCGGCATGATTTGCAGAAGTAGCGAGGCTGAGAGAGGCTGTAGTTGTTGTAGTAACAAAACTTTGTGTTTGTTGAGTCGCAACGTGGACATCTCAGGGCTAGCTCCGGTGGCTGTGGCTTTGCCGCGGCTGTCGCGGGAGAAAGTTTCTTCTGATGGTCATCTTGTGTTGGGTTTGACAAACATGATACTCCCATGGCTTCTCTAGCTTTGTTATAATTCCCAAAAACATCCTTTAAGAATAAAACAAAACACATTAAGTAACTAATTTGAATAAACAAAAACCATCAACATTCTAATTTAAGTAAACTAACCCAATCAAGATATATATTATAAATTGCATTGGATCTTGTTTGGAGTTTTACCTGGTGCTGTAACAAATGATCCATAAGAGCTGAATCTGAGAAGCTCCCTGAAGATTGTTAGATGAGACTGAGTGTTTATGGGTAGGAGATGGAGATTGTTTCTTGTGATCAGAGAGAGAGAGATGGATATGAGTACTAGAGAATAAAAGTGAAGCAAAAGGAAAAGCCAAGCATCTGTATATATACATGGGAATGTAGGAGGAGAGAGACAAACAGTTGTTTGTGGCCTCGATCCAATATTAATTTATTTCAAATAATATTCCGAAATTATAATAATATTGATATTTTATAAACAATGGGATGAAGAAGAAGAATAGTGTGAACCATTTCCAAACGTGATTAGGAACAGACCATAAAGCCGCCGTTTATGATTTTTTTTCCCAATATATATAAACCGTATCTTACTGTTCATTGAGGTGGTTTGGAACCTCTCACTGAAATGTTCTCTGTACACCTAAACACAAAAATTCTGTAAATACATGCTATTAATTATTGTAGTTAAAAAATTATACATTGTGTTATTGTGTATACATATGATGATATTCAATTTGCAACAAAACACATGATATATTGATATTCAATGTAAGCTTAATTTTAAAGTATATAAATTATAGTCTTAGATAATCACTAAGCTCGCTTAGTTACTCCACGATAATGTATCGGTCAAAATCAACGGTATATGATGAAGATTGCAATCGTTGTCACTAGTGTGAAATAGATCTATTTTTGTTTAAGATGAATAGTGATGCGTACGATGATGGATGAGAGAGATGGTGGTGTTCTACGTCGGATTCCCACGCACTCTCGTCTTCTTTGTAATTTCTGTTTTATTATGTCTCAATGGTCCGTTGAGTTGTCACCACGTGGGACCCATACTCATCGCGCCATGTCTTGTTCTTCCTTTTAGGACCGATCTTTTTCACCTTCGTACCGTACTAGAAGAGTGGGCAAATAACTAGTTTTCCCATTGAGATCCATTACACATTCTGATCTACTCTAAAATATAATCAACCTCAACCTATCTAAAAGATGATAATGGGGTTGCATTTGATAAAAAATACATATCAGGGTTGTTGTTAACATTTTTTTCGAGAAAAACATTCAAATCACACCAGATGTATGTAGAATGCAATAGTACTCAATAATGAAACTCAATCAATGATTTCAAAAAGTGGGACAATTATCATCATATATATACTTGTTAATTAGTTGTTATGGATATTATATGCTGTTGATTTATCCGAAATATAATGTAAACAAATGTGAATACAATACTTTTAGTTACATCTTTTGATTTTCTTAAATTGTTTATGTAAATAGAACACATGATGAAGCAAAAGCAAAGAATTGGCCGGAGAATGTGTAGCTCATGATGTGTTTGCATTATCCCATGGGAGTTTAAAATTCATAGAGACACAAATCACACTAACACATCGGTTTTCGGAAAAGAGACTTCTATGAATGAAGACCGAGATTTGGTCTAAGGACCATACCCACACATATATTATTTTATACAGTTTTCTAAACGTTGTAATGGGAAGAGAGAATGAGTAACTGATATATACTGTTGCTACAAAAAAAACAAAAACATCCGTTGCTCTCTAGTGTCTAGTGATTGGTTTTTGTTGGACTACAAAAAAAAGGTCTTTCTTCATTACAAAAAACGAATAAGTAAAATGTATCAATGGAAGTAGAGACAAATCAATAATATGTTTTCCTCATGGATATAATTTCGTTAACAGCACAAGATTTTATTATGATCAGCTTAGATATTAGATTTATTTTTATAATTTCCCCTATCCAATGCCTTCTATAACGTTTCGTTTTATTTTTGAAAGGATAGGAAAATCATTTTATTATTAGCCTGTGGTTTCTCACTTCACAGCCAGAAAAACTGAGGGATGATTCATTCACAAACAATCATTGGTCATCAAATATATAAACTGATGATCATTATATTTCCTTTGGACCCTACCTACTTATGGCTCCCAGTTTTTATCACAATAATCATGATTCATGACTATCTTTAACCTTTTGATTTAAATTACGTTACACTTTTATTTATATACAAAACTATAGGACTAATAGGGTTTATCGGAATATCAAACTAATCTATAAACAGGGATGAGAGTGACATAACATGAATCTTCCGTTCGAAACCAGCAATTCAGGGATCGAACATTATACTATGTCTACATATTATTGGAAGTGGTGGGACCATGGGGAAACATAATTGGAAAATAGACATGGAGTTTTGGGTTGACCAGTCAAAGTTGTAATATCTCCAGTTGCTTTAGAGTCATAATAGACAAGTGACAAAACTAGAATTTCTTGGGCAACAAAAACAAATTAAAGCAGATCGTATTGATAAGAGAGCTCTCATACATATGAAATCATATTGCAATCTATCTCGACATGATGTACTCCTAATTTAACATAGTTTATAGAGTGATCGTTATCAACTTATCATAATTTGTATCTACCGTACCCCCAAGATACAGATATAACAATATCGTACCCCAATACATAATACTTCATATAACTTTAACTAGTTAATTAGTATATATGTGAATATAATAACGGTCGGATGTTTAATCTACAACTTAGGTTTGATTTATCGGAAGTGAGTACTAATCAATACTCCCTTATCCATGGTTGTGAATTTGTGATGGTCTAAGCTGAGGTATTACTTTTGGTTAAAACAATGACTGCATCAAGTTGCCCCATCTCATAAGTACTCATAAGTCATAACTATGGTTAAATTTGTTGTCATCATGTCAGATATTCTACAACAAGTTTTGTAATGCTAACAATAACGGATATCATTGAAAATGCTGATAAAAACAACTTTGATAATTACAGAACATGATATAATTTTAACAATTGTTGTATAAATGACGAGAAACCCTAATTTCTGAAATAAACGTTCTGATAAGGAAACCTGGAAATGTCCGGACAAATATTCGGGTGTGGGGCCAACAACAGAAGAGAAACAGGGTGATTGGCCGGTGTGTAAGTGGGACCCATATGCCGGATAATTGGAAGACACGTGGCGGCATGACAAAGGAATAATTTGGAGTAAATCGAGGAAAGAAGTGAGGGCAAGTGGTTGCAGCCCTGATAGGTTTTGCATGTGGTGTCTCACTCACAGTCAGTGTTTCAATTTCAGACTCGCACTATAATTTATAGTAAAAAATCATTATCAAGTAATAGAGCCAAATCTGTCCATTTCCAAATTGGCAAATCAATATCCCTGACCAAAAAAAATATATAGGCATCTAGCAAGAGAACATACTACTTAAAACATTCGTATGACATATGTTCCAAGATAATGAAGTAGTGAGATAATACAAATACAAGTTAAAAAATTCAAAATCCCTTAGTTTCATGTTGCATCATTGCTCTCTTTCAATTTGAACTGTTTTTCTTGTTTAATTTTAGGGTTTTACTAATAAAAATCGCATGATTATTTTAAGATGTAGCCCTCTCATAGTTGGGAACACTAACAAGAGACATGTATAAAATAAAATAAAATAAGATTTAGGATCGGATAGAGATTTGAGGCGCAATTTCCAAAGGGACCCGCATATATTCTTGCCTCCATATTCAAGCAAAGCATCAAAGCGTAGATTCCCATGCAGCACTTTCTTTTTAGCTTGTCCCATTTTTTAAATCTTCGGAGCTTTCTTTTGTTTGTTTCCACTTTAGTGAAATTTTCTCTCGATTTCAGAAAATGGATTCGTTTTCACGATCTATACCTTTTTTTGTTCATTCCTTGATTATGTTTTCATTGGTATATTATAATGTGCTTGCTCTTCTAGTCTTCTTACTCAAGCATCTTATCTATTTCCTCTCTTTCTTTTTTAGAAAAAAAGCCTTTTTATTTATCGTCTATAACTAGCTTTCTCAAAAGTAATTTTATACGACATGCCTTCAATTCATTCCAAACATTCAGTTTTAGATGTACTTTATGAAAAAAAAACTTCTCCTCACACTAATCATAAACTTTGGTTTTAAAATAAATGTTTATGAGCTCTGATTGGAAATCCACATTATCGTTTTGAAATTGTCTATTTGAAAAACGATTTTTGTTTGGTAAATTATGATTCCGTAAATGTCATATCAGTTCCATCAGTCTACGGATGATTATTTTTGTTCCGATTATATTTTCGAACTTCTAGGACTTTTGTCATTTCAGAAGTCACGATGTCGTCACGTAGACGCGTCCCTGGTTCGCGTGATAAAGTAACAGATGTTTCATTTTCCATCGTGGGCCTATTTTAACTTTATCGCAACTGACTAAAACTGGGCCTATACTCACCAGGCCAATGGGCTTAACTACATATCCAACTTTAGGAAATAAATCGTATTTTGTTCAATGATTTAACCTTACCGGTTTCCATAACCGGTGAAAATATCAAACACCGTTTTAATTCTGGTAAAAAGAGTCAAAAGTCATTCAACCGGAATATCTAAATGCTCTCATTTGCTCGCACACTCTCACTCTCAGACATCAACTTCTTGATCAGCTCCAATATATCTCGTCTCAAATGCTTAACCAAATCCGGTACAGTCTCCTTCACATCAGTAAACCAAAGCTCATCCCGGTTCTTCATTCCCTCAGAGCCAAACCATTGGCATATAACCTGAGCGACTGCAAGAGCGTAAACACCACAATCGTACCCATTCTTCTGCTGCGGTGTATCACTGCGTTCTCTGTACGCTGCATCTCCATCTCCATCAGAGACAAACGGAGAAATCGCCTTGGAAAGCTGTTTCGCTTCCCATCTGTTCACTCCCATGAAGCTATCGTGATGGAAAAACGTGTTGGCATCTTTGTAGTAGACGAGCAAGCTCCAGTGCGATCCGCCTTCCGCTAGCTCGACGTTTCCGTTGTTGTTCACAGGGAATATCAGGACGTCGCTGTCGCGTAGCTTGAGGGGTTTCATGAAATCTTTGAGCGATCCGGCGTCTGGGCTGTTTGAGATCCAGAAGGTAATGCAGGGAGGGATCAGTGAGATGGTAGCAGAGGAAGTGTGGAGTGTGGATAAGTAGCTCAAGTAGAACTCGATGACGCGATCGTTAAGAAAATCGGATCCGTTTAGGATGTCCAAATCTGATCTCCTGAGGACTACATCGTTGTAGCTGAGGATCATGTCGTCACCAGAACCTTTCTCCATAGTAGGAATCTAGAAAAATCTGCAATATGCAGAGATATACAATTTGTTAAAGCCAATTATATAAATCAAAGAGCTTTTGAAAAAAAAAAAACTTCGTTCAGGCATTTTGTCGAACAGTTTACGTTCACAATAATGTTGCTTTCATAGAGGAACCGCAAACAGGAATCAAAATGCTTACACCATATACATGTAAACGATCAGTAGTTCTTAAGCTTTGGATTCAATAAATTGATAGGAAGGGAGGAAAAAAAGAAACTCAATCAGCGGAAGGAAAATCTCAGAATATGCAGGATTTGGGCAGGAATAAATTGAGATATGCAACGAACTGATGGATTACTAACAGTTACCTTGATTCTATTTATCTATACGCGATTCCTGAGAAAAATCAGTTTAGTTCTCCAGCAATCCACCGCTTGAGAAACTGTTGAAGAAGAACAGAATCTGAATTTTCTTCTATCGCAAGACTCCAGAAAGAAGAAGAGGAAATAAGATATTTGGGGGTTTTGGTGTACCAAATGGAAAATGAGCCCAACTTCGGCCCATGAAAGAAGTAATATTGACTGGGGTTTAATTTAAAAACTAAAAATTCTTTTATTTTTGTATTTCCCTTATTTGGTTAATCTTTGATGTATTGGTTTGCTATATTCCTGTACCTATTTGAGTTAGGGTTATCTTTTATACAGAGTTATACTCCTATATTGTTGTCAACATTTTTGAACGATTTGATTTCTTCATAAAGGATTAGTAATATTCTAGATTTATTTTACAAAGGTTTTGTGACAAAACGAGGAGATTGCGACGAAGAGGAAAACAAAAGCAGGATTAGGGGGTTACTGCTTCACGACGACCACATGAGTATGACTTCCTTGGATGTCGGGATTAGGACGAGAAGCACTTGGTATCCTCGTCGCGAGACCAAGAAGACAGCTAAGAAAGAGTCTTGCGTCATCTGCTTAGACGACGACATTGATCCTCATCTCATGTTTTCTGTCGATAAATGCCGTCACCGGTTTTGCTTAAACTGCGGGAAACGACACATAAAGGCGAAGCTACTTGATGGAAAGGTACCGGACTGTCTTCAGCATCGGTGCAAGTCTCAGCTACGTATTGCTAGATGTGTCATGCTTTTGACTCGCAAGCTGAGGTTGATGTGGGAAGAGAGGATTACAGAGGACTCAATTCCTTTGCACAAGAGACTTTATTGTCCAAACCCAAGATGCTCTTACTTGATGTCCACAACCGAGCTTTTGTCATCTTCTGAATCTACATATAGGAGATGCTTCATATGTGGTACCTCTTTTTGCATCTACTGCAAAGTTCCATGGCATAGTAAGCTATCTTGCTCCGATTACAAAAAGTTGCATACTAATCTTCAAGATGATGATGCAAAGCTGAAATCTCTGGCAAATCTTAAGGGTTGGCGTCAATGCGGCAGGTGCCAACACATGGTTGAACTTTCTTCCGGATGCATCCCATGATTTGCAGGTCTCTCTCTCTCTCTCTCTCTCTCTCTCTCTCTCTCTCTCTCTGAAAGAATTATATATAGATTTTGACATTTTTTGTCTGGTCAAGTTGATTATGTTTTGGCATATATAAACACGTTACATATCATACAGTTTCATGCTTTACTGACTTGGGTAACCATGTAGGTGTGGATATGCGTTTTGCTACACGTGTGGTTCCGGGTGGAACATCTCGTCCCATGGAGAGTGCATCTCACCGCCGGGTTCTACTGCTATTTCTGCGTTTCAGCTGGTTATTCTAGTATTTCTCATGATACTCTTAATCGGATATATACTGTCAATTGTATGAAAGCACACTCTTCAGACAAACTCAGCACACTGAGATTGAAAAGGGTCCCATCTATTATGTTCCTCTCTTTCTTATTCCATCTCTCTTTCATTCATCATGCATGTACTTTATTTGCATTCTCCGAGAAACTATGTAAAAGAAAAAAAAACTACAATTCTATTGACAAATATTATTATGGCGACACTCAAAATCTATGAAATATGAATCCATTCTTTGTGAAACATTAAGTCTTTCTATATTTGTATTTCAACTTTGATATGGAAATAGATGTTAAAATTCTTTTTTTGATGAATTGGTTTTTATATTTCGCTTTGATTTAGGGTTATATATTTATTATTTTCGTTTTCGTATTTATACTTTTATAATAAAAATATATTTAAATCCTAGATTTAAGGTTAATTTTCTAGATTTTTTAAATATTTGATATGTTTTTTTAAAAAGAATTTAAGTGTGTGGATTCTAAAATCTCAACAGAATAAATTGATATTTTTTTAAAATAATTTAATCATGAAAATATGTTGGAAATTCATGTGTTATTCAGTTCTGAATAATAATATTAGATGGATTTTAAGAGCATCTCCAACCCAACCCCATATTTCATCTTTATTGCCATTTTGGAGTTAATTTTGCTCCAACCAACTCCATTTCCAATCTCAAAATGGCAAAATGCCATATTTTTTCCCAAAATGGGATGATCCCATTTCCATTTCCATTTTGGAGTTGAAAGTTTTTAATTTATATATGAGTCCTTCAAATTTTAAATTATTTCAGTTTAAATATATAATTAATTATTTTGATATTTATTTTTACTCTAAAATATAAATAACACATATATAATAGGAAATTAATTATTTAAGCTAATAATAAATTTTAAAAAGAAAGGAAAAACACTTTTATTAGAGATAACATAAAATGAAATTGTGAAAGTTTTGAAGAAAAAAAATTATGGGGCAATTTGTAATATATATAAATATACAATGCAAATTTAGTAATTAATAAAAGTTTTTCAAAAAGAATATACTTAGAATATTTTTTTGAAGTAAAAAATGAGGCAATACATTGGAGCAAAACCCAACTTCATTTTGAGATTTCTTCATTTTGGAAGTTAAATATGAGGCAATACATTGGAGATGCCCTAAGGGAGTACTATACTTCAAATTTTAATTGAATAATACAAAACTTTGAAAACTTTTTAAATATGATTTACATGTAAGAGATCCAATAATTAGAGTTACTTGGATTGTGGTTATTCTGTTAAGATCCATGATTAAGTAACAACTCCATTTTATTTCTCATTGAAGGGAAAATTTTCTCTGAGCTATTTTTGCCAAACGAGGAGATGGCGGCGATGAGGAAATCAAAAGCAGGATTAGGGTTACTGCTACACGATGACTACATCAGTATCACTACCCTGGACGTCAAGGCAGCTAAGAATGGGTCTTGCGTTATCTGTTTAGACGACGACATTGATCCTCATCTCATGTTTTCTATCGATAAATGCGGCCATTGGTTTTGCTTAAATTGTGTAAAACAACATATAGAGGTGAAGCTGCTTGATGGAAAGATACCGGACTGTCTTCAGCATCGGTGCGAGTCTCAGCTCTCTATTGATAGATGTTGCAATTTTTTGACTCAAAAGTTAAGTTTGATGTGGGCACAGAGGATTAGAGAGGACTCAATTCCTTCGGATGAGAGAGTTTACTGTCCAAACCCAAGATGCTCTTACATGATGTCCAAAACCGAGCTTTTGTCTTTTTCTGGATGTGCGTTTAGGAGATGCTTCAAATGCAGTGCCTCCTTCTGCATCTACTGCAAAGTTCCATGGCATAGTAAGCTATCTTGCACCGACTACAAGAAGTTGCATTCTATTCTTCAAGATGATGATGCAAAGCTGCAATCTCTGGCAAATCGTAAGGGTTGGCGTCAATGCAGCAAGTGCCAACACATGGTTGAACTTTCTTACGGATGCAACCACATGAGTTGCAGGCATCTCTCTCTCTCTCTCTCTCTCAAAGAATTTAATTATAAGTCATCAAGAGATTTTATATCTTTTTTGTCTTCTTGTCTTTGATTATTTTTTTGGCATATATAAACATGTTGCAAATCATACAATTTCATGATTCATCGGGTGACCTTGTAGGTGTGGATATGAGTTTTGCTACACGTGTGGAGCCCAGTGGAACTCCAGGTCCCATGGAAAGTGCATCAGTTATCGTTTCGATAACGAAGTCCCGGATTTTCTTTGTGTTCTGTGTTTGGCTCTTCTAGTAGTTGTCATGTTATACATGTTTCGTTGATATTAAGTTGCTCTTCCTCTCTCAAAACTAAAATCACTATTGTTATGCAAGTTGAAGTAGCAAACTTAAGCTGTATCTTTGACATGGACATTTAATAATATTGTTATGTTTTCTGACCATGTTTCAACTTTAATGTTTTTTTTATTCAATCATCAAACCAACTCCAGAAACAACGATTCTATAACTAAGTTTAAAACACACAAAAATTGCTGCAATTTTGCAGCTTATCTGCTTTAACTTAGAAAACTGCAAAAGTTAGAAAACTAAGATCTTTCGCAATTTTGTGACACAATTATCATCTGCAAAATTTTTTTTTTTTGGTAAAGTTAGAAAACTAAGATCTTTCGCAATTTTGTGACACATTATTATCATTTGTATGTAATTTTTTTATCCGTAGCAACAACTCCCTTAAAAACGGCATGAAGTTCATGTATGGTAAATGATAAATTATATCATTATCATAATTTTAAGGGAATACTAATTAAAACGGCACAAAGTTCCCTAATCCAATTAGCGCTCAAATAATTACATCTAGAAAAAGATTGTGCGCCGTCCGATCAAAATATAAACGGGAAGAAACCGTTTATTCTGTTACAATTCCCTCCATTTTTTTTTTTCCTTTCTCTTTTTTCGATTGATTCCGTTTGAAGAAGAAGAAGAACGCAGAGTAATCGTAAAATCTAGGGTTTCGAAGATGTGGAACTTGGGTGAATGTTGTAAGGGTTGTAAAAGTAAGGATCGGGTTGTGATTGATCACGAGGCGAGGAAGACGCATTGCTCCGAGTGTGGTCTTGATTCTGATATCGGTGATTCTGGTCTCTCCAATGTCACCACCGAGCAGAGTAATGGTACCTCCGGTGATTTCTTGTCCCTTACGCTCGGAAATTCGCAGCAAGGTGGTGGCTCAGCACCCGTCTCCGTCGCCAACACCACCGTGACGAAGAAGAATAGCTCCGATCTCGAATATTCGGAGAAACGTGCCTTAGACGCCATGATGATCAATCTTGACTCTGATCCCGTCTCCATCGCGGCTATGTCCTTTAGGTAGCGTTACATCTTCTTTCTTAATTTTCTTAGAGGAAATGTCGTTTCGTTTTTACAGATAAGTTACAATTTCGCTTCATCCGTTTTACAGGTTATGTCTTCCTGCGAAAGTCAACGTATGTTTTTTTCTTGACTTCCGTCTATAAACAACTCTGGATGAATAGTTAGTTATAATACAGATAAGTTTGAATGAGTGTGTTTCTTGATGTGTAGAATAAGGCTAAAGAGATATTCAAGAAAGTGGAGAAGATATGCACAGAAAAGGATCGAGTTGCCTTTAATGCTGCTTGTATCTACATTGCATGTCGACAAGAGGACATGACTCGGCATACGAAGGGTATGTATATATAGTTGAAACCCTTGAAAGATTCTGGTTCCTTTCTTGATCTATCTTTTGTTTTTGTAGTTGAATCAGCCTCTTCAAAACCTTGTTTTTTCTTGTAGAAATATGCTCTGCTGTCACCGAGGCCACAATGTATGAGTATGATATTTCCAAGGCAATTGGGGTGATAGCTGAGGCAACAAAGATGGACAAAAAATGGTTGATGGAAGTCAAAGCTGCTGACTTTATTGTGAGTAGTTTTGAGCTTTTGCTTGTATTGAGCTCGTGGTTAGTTAATCAAAGAGCTCTCATTTACTGACGTTATGTTCATCTACAGAACCGGTTTTGCGCCAACCTTGGAATGGATGGCAAAGCAGTTAAAGCTGCTCAAGAAGCTGCTAAAAGTTCTGAAATAATTAAGAGGTACCTTCATGATTTGGGCAGTTTCTTGATCTGAGTAAGCAAATATATGATCCTTATTATGTCTTACTTGTTTGAATACAGTTTTGGCACTCCGAGAGCAGTTGCAGCTGTAATCGTATATGTCATTGCTCGAATTTCTGATAATAAGAAGAAGCTGCTTAAAGGTGGCAATTAAATCTCTCTTTCTAATTAGCAGTATAAATCTGATTAGCACTTCTCTTTTCTCTAACTTCTGTACATTTGATGATGTTGCAGATGTCTTAAAAGCCACTGGAGTTGAAAGAAGTAGTATAAGAAACGCATACAAGAACCTGTACACATATCTTCCAACTATTATACCAAAGGGGTTTGCTGATTTGAAGGACCTGCATGAAGCTCTTGGAAGACCATAAGAGATGGATCTTTAACTACGAGGATATACATTACAAGCAACATCTCTGTCAAGCAAGATTTTCTCTTTCCTTTTTTTTTTACTATGCCCTTGTATAACAGAAAGAAAATTCTACCATGAATATGCATCATCAAAGTTACTACTATTGTATTTTTTTTTTGTTTTTTTCATGAGTGTCACTATTGTAGAAAAAAATATACGATTGTTTTGTCTCTTGCAATATCTGGTTGCTAAATTACGACTTTATTAAAAAAATGTACTAATAAAAACTTAATTCAAAATCTAATCCATCTCCGATGTTAGTTTGGTTAAGGAATTTCCGTTGTGTTAAGAAACAATAACTGAAAAAAGGAAACACAAGGTTCCATGTGGTATCTGGGAAAATGGAAATATGTGGTATTTACTGGTGAAATATATTTCATGTTAAAAGTAAAAAGTAAAACATGAATAGGAAACGGTATAGTAAACAAAAAAATGGAAAAAGGGAACTTGAGCGATATATTTCCTTTTCCTAATAGACACATGATCATCAACCAATATAAATAGACCCCCAGAGACCCAACAATCAAACACAAAAATCTCTCACACACTTCTCCAGAAATTACAGAGATTAATCAACAATCCCACTCTCTAACGTAACTAAGTTTAAATTTCTGAAGTACAATGTCGTCAATCGCTGATAATACCTTTTCGATGTCGACCATGTCCGATGCTTTACAAAATATCCGTTTCTCTAGGGGAATCTCCGCTTCCATTCCTCCTCCGGGCTTCTACCCACGCGCCTCCGACACGCGCTTAAACCCTCTCTTCAACCTAATGACTAGCGGCGAAGGTGTTGCTCACTTCAAAGAGATGACCTCGAAGTTAGACCGAAGCCAGCTTCACATGATGGTGTCGTTGCTTACGTCAGACTCCGACTACTTCATGGAGGTTGTCAGAAACAAGTACGGGTCGAGACGCGTGCAGAAGCTCCTCGGGATATC